GGCGGCACCGGTTATTGACACCAGGCCGCGCTACGAGGGAGGTGGCCTAGGGTGGCCCAGCACACAGGCGCAGGGGAAACGTGGTTGGTAACTAACCAGCACGTAGAAGCTAGCAGCGACAAGCCATGCGAGGGTTAGAACCGGTCATGGTACGGATACTCTGTTGACAAAAAGTGTAACTAATAAACCCCAAGCGTCGTCCATGCAATAATGGTAACAAATGTGGCAAGGGAGACGGAAGAGGGCGTTTAGTATTTATAAAGGGCTTCGAATTTAAGGGGATAGATATTAGCAGCATAATCATAATTTCCCCATCAATGCTACATCTTGACAGGTGGTTTCGCTGGTGACCATAGCATGTCATTGCGGGCGCTTTGCTTTGCCGTAGCACGAGGTTGTGATGAGAGTGACAGCACGAGACGAGTCATGGAGTACGCAAGTGTCACCGTAACTAATTAGCAAGCCCATACGAGAGGAGGAGGGGACAATTGCATCAATTCTCCAGCTACAAACCACTTCTTTTCCCCCCTTCCTCCCCGAGGATTCTCAAACCCAAGACGGCGCGATGACCGACACTAATAAACTCGAGTCGAGGAGCGTGCCTGAGTCGTGGGCAAAAGTTACGGTCCCCTCCAAAGTGATTAGGCTCAAGCCACAGCTGCGTGGATCGCCAAACAGGGCCACAGGGCCACAGGGCCCCAGCTGAGAGTTTTGGGTCCCCAAGGTCTGTAAATTGGGGCCTCTCAGGGCTTTACTCTCAGGTACACGAGGCAGTTGACAGAAGAGCCCCCCCATCTTTTTTTGGTGTCTGTTGGGTGGGTGGAATACAAGCAAAAGGGCAGCGCAAAAAGCCGCGACCCGAATAACAAACTAGTTTGGTGTACCAAATGTAGCAGGAGGAGGGGGTGGTGGTGGTGGTGGTGTTTATGTGTTTATGTGTGCATGTGTGTGTGGGCTTTCTAGCATTCTAGCGGCGTCAAAAAAAGGTGTGAGCACACAGGAGCTGCATGTGCGAGGTCGACAATGACGATGGACAAGTTTTCCATGTTGCAGCAGCCAGCTAGCCAGCGCCAGCCAGCGACGAAGCAACCGCACGCAGAACCAGCGCGCGCCCCCTCCGGGTGCAGGTGCATTGCAGCGTTGAAGCCACGCCTGTCCGCACGGCGCAGCAACTTTCCATGGTAAACGGGACGGCGGGCGTGCATGGGAATACTTGGTAACACGGGAGCAACGACGTCCGCCCTTTCATTCATTTTTTTTTTGGTTGGCAGAAGAAGGGGTGGGCAACCGAAGCATCATTGCGGGCGGCCGATGTGCGTCCTTGCGCAGTTAATAAAGTCATGTTACGACACAAAAAGGCCGGGCGCGCCTATCCCCTCCGAAAGTCATAGGCGGCCCTTTTCCCCTCCCTCCCCCCCCCCTTGGTACGTACGCTGGAAAAAAGCATGGTGCCACCGAGACAAGCACTCACACTGCCACCGCCCGCGGAGAGTTTTGGACTATTTTGGCGGCTTATTTAGCTAGCAAGTCATAAGTCATGGTACGGAGGAGAGGGAGGGGGGGCGCGGGCGCGGCGGTGACGACGGAGGCGGCGGCGGCGGCGGAGGCGGCGGGCTCGTACCGATAGAGAGAGGGTAAGAACAGAAGGGCACATACGTAAGTTGGGACCCGGGTGGTCCGCCTAGGTTGTGTGTAAAGTTTTCTCTTACTAATAATCGTGGCTGCTTACCGTTGTGCTAATTGTGCAGAGGTGTCATGCCTTTTTTTCTCTGTCACTGCTCGCCCTTGTATAGGTAGCTTGTGGTGCGACTAAAACGAAGCTTGCAACAAGTAGATTAAAGGAAAGAAAACCATGCATGATAAAAGGTAGAAAAAGAAGGAAGGAGAGTACCCCCCCCTTTTTTTAATCATTATTAACTTGCTCTTTGTTTCCTTTTGCAGATGGCACATGATGCAAGTCTTGAGAGGCCTGTGATGCACTACTGCAGAGACATGACAAGACAGCTAGCTGTCAGAAGGAAAAAAAATAATAGAGCAAACTGCAGGGCCAGCGGGCGCAACATCAGGCCAGAAATGGGGGGATGCTACGAGTAAGAGTCACGAGTAATAAGAAGAAAGAGGAGAAAGGATAGAAATCATGATGCGATGGGCCGGCGGCGGCGGCGTCTAACACCAAAAGCGACGACGGGCCAAGAGCCTCGGCCAACAAGGTTTAACATGAATAGGTAATCACGCAAAATAGAAGTCATGCTTGGGCAAGTCCGAGTCTGGCGCCCCGGCGGCGTGGGCGGTGCCGTCATCGAGAAGTAGTGCATCGGGTTAGGGCAATCAAGTTGCTAGGCTGCTTGGGGTCGGTCGGTCGGTCGGTAGGCAAGCCGGCCGGGGAGCGAGGGCCGGAGGTTGTTACCGGCGGCGAGTGGCGGTTCATCAGAGGGTGTGGGAGATGTTTCGGCAATGATTAAGCGGAAGAAGGGTGGGAGAAAGAAGGATGAGGATTAGTGCGACGAGTGAATCGAATTAAATAAAGAAGAAAAAAAAAAGAAGGAAAAAGAAAATGATAGCTAGGGCGGAAAGAAACAAAAATGGATTAGTATAGATGAGATGGTACCGATGCATTGGGATGGTGCAAAAGGAGAGGGAGAATTCCAGTGAGTTTGGCTTGCACACGATCCGAAAAAAGAGCCGGCGCGCCCTTTGCCAGCTGAGCAGGGGGTAGGTGCAGGGAGTGGAGCTTGGCTCGTGGCCTATACTCACCTACTGTCATAGTTGCAGCAGCGTAATAACTAACTAGGGGCTTCACGTCATTCTTGGCCCGAGGAGCATCTGAACCAACTTACATGCAACTACCAGAGCTACTTTACTAGCTACCTACGCAACGTCTTGCCGATGCTGCTGGGTTTCGTCGTGGCCGTCGCCCGAGCAGTCCAAATTGTGCTGAGTGGCTGGAGGGGCTGCGCTGGATGCAACCCAAGTTTGATTTTTTTTTTTTACCCTTCGGAGGAAGCCCTATCCATCATGTGCTGGGTGCAGCGGCAGGGCCGAGCCCAAGGTTTTTTTCAGTGTTGCGTCCTGAGGACGTGTGAATTTTTTATTGGTATGCTGCTGGGTCTAATGGGTGCATTTGCATAGGTAGCTAGGTAGAATTGCAGTGATGCGGCGATGCGGCGATGCGGCGGTACGGGTTGATGCGCTGTGAGCGCTGTGAGCTTTCTGATGCGCTGTAAATGCAAGCCAAGTGTGTGTTGTAGGTGCCTTGTGCTGTGGTGCGCTGTAAATGCATGCGTTACAAGGGAGTTTCGTGCTAGTAGGCGGTGTCATTGGCAGCTGTAGGCCAGCCCATGCACCGCTAATAAGGCGCGCGTACCCGAATCTGCAGCCAAATCTGCACCCAAATTTACACCCAATCTTTCAACTATGCCAACCAACTTGCACCACAATAACCAATGCCAACCAACCGAACCATGCTCGGGTCGGCTCTTTTGCCCAAGTCCTTTGTATTATTTCTTTACTGGTGACACCTTGCTTGGGCTCTTGTCCTCGGCCCTGGACCGAGCTCACCAACAAGCCTGCAAGCCTCCAGCCTCCAGCCCCAGCCACAACACGACTAATCTGTACCAGTACGGATACTGCTGGTACGAGCAACAAAAAAAAACTCCCCCCACTGTAATACATACTGGTCCTCGTGGCGCCTGTGCCCGTGTCATGGCCCCTTTGGGCCCTTCCTTCCTTTGGCCGTTCTTTCCTTTCTTCCCTTGCCCCAAAAAAAAAGGTCCTTTCCGACGATCCACCCCCCCTTGCCCCTTTATCGCACCCCCCTCTTTCCGTTTGTCCACACGCCCCCCTTTGTTCTCACTCTTGCTCACTTGCTCACTTGCCTCCCCCCCCAAAAAAAGAGGCTCTCCCAAAGGGGGCGTCCGGGACAGGAGTCAGTCACTCACCTTATTTTTTTTTTCCTTTTCTTTTTTTTTAATAATCCTTTTTTTCCATGAATCCTCTTTTTTTAGGCCTTGCCTGTTCTCCATTTCCCCTTCCATTGCCGGGCCCCTTCTTAGGCTACCCATCCCCATATCTACGATCTCCTTGCACTTCTCTTTTTTCTTTCCCTTTTCCACTCCTTCCTTCTCTCTTTTACTCTTCCTCCCCTGTCTCCTTTCTACATTCCCCAAGTACTCGTCCCTGTTTTTCCTCTTTACTCTCGACATCATCTGATTTTCTCTCGTCGACTTTGCCAGCACTCGTCTCTTCTTCAGCAATAGACTCTGTATACCGTCAGCTCGTCAGCTCGCTTCCGATCCCGGTGTCTGCTTCTCTCGACCACTTTATACACTGAACCAACAAACCGAACCCGACGACAACTTATTCCGCATATTGCAACACCACCCGCTCATTAACTTCTCGACTTGTTCTCCTTTACCTCGTTCTTGTCACGTGTTCGGACATTTTCTCCCATATTCGTCGCCTGTCAGCACGCCGGCGCCGTTTCTTAGTGCCCAACGTCAACGTCTACGCCGCCTCGACGCCTTCAGATTCGCCTCAACCGTCGACACTCGACCTCTACTTACCGTTACCAAACTCAAACTCAAAAAGTAAGCCAACCAACGCCACACCATCATGAATACCTCGGCGTTTGCTATGCATTTTGGATTCACTCTGGAAATTGGTTTTTTTGCGTCTCGGCCTCCCGTCTAGCCCTCGCCGCATCCACGCCAATCTCCCACATTGTGTTTGCCTTGGTGCCCCGTGGCCATCCGGCCTACACACGTATAAATTCTTTGTCATTGTGTTTTGTTGCGAAACCTCGTCTCTGCAACTTTCCTTTTGCAATTTTATTTCTGCCTCGCTAGTCGCACAATTTGCTTGTTGTCTCTCCTTTCATGCACCTCGCTAACCACGCTCCTTCCTACAGCTCGCCACCTCGGCCTGTTTTTCATATTCTATTTGTGAACTGGTTATCGCCCCACAACCATCGCTCGCGATATCACAGCACCCTTGTAATCAACATGGTGGCGGAACAAGGCACCGGCGGCCCTGTTGAAAGGTCTAGACGCAACCTCTCAACCTCGGCCCCCTGTCCCAGCTCAGATGGCGAATCTGTACCTGAAACCGATGTCCAGATGCAGCAGCCTGCCCAAGTCGAACAAAAGGCCGCAACACAACCTCAGCCCTCTCAGGAGTCACCGCGCAGATGCGATTCTGCTCCCAGAGCAACTTCTCCTAGTGCAGCCCTCTCACCTAGGGATACCACCTCCCGCACAACCACACCTCAGCCCGACGCCAGCAAGTCTACCAGAAAGTCGAGCCATTCGCCCACCACCCCAACCTATCCTATAGAACCTCCCGTTACTCGCGCTACCCTCAGCGAACTCGACGTTACCAAAATTATACACAACCCTAAGCTCCGTCACGACATCAACTTCGACCCCGATCTGCATTTTCGACCGAACCTTGATGGTGACAAGGGTCGCAAGAAGTCGGACCGCGCAAATCAGTTCTGGCGCTCTTTGAAGAAAGAGCTAGCCATGTTTGTCGCCGACCGTCCTACCTTTTACACCACCTACGGACATGCCGATGATTGGACCCTTCCCACCTTGCTCAAAGCTGTCAAGGAGATTATCCAGACCCTGGTTCCTCAGCGTGATCGCCATTTCCTCGACGAGGGCCTCAATATCGAGCTCATCATGCAACAGTTTCACAAAGGTGTCGCGGACCTCGAGAAGCTCGCCCAGTGGCTGTCTCAGGTCCTCAAATCCCACTGCGCTCCCATGCGCGACGATTGGGTCGATGCCATGTACAAGCAGCTCAGCAACGGCAACAAGAATTCGGACCTCGATGAACTTGTCAACGGCATGCGCAGCCTGCTTAGTGTCCTGGAAGCCATGAAACTCGACGTCGCCAACCACCAGATCCGATGTCTCCGACCCGTCCTCATCGAAGACACGATTCACTTCGAGCAAAAGTTCTTCATAAAGAAAATGTCCTCTAGGAAGGTCGACATCACCTCGTCCAAGAAGTGGTACAAGGAAGCCGACGCCCTTTATGCTGACGACATGGCCAACCACGCCTTTGCCTTTGGCGACACTGGCGTCTTCTTCCAAGCTCTTACCCGACTGATCCTGCCCTCATCTCCGGACAAGCGTCTACCTAGCACCTTCCTCTTCGATGAGGAGCGTATTTTCAAGCTTCGCTCGGATATGCTCGATGCCATTAACCTGCAAGTCTGCATGACCATGTATGAGGATCTTGACCGCATCGGCCGCTGGAATCTCTCGGGTCTCTTTGCTGGTACCCCTATGAACGAAGATGCTACTCACAGCCCCACCTCGTCCAGCTCCGAGTTCAACTTTAACACGCCTCTTGAGACCTCTCGACCTTCCAGCATCAACTTCAGCAACAACGCTTCTCCAACCGCGTCACCTCGCTCTTCTCTGGGTCTCTCCAGCCACGCGGCTCCCGCCTACGTTGCCCCCGAGAACGCTGAAGCCAGGAACAGGACCCGCAACCTCTACAACTCTCTCGTTGCTCTCCTGCAATCTGCCAGCCCTGCTCAGCCCCAAGCTACTACCGCTCCTGATCAGCGCCAGACTGCTCGCTGGCGGTCCATTGCTCCCTCGATGGCCCTCGAAATCTTCCGCAACACCAAGGCTCCTGCTAGCATGCTGAGCACATTTGAGGACAAATTGACTGCCATCGTTTGCGGCATGCATTCCTCTCTTTACAAAGAGGTTGAGAAAAATCTCCACAGCCGTCTGATGGCTGAGCTTACCATTCGCGTACGTGAATACCGTGCGATTTCTGGTGTTGGCCTCTTCACGGCTGCTACTGCCAGCCGCTCTCAGGCCCGCTCCCACGATCAGGGCGAAGGTGTAATGGGGGACATAGCTGCTCGTGTGGCGCACCTTGGAGTCTTGCACTGGCGTGTCTGGTCGCAAATGGCCTACGCCGACGAAGACGGCATGGTGGTGGACTCGCAAACCTAAAGCTTTGGGTCGAGTCTCCTCTACCAGCGGGGCATTTTCTTAGTATCTCTATTGGCGACAAATTGCATCCTACAACAATTACAACTAATAATACGACGACGCGCGACTCGGCGGATAGAGGACGCGTGCAACGTCGGCTGTCCGCTCACTAACGAAGTCGACGCGGAGCATTTTACTTGCGCAAAGCGTGCCATAAAACGCATCTTGGGCTGCCTATCCTGAGGTGGCACCTTTTCGCCACCTGTACTGTACCACACTACTTGTTATTTGTGCGAGGCTTTCTGCTTTTGTTAGGCACTGTTGAATTTTTATGGGCGGGCGTTTGGAATGGACAGGGGCGAATGGGGGATACACTGGTTGTTTGATCTGTTTTCGTACAAATACCCCCAGAGGGATTATTGGTTTTAGCATTAAGATTTTGAAGCCCGAAGCTGTGGATAGGCAGACATGGGGACATATATCTTTATTAAATTATTATTTCTTCTCGCCATGTGTATCTGTAAGGGTGTAAGGGTGCATAGTTTGTACGGATTAGTGCTGGGAGCTATAAGTGTAATCATATGGGCAAGGGTCAGCTCAGAGATTCTGTAGCAGGGACCTGTTTTTTTCTCGCGTCATTGACTTGTAATGCTATCATGCCTATGTGTGCATCGCATATTATTGGAAGATATATTAGTGAATAAAAAGTAAGCACGACGAGTGTTGATGTGGGAAGACAATGACGACGGGCGGGGCCTGTGAAGACTACTACTTATCAGAAATAGTGCAGTGGGAATGCACAACGTTGAATCCCAGTCTGGATAACAGAGTCTTGGCCATGTTGCCATTCGGCGGCTTACGACACCAACAACAGAGACGCCAGTGATGCGTAGACAAAATCGCTATTTCCCCGTTTTCTACAGATATATGAAAAGGTCCACGTCCTTGTCCAACTCCAAAAAAAAGAAGGATATTCCAAGAAGAAATCCAAAAAGAGAGACGAGTAGAGCACGTACCAACACACGCCCTACTTCTGATCACTCTGAGCAATCCCTTCCCTTTTGTAATGCTTTCCAAGGATGGATACATTGCCATCCTGCTCCAAGCATCACGTCCGTTTCTGGCATGTTAAGGGGTCTTGCTTGTTAAAAACATCCCCTTGTCCAGTTCTTTCGCTCCTCATGAACGCCACCCAAATAGCTCGAACAGTCAAGAAAAATATACACCAAACAGAGCAGTTCAATAATCAAGGGTAACACAAAAAATGTAACTCTATCTTGCAAATCCCAATGCATATAGACAAGGAGCTTCAACTCCTGGGGTAAAAATAGCGGTGGCTGTTCAAACAAGTGAAGATGGTAGAATGTGTAACGAAAAGAGGCATATGAAAGAAGAAAAAAACGCCATCATGTAGTATGCGAAGCGTGAAAAAGCGGCCGGGTTCAATGAGGCCGTGAATCGTCGTGGGCGTTTGTGAATGCAGACCAAAGTGGCCCGTCTGTGTCGCGCGTGGTAGTAATTCCGCTGTTGGCGTAGTATTTACAGGGAGAGGAGTGGAAGCCTGGCAGCGCAAAACGACAAGTATAAAACAAAGGCTGCTGCTCTCAGGTGCGCGGCTCCGGCTTCAACGAGAATGGCCCGGACCGGGTGCCATAATCTGGCGTTAGGAGTGAGGGAGACGGCACAGGAGAGCTTATTCGTTGTTATCGTGGACTCAACGGACTCTTGCCAGGTCCTTGACTTCGTTTCAGGCGCGCAAGTTCTTCTTCGAGCTTGCGAGCTCGGCTTCGCTCCTCCTACCGCGGCATGTATTAGCAAGGTGCCGGCAAGATCAACGCTCAGCCATGTATCGATACGTACCCTCAAATCCTCCTGGAACTTCTTCCTCTCCTCTCTCATCGTGGCACGGAACTGCTCGCTTAGCATGGAAGCACCGGCGCCCCTACCGCTTCCGCCCACCTTGAGGCGGTGGCCGTCGAGTTCTTCCTGGAGCTGGGCAATTTGCTCGCGCGCCTTTTCCACTTCGGCCTCGAATTTTTGCCTGCCCTGCAGAGCCTCATCCAGCTTACTCTCCAGTTCCACCCTTTCGCGCTCGGCACTCAGAGTCTCCTTGGTGATGTTTTCGAGATCCTCCGCGGTACCTGCCAGCTCCTTCTTGAGCTTCTCTATTTGATTACTGAGCTTTTGTACTTCGGCATTGTTCTTAAGAGCCGCCACATCAGCCGCGCGTTCGGCGCGAGTCCCATAAGCTCCATCCAGTTCAGCGCGGGCGATGGTGACTTCTGTCTTGAGTTCGGCGATAGTCATATTGAGCTCGTCCATGTCGTTCTCCCTGTTCCTGAGTGTCTTTTCCCTGCTCTTCATATCGGCCTTGAGTGCTTCGGCGGCCTCTTCGGCAGCCCGCTTGTCGTCGAGAGCATTTTCTAGCTCTGCAGCGAGCTCGGCGGCACGCTTGCCTTCTGCCTCGACCTTTTTGATCTTCTTTTCCAGCAGCTCAATGGTCTCTTCGCGATCCTGAAGATCTGACTGGGCTTTTCCAGCAGAGGCTGCATGCGCGCGGGCCTGCTCAAGATCTTGCAAAGCCTCCGACAACATGTGCTGTGCGTCCAGGGCGTCTTTTTCTGCGCGCGCGACTGCTTGACGGCCCGTTTCAATCTCTTCTTGTCGATGGGCCAATTCTTCGTCCTTTTCGGCGTCGGATTTGTTGTTGAGCTCACGTTGTTGCTTGATCTGGCGTTTGAGCACTGTGCGCTGGTCTTTGAGAGTGGCTGTTTGCGATGACAGGTAGTGCACCCTGGTTGTGAACGACTTGAGATTGTACGCCTCAGAGTGGTCAAACTCGTCGTCGGAGCCCTCGTCCTCGTCATTCTCGGACAGACCCTTGTCAACGCGGGCTCTGCGACGCTCCTCTCTCCGTTGCCTGGTACCAGCAAAATCTTTCTGGATGACACTCCACAAATTGAGGACAGCATCATCAGTCTCACCGCCACCACCTGCGACGCCTTGGAAAGACTCTTGCTCGGCCTGGACAGCAACCAAGCCTGTCTCTAGGTAGTCGATCTGATGTCTCAGCATCTCGAAAGGCTTGGCATTTGAGATGTTTTGAGGGGGCTCAATGTAATCCTTGTTGATTTCGGGGTTGAATCGCACAATGGTGTCGCGCAGAGAATTGTTAAGCGAGCGGAGCTTCTCCCCAAAGTCGCTGACAGATTTGATGAGGATGAGGTTTTCTTCTTTGACGCGGTCCATCTCGCCACGCTCTCTGTTTGGCGATTTCAGGGGAATCTCAATGGCATTTTTGCGAGCCATGGGGTCGAGCGGATACATGCCGTCCTCAAAGTAATTTTCATCGCCAGCAGCATCGAGACTGTTGCGGCCGTGGGAGTAGGTATATAGGCTTTCAGGGCTCCCGGGAATGCCATTGGCGACTTGTGCCTGCTGGGCGCTCTTCTTCTTGGAGACCTTGTGGGTGAGCTGGAGAATACCAGCGGTGTGCTCGAGGATGCGTTGTTGAGGAATCATGAGGCTCTTTTCGAGGTTGAAGAGTTCGAGAGCGAGCTCTTCACATTTGCGTTCGGTCTGTATCGCGTCATCTTCGGCTTGGGGATCTCGGGGACCGTCGGGAGACAGCTTGGCCATGGACAGGGCAGCATCTCGGTACTTGGTCTGGATGGCGAGATTGGCTCTGGTTGAGTCAATGCGCTGCATCATGAGCTGGGACTGCTTCTTCAGGTTGTCGACCTCTTCCTGGGAAAGGATTTCATATTTTTTGCTGTCGGCTAGTGCGGTTTCGGTGAGGAGGTGGATCTGAATCGGGTCTTTGAGGTCGACGACGGCTGGACTGGGTGTGCGATTGATCTGCTAGCGAGGTCGAGTTAGCGACCAGTCACGTCCATTGGGACGCGTCTGATTGATCGCATGATGCGCTGCAATATGTGAGTACTGAAGCTACTCACCGAAGCGTATCGCGGCGCGTCTCGGTCCTCGCCGACAAGCATGTTCCTCGCGAACTCTTCGACGGCGGCCTTGCCGCCTACGGTAGGGCCAGCGGCGGCTGATGGATTGGAGACGGCATAGTCGTAGGGGCTCCTGCCCGAGGCAACGCCGTTCATGGCAGGATATCAGCTGCGTGGCCGGACTGAATTCATCAATACATCAATCAAAGCCACCGCAAGGATCAGCTCGGGGCGGCGTTGTAGCAGGCGGGGAAGCGATAGCAAAATGATGGGCCGCTGGCCACGTAACGGTTATATCCAAGATGTAATAAAAATACAAAGAGCGTCGCAAGTAGCAAAATGAGTTGCCAGGCCGAAAATCGATCGGGGGCGCAGGCAGGTCGAGGAGGTTGGGGGAATTCGTCTAGAGGCGCGCGCAGGTGCGAGCTGGTAGGAATTCGGGGCGAGGACCCTTGCGAGCAGCTAGGAAGGAGGACTGAGCGGCATGCAAAGAGAACAAAGACAAGGAGAGTCGTATTCTTCTATTCGCCTTGCGCCAGAACAGGGCAAATTGCGAAGCTATCTTGATTCTGTCGTACGATGGCGGGCCAAAAGAAGCTCCAAGGGGGGAGGTGCACAGAAGGCCAGGTACAAAGGTGCCTAATAATGGGCAGGAGAAAAGGAGACGTTAGCGGATTTGGTCGAGGTAGTGGACAGTTGCCGCGAAGAGCAGGTGGGTCAGAGGTGCTTGTACCTGAGACCCCTGCAGATACTTGCATCGCAACTTGACACACAGTGGATCGCGAGCGGCTCGCGTTCAGTCATGTACTCTTTTCTGGGGAGTGACTTCCATGTTCTCGGCTGGTACCACCGTCACTGATCCATGCCTTCTCACGATTAAGCCCTTCTAGGGTCTTTATCAATCTTGACAATCGCAGAGTCTCAGCCCTTTGCCAGGATGACCAGGGCCGAGTTCGGGGAAGCATCTATCGACAATCAACTGAGCATGAAATCTGACCCTGATTTTCTGAAAATCTGGTCTCGCTTGGCCCCCCTGCTGCAACCTGCAGGTGCCGCCCCCTGACAGCTTTCATTTAATTACGCCGCCCGGTGCCCCAACCGATCTGCCGAGAATGGGCTTTATTCGGACATGCCGAATTGACCCAACTCCAGAACAAGTCCCGAACAATGTTTATTAACATCACGATAGAGGCAATTTGCAATGCTCAAGCCATGTGCATTCTTCTAGAAGATGCCTGACTACCTCGACTCGCAACATCTCGCCTCGCGCCGCTTAGGTAGCCAATCCAAGTCCCAAAACCTTCTCGGCGTCCTTGCACGTAGGAATCACAACGCTTTCCCGTAATTTTGTCTTCTATTAATTGGCCCTCAGTGTAAGGTTACAATGCTTCTCGGAACTGGTCCACGATTTGCTGACCCATCGTTCGTCTTCGATCCCCATCCTGCAGCCGCTCACCAACACCACCACCCGCCGCATCAACACCCGTCGACGCACCAGCACCCCCCGCTGCCGTCGCCGCATTCTCCCCCTCCAACCTCCTCCGGAGTTGCTCAAACTCGGCGCCGCTGCGCTGCGTCTTGACGCCCACCACCCACCCGGGCACCCTCCACGTGAGCAGCGTCGCCGGTAGCAGAGCACCGCGCCACGCCCAGCCCACTGCCCAGCCCGCCGCCGCGCCCACCACCGACCCGGGCCACTGCAGCAGCGCCAGGTGCAGCGCCAACGCGTACTGGTACGACTTGTCCGACAGCGTCAGCCCTGTAAAGGTCTCGCTGCTCGTCGTCGTCGTCTGAGATACATCCGCGGACGACGTCGCGATCCGGTACTTGTACATGTGCGGCACCATGGCGTGAAATTGTGCAAGCACCGCAAAGATGATGGGCGTCGGGCCGCCCGGCATGTAGTTGAACAGGCTCGGCGCCAGCGGCCGCAGCACTGTCATGCACGCAGGCGGTACAATCGACGTGATTAGAGACGTGACGACAAGGAACGACTGTTTCAAGCCCGTTAGCCATAGCTTTACCGTTGTAGACGGCGCTCCTCTGTACTTACCGCATATTTTCTTGACCCCCACATGCGCTCGACGGTTCGTAGATTGTACAGCGACATGGCGGCGAACAAGACCTCGGCCGAGTTGGTGTAGCACAGCTGATACGTAAACAGCCTCCAAAACTGTCCGTACTGCACTATGTGCGGGTTGATGAGAATGTACGCATAGTGTTTAATGTCCAGCAAGCTCGCCGCAATCGACGCCGACACGAGGCCCAGCACCACCAACCTCGTCACTGGCGTGTTTGTCAAGGTCATTCTTTGCTAGGTTATCGCTGCTTCGAGTAATCCGGCTTGATTATGGTCGCTGACGATGTAGTGGGAAGGAATTTGGCCTCGTCGCGGGGAGCCTGGGGTGGCGCATCGATCGGCCGTCAGTTGACGGGCGCCTTTGAAGACAACTATTCTTAAAAAATTGCGTTCGTCTAGAATAGCCAGTTCTGTGTGGCGCAGCTCGTTGGCAAGAAATGAAGTCGATAATTTGTTGTGCCGTTTGTCGCAGCGCATGCATAAAGGTCGAGGAACTGGACAGTTTGCTCGGCATCCGAATGTGGTATCGTAGGGATCCGTCACGTGCAGCCTGAACAGCTTCAAATTAGACCACCCTCGACATTCGTGCGATGAGGCTCAATCGAACAGTAAGTATGATTCTGTTCACAAAATCGAACTTCTATTACACTTGAGCTAGTATTCAAGCAAAATGCAAAGTCGTCTTCTAGGCCTGTTAAACCGGACTCCGTCATAACGCCAGCTCCGTCCGCTTCGCCATGTACATATAGACAGCATGCGCTCACGCGACCGAGAGAAAGAAGCAAGGATTAAAAATTACGAAGACATAGGCTTTACAGCTTGGGCTTAGGAGCTCCATTGTTGGCAGTCGCTTCGTGGTTGATAGTGACCTCGCCCGTCTTGGGACCGTTGCCAAAGAAAATGACTTGCACAGTCAAGTCGTCCCTAGACAAATCACACAATTAGGTCTCCATACGCCAGAGGCAAAAAAATTGCATAATCCACATACCTATAACGCCGAGAGAAAGGGGCAGGAAGAGTTAGGAGAGCGCGGACTTGCTCATCGTTGGAGCCACCCAGCGCATTGCGAACAAGATGTGTCGCCACATTCTTGTCCTTGACTAGGAATCGACCCTTGGCATCAGGGTCATTTCCCCACTGCTGCATACGAATCGGCACACGCTGACCTTCACCAGCACCAGCGGACTCTTTGCTCTGCTCGACGGGCAGCGCCTTATTCGAGGCGCCAAAGACCTTGGCCCATGCCGACTCAAAGTGCGAGCTAGACGAGCCCGTCTTGGCCTGCGACTCGATCCACTGGCCAACAAGGCCAACGACCTCGTCGTTAGTGAGCATTTCCCAGAGACCGTCGGTGGCAAGGACCAGAAAGTCGCCGTTCTCGGGGCTAATCTTGGTCGTCGTCACTACCGGCTCCGCGGTAACGTACGGGGGCGTTTTTAGCAGCGGCGACTGACTGCGGGCGAAGAAACCCTGCTTGAGCTTGATAGTGGTTTCGCGGCTCCATTTGTAGACGGCGTCGCCAAAAGCGCGGGTAGGCTCGAGCCCACCGAGCACACGCCCATGGCGCACGACATTGTCCTCGCCGGGGTGCTCTCTGCGCAAGCGCGCGGCTTCGTTGGGGTTCGAGCCAGTCTGATCCTCCGAAAGGGCAGTGGCCGTCCACTTGCCACTGTTGGAGCGGCGACCGAGGACAGCGCGCGAGTCACCGGTGACGGCCACTCGAAGAAGTTGGCTCTGGGTATCGTAAAAGGACAGCAGAGCGCATGATCCCGACAAAGCTGGCTGCAGCAGCTCAGCAGCCATGGCCTTGGAGCTGGTCTTGAAGACTTTTTCGACGCTCTTGTGGACAATCTCGTCATCCAGCTGGGTAAAGCCAGTCTTGATCGCGAGGTCAATAGCATCGGCGCTAGGCAGGTTTCCTTTGGTTGCCTTGTATGTCTCATTTAGTTCCCGAGCCACGTAGCTGATGAGACTTTCGCGTAGCGTCGCCGAAGTCGTCCAGCCAGAGTGGCCATCGAAAACGCCCCAAAACATCCAATCGTTGTTTGTGCCATCAGCCGACGAAGCCTTGACCTCAACAATCTTCTCGGCGTGGTCATCTTCAATGGGATCGTTGCTGGACAGTTGAACAAGGTCGTAGCGAGTCACACCCTGGCCACGGTTGACAGAGAAGGACTCCTCCAACTTGCGGAGCTTCTCCGTAGCCAGCTCAGGGGTCAGCATCTCCACGATGCGGCGTCCGTCACCCGTCGTTTTCGAAATCGGCTCTTCGCCCACAATTGTCCCCTGCCGCAGTTCGTCAGCACCGACTACAAGAACGGTCCTGGTAGGCAGGGCCGCAGACGCCGCGCCTGTTGTGGCGCCCAGAGGTCCCTGACCGCCGGTCGAGGTCAGACTGCGTGCGCCAGCCGCGTTGGTCAAATTCCAGCCAGTACCTCCGTTGTAGGAGTACCATGCGCCGTAGCCAACGAGGGCGCTGGAGACGAGCGCAGCAGGGATGCGCCTAAAGAACATGGACGACCGCAGGGGCACGCTGGCTGTCTGCGAGCGGCGAGCGGCGGTGGCAGCGGTCGTGGAGGTGTGCAGCGAGGCGGAGGCGCGTGAGGCAGAGACGAGGGTCGACGGCCGGAAGGTGGAGGAGAGAAGGCTTCTCAGCGAGGGCCGGCCGAGGGCAGCCGATCGTATGCTAGTTTGGCAGGTTGTCCGGACAGCTCGCAGAGCAGCGAGATGCATGGCGAGGCCCGAGCTCGGAAGCTGTCCCGGTAGAGGCGATTGCGGAGCGGACAGCTGCTGTGAGGTCTTGCAGCAGGACACGAGGGCGTGAAGTGGGTGACGAGATGACGCCTCGAGCCGATGCTTTGACACGGAGGAATAACGGCTTGAAAGGATGAAGTGGCACAATCTGGAGAGGTGGGGGGAGGCCCGGGGTGGATGAAGCTACTAGGCACGGCAGCGCGGCAGCTTCAAGCAGGTGGCCACTCAGCGCTGTGGCCGGCGAGGCAGATGCTTACCTACCTAGGGTATAAGTAGTACCTAGGCAAATAAGTGCTAGTAGTGTCATCAGACAGCCAGACACACTCGGCAGACAGAAACTTGATGCAAATTTGTATTCTTGGTTTGCAAGATCTAAGCCGAACGCCACATAATTAGAACGGTCGAAAACTTGGTCCTCCTCGTTCAAAGTCCAGCATGGTATCACCCAGCAGCACAACACCACCACTCTGCATTTTCTCCAACCGAGGTTCTACCACACTCAACAAACAGCTCAGCCTCCTTAACCGGAGGCAGACGCACAGTGGGCCTCGAGCAATCATTTTGAGCAAATCAACACACAATCGCAATCGCCGTGATAAATTGCTGCTCCTAATAAGTTATCTGATCCTTGTATGCACCTCAACTGGTACCTGAAAAGCAGCCCTCTCTCCCCACAGTCGTTTGTGGGCCCCAAACCATCAACAACTTCATCAACCGCCGTTTAGAGCCTCGAAATTCTTTGTCCTTTACTTGCCCGCCTTTATTCCCTTACAAATGCCACCGTAACCCATTTTTTCTTTTCTCATTACAGTTCTTTCTTCTCTAAAATCTCATCATCAGCGCTTCTTGTATTAATACCCAATATCTCGCCCGTGTTTCCGCGCGAGGCCACTTCATCATCGCCGACAAGCGCCCCCCCCATCCTCATAACCTCACGCGCCATGGCTGCCGAGCACCTATCAGGCGTCCGGGGCATCCGCTCCCTCACAGACCAAGACGCTGTATTCCGTGCCTTTGACTCGTATCCTTGGACCAAGGATAAGGCATTTATGGTAATTCTGCTGCCCTGCTCCACCTCCCCGTCCCCGGGACCAAAGGCTCTCTACTGACACAAATATCCCCGCGGGCCGCAGTCCGGCCTTCACGCCATCCTCGGCGACCCCAACTCGCCAAACCAACAAAGCTCGCCCGCTGACATGGCCGTTCACGCCCGCATCTTTTACTATTCCCAGCGTGTCGGCGTCGGCATTGACTTTGCCGCCTATCAGGCTTGGCTCGCCGCGAACCCGGACCACGCCCCGCCTAGCATACTTCCACCAGAGTATCTGACCGGCAGCAGCAACGGCGGGCCGGCGGTGTCGCCGGTGCTTGAATGGCAAAAGGCTGCTCCCAAGGCGGAGTTGTACGTTGATCGCGCCGCTGCCGCCGCCGCTGCCGGAGACCAGCCGGCGTATCCAATGGCCTTTGCCGAGATGATCAAGCTGCTCCAGGAGGGCAAGGAGGTGCCCGGTATCCGTCAGATACCAAATACCGTCATCAGAGACCCAGTATGTCCGCTTTCCCTAAACAGCACAAAGGCTCGATTCAGCGAAAGGCTAACGTGCGCAAGACTGTCAAACCCATGGGAGCTCGTACAGCACCTCGCAAGCCATGGGAAAAGAATGACGCTACTTCCTCTGATGATTCTTATAGGTTAGCTACTCTGGACACGGATTTTCCTCCAGTCGAGCCAGCAATTTCCGAGCAACATCGAGCAGAAGCTGCTTAGAAGCAGCATTTCTAGGCTTATTGATTGATACCTACTTTTATTCCGGCGTCGTTGCATTTCAGCCGTCAATGGATTCATCATCACCTACATCTTGCATTCACACCCAACCAGTCTTCCTCGATGTAAATAGTCATACAATAATGCATTTGCTAGGATACACTTCACCAGCCTGCTCCTGTCCTCCATCTCATATCCACCGATGATAAAAGGGTCACTATCTCTATCGATTTTTGCGCGTTCCTTTTCGGATAGACTATCAATAGTGCTTCGCCTCGATAGTCACTACGTCAGACCTCTCCCCAAATAATTACTGCGTCTGCTTCGCAGCAAGCTGCCCCCCCACCATATTGCAAAATTCATAATCATAATGTGTCCAATGCACCCAGTCAAGCTGTAGCTTACTGAGCATAGGATGACGTTTGATCTGTAATCTAACTTCGTGGGAAAATATTGTTAAGAAGAAATTGACAAAATCTTATCCTTCGGGCATTTCGACATGGAAAGTTTGTCCGTACTTGAGATGAGGGTGTCCTTGATCCGCCCACTGGGTCAACAATATCATGACATTCTGCCAGTTGCATAAACACGCCATAGCTAGCCTCGGCAGCCACTATATAGGCTGCTCTAGTTATCTGTAGTTGGTGCCATATCTTGGGCCGGGCAACCGACCTGGAATGCTTGGTCCGCTTCCGTGTCCTGGCCGTGTCGTCACTGCATGGTTGGTACAAAGCATCCCAACTCGCGAGCCGAATTTGGAGCCTCGAAGAGACACCATGTGCTTGCGAATATGTGCCGCTACCATTTCCCGATGCTGCGGTGTTGCATTATTCAAAATCCATTGGATCAGATAATTGCCATATTGATCGCTGGCAATGTCGATCAGGGGAATTCGGGTTCTGTCACGGCGCCCTTCGCACACACGGTCCAAGTAGCGACCGAGGAAATCTGTGCCTCCAATTTTGAGGCACTTTTCCACAACCTTCGATGCGAATTGGTCCGTCGAATATTCGGATGCGTAGCGGATAACGTGATCGATCGCCCGGCTTCGGTCAGGAGGACCGCCATGCTCGCATACATGCTGAATGCACCAGTTCCCAAACTGACCGTGGGCAACAATATTAATGTTCGCCAACACCTCCTCAATGCACGGGCGCTATGATCCATGTTAGTGACGTCAGTTTGTTTTACCGTGTGCGCATCTGCGACTGACCTTATCTTCTTCGAGGCAGTTTTCGAATATATTCTGGACTACCAAGCTTCCAGTCTCACCCAATGCAACTTCATGCCACATGCCACGGAGAGCTTCGTTGACATAGGTCATGATTTGTGGGGGGGATTCGGTCCAACGTAGCTCGAACAGCTTCTGCCAAACATGGCATGCATATCGATGAATAACAGTCTCGGGGATTCTGCGAAGCAGCTCATGAACCATGATTGCTTTGTAGTTCTCAGGGACAGAATCAAAAGCCTTTTGCACAACATGGCACCCAAAGGGGTCCATGGAAAGACTGAGAGTGTTGCCACGTATGGCTTCGGCAATTTTGATGACCTGCTCTGGGGTGCCATGCTCAAAACAACGCTGAACTAGAAAATTTCCAAATCGATTAACCATAAGCGGGTAGGCCTGGGCGACGATGGCTTCGACTATCTCGTATTTCTGCTCAGGCGTGCCCACTTTGAGCTTTTGTTGTAAGAAAATGGAAGCTTGCTGATCGTTATTGCAGACAATCTTGTCAACGATGTACTTCTAATTGCAGTTGACATTGCGATCGAGTAACCGACGATAGTTGAGTGGCTCGGTAGGAGGTAGATACGTAGGTCCTTCCGAAAGAGTCATCTGAGGCATGTTAGTGAAGCCTGGACAGCTGTGGCGACGTGCGTACCTCATTTTTCCATCCTGCCTTTGAAGTGAACTCGGATGCATGCGGGGACAGTGCTGTGCCAGCTGCCTGCTGCTGATACTGCGGATACATGGCCATACCGGAGCCCGCCTGTGGGTGGCTCATATTCATGGCTGGGCCATTCATGGTACTACTCATCGAGTCAAAAAAGTTTCCACCCGGTCCGTGTGCCGCGACATAACCAGAAGGCACTCCCCGACTGTCGTATCGGGTCCCACGTCGATTATTTCCAGGGCGGCTCATCATGTCTGACTCTTGGGTCATACGGTCTCGGAAACCATCTACGACAGGAAAAGGCACACCAGGATCAGCAAAAGGGTGCGCTGCACGACCTCCCAACCAACTCGTAGGCGAAGGATCCGCAACGCTCGATTGGCTGTTGTTGTGGCTAAAAGAAGAAGCTTTTGGCTGGCCCCAAATTCCTCTTGTACGGCTAAAGGCAGATGCAGACAATGTATCGCTTGTGTCGGAATGAGAGTCCTCGGTGATGGGCCAAGGGCTATCACGGGAAGCCGGAGCGGATCGTCTGCCAGCCGCTGAGCCCGAAGTAGTGGAATCAGGCTCGCTCGTTCGTGATTGCGCAAGTTCCTGATCAAGTTTCGAGATTTGGTTCTGGGCTTGTGCAAGTTGCAGCTTGAGACGCAGCACTTCATTCACATCGAGCCGTGCCTCGTCTATAGTTGCACTGGCTGGGCGAGTTGTGGGGGCAGCTGTTTGGAAGGCCTCGGTCGCAGGGGTCATTGGAAGTGAAGTGCTGGAAGATCCTAGCTCCGCAAAAGACGAGAAATGCCCCTCCATGGCCTTGTGCTGGGTGGACTGCTGGTTCAGCGTGGCTTGTTGTTCGGAAAGCTTGGCCAGCAACTTATCCATAGGGTATGTGTCTTTGACAAGACCGTCTTCCGTTGCCATCTGACCATGTCTAAATTAGGTTCTCTTGTTCGATGCTGCAATCTAGACTCGGCGCTGATGCTTACCTTTGATCCAAGGTTATTGGCAAGTTTGGAAGTCGAAAGCGCCTTGACTAGGTTCGGAGCTGCCAGGAAACGAGAGCCATCCTAGAAAAGTATGTTAGTATGCCAGGAGAATGGTAAGTTCTCAGGAGGGATAATCTAACAGCAGTTGACCTATTCCCGGACAGTGGTGAATTGGTTGATGTCCCGATAGCCTCTTGAGGGGACGGCCCAAGCGAAGAGGGTAGAGACCGCTGAGGTGTCGAACCGCTGGAGACAGATGCAGACATGAGAAGCCACCAGGGGGGACACAAACAAAAAAACGAGCCCGTGCCTACTCACGACAAGGCTTGCGTGTGTCTCTTGGCAAAAAATGATGATGAACACGCATTCGAGAAAAGAAGACAAAATGCAAAACGAGGCTGCTGCATGCATGGGTGTAGCTGGAGGTAACGGGAGAAGAAGAGTCTGGAGCACAAGAAGGAAGAAAATGCAAAACGCACCCAGAATCTGCAAGGGGCGACGGTTGCCAGTCGGTAAGGTAGTCGTTCGAAAGAACAGCCGGCTTCGGCCGTGGCAGGTGCCGTCAGGTGCTGTCAGGTGTAGGTAGGTAGCGAGCGAGGTGCGTTCGCTAATGAAGCTGATGTAAATGCTGCAGGTCGAGCCAGTCAGGCAATTATCAGCCAGCAAATATGGCCAAGCTGCTTAGCTCAGGAAAGTTATAAACTTTGGCCTTTGGTAGGTACGACGTACGCAGCGATGCGTTTGCACGGCCCATTCAATGCTCGACTGCACGGCTGACAAAGTAACCGTTTTCACTTTTCACACCGCCTAGCAAACGCAAAACCGAGCATCAAGAGAGTTCTTAAATCGTTCCACGAATCCCACAGCTATAATATCGGGCCGATTCGAGTATATGAGGGCTTCTATCAAGAGTATTGGTACAGTAATTGCTACAACGCTTCAAGCACTGTTGCTTGCTTGCGCGAACCGAGTGATTCAGCTTTGGCTTTTCTGCCATGCTGCGAATCTTTTATATGTATTCGCTGGTATGTCCGCTGGTCGTTTTAATTGATCAGCGCATTCTATTTCTTTTTGCCCTTGGCTGGCGCTGGAAACGGGGTTAGCAAAGGTTCGCAAGAAAGAAATGTCATCGGCTATGCGCTTACCGGCAGCCGCAGGCGCCGATTTCTTCTTCGGGTTACTCTTCCCACGAGCCTTGAGTCTATTGGTAGGAGGTTAGCATTTATGCAGCGCTGGACGCAGTCGCTGGACACCCACTCTTCAATGTACTCGAAACGGGCCTCCTCGTCCGGATCCCACGTAGCGAGCTCGGGACCGAATTCAGCCTTGACGTCCTTGATTGTGATAATCTTTCTGGGGTAGTAGGCGGCCATCGCGGGCCCGCGTAGGCGTTGGCGCAGAACTTTGTTGCCCAGTCGCGTTCGTTCAGGGTTAAATGTGGTCGCAAAGACTTTGCATTGTGCCTGAGATAGTTAGTCAATCACGGTCGCTTCACATGACAGCGCTTTTTCACCTTCATGAGATCTACTACCCGTGCGCGTGGGACACTCATCGTGGACTGTGTGTTGCAGATATGTCGTTGCGGAAGGATCGAAAGATGCCATGAAGTCCATAGGATCGCAAAAGTCAAGCAGCTTGCGTAGATCACGGGTGTTGATTGGTCAGTGGCTGTATTTCGGACCCACTTCATATATCTCGACTTCAGATGCATTTCTTGCCATTTTCTTCTTTGACTAATCAGTCGCACAAGTCGAAATGACAAATCTTCTCTTGACTCTCCACATATAGTACTCAACTATGTCGAAACGTCGTTTGTCTTCTCACGGCGCCGATACTGGCGATACATCGAATACAGTGGTCAAAAGACAGCAAACGCAAGATCTAAGAGATGGTCAACTGTCGGATGGAGAATTCATTGCGCTAGAGAGATTGGCGGATAGTGCAGACAACATCATATCCGCTTTTCAGAAACTGAAAAGGTGCCGCAACAGCGTCAACGAAAGGCGTAGTCAAGATGCAGAAATGTTGGCAGCGAGAAGGGATCTTGCAGAGCTGAGCGACAGCATTACACCACAGCTGCAGCTACTCTCTAGAACACTGAATTCAGGTTCAGATGCCGTAAAGAACTCTATATTGTTGGAGTCAAATTTACGCATTCCTTCTATGGATTATGCGACACCCTGGCGCTCGTCCGAAATGTCACGAGAGCTACCACCGCTACCAGCAGTCAAGGACAAAGGGCTCGAGAAGCTAGCTTTTACACATCCCGGCTCGGTTCCTGGAAGTAGGCCGGATCAGCAATATGAGAGGCTGGAATGGCTAGGAGACGCATACCTGGAACTTTTCGCCACTGCTCTCATCGACAAAACATTTTTGCAGCTACCTTCTGGTCGTTGCTCTCAGATTCGAGAGAGGCTCATTCGAAATACCACACTGGCATCATATTTCCGAGAATACGGCTTGGAGGCACGAGCCAGACTACCAAGCGACGTTATCAATCAGAAGAAGCCAAGCAGGGGCAGCTCTAGTGACAAAGACTTGCTGAAGACGCAGAGCGACATGTTTGAGGCATATGTCGCGGCGGTGATTCTCTCAGATCCCGCAAATGGCATTGAGACGACAATGAGCTGGTTAAAGGCACTCTGGGCCCGGTCTCTTATTGAAGACGTACAAAAGGCGGAACGGAGCCAGACGCTGGTGGCGAGGACCGAAAACACACGACGCGAGCGAACGCCAAAAGAGGAACTGAGTTCAAGGATTGTGATCAAGGGAATTAGGCTACGATACGAGAGAATGGAGTCCAAGAAAAGAGATAAGCATTTGGGACAGGAGCTGTTTACTGTCGGTGTCTACCTGGATGGCTGGGGCGAGTCGGGCAAGCTTTTGGGTGTAGGATCTGCTCTGAGCATCAAGGAGGCTGGTCAAAAAGCCGCGGCGGGAGTCATGGAAAACAAGAAGCTGATGAAGGTGTATGAGAGCCATAAGAAAGCATTTTTTGAGGGAAAAGGCGATGAGGTGTAAGAGAGATTAGGTCAATGGCAGGTATAGAGACCATGGCACATGTACACTTGTCGAGTGTTGGATACTATCTCGCTTTTTTTTTTTCTTCCAAATATTTTTGATACCTGGCAAATGCGAAATGTCTCTTCTTCCTTCAGGGCTATAATTTAGCATTCAAACTATAAAGCGATAATGCGTACCTGTAAAATGGCGAGCCTTCCCGAGCTGGTCACAGTAATACAAGCATCGGGTTTCACGTGTTTGTACCGCAACTTGGTGGCCAGCTGTGCACGCCAGCGATGGTGCGGCTTTGGGATGGCAGAAGCGCTAAAAGACCTACACCCACCTCAAAAGACGAATTCTACCCCGCCTGAAAGACGGACAAAGGTCCGCTATTGGAGCAGGTTTGAGGCGCCGTACGAAGTAATAGCGGCCTGAGTGGGTAGCTGTCGCATGCGAGGAGTATCAATCATCATTTAGGTGGAGGGTGGGCCAGGCCATCGGCGCAACTTGGACTCGCCGAGGCACAACTCGACAAGCCTGCACGCCCGCAAGCCTACTCTTGGGGTGGCAACCTGCTAACGTTACCAGTAATTAAGGTAGGTACCTATGGAGCTCCGTCCCCAGTGGGCCGCCGCATATCAGAACTAAATGGGTTTGCTTTCCTCTCACACCAGATCTCGGGGTGCTCTTCTTCTCCATCATAATCTCCCGGTTTCATATCTTCATTTATTTCTCTCTGTCCCCTGTTTGCTTCCATATTTCCGTCCATTGCTCTGGCTGTTTGCCTTTTGTGCTCCGCTACTGCCCTCCCTCTAGCCGTGCTGTTATCCCTCGGCGGGGTCCTGACGCCATTGGCACACCCGTTCCGAGGTACCGGCAAAATAGGTACCTACCTGATCCAGCAGGCTGTCAATGTCAGCACCGCGAGCCTTCGCGACTGCACTGAATTGATCGCGTCATCATCTCTCGATAATCGCATTCGGCGTCCCTCATCATCATGGCGGACTCTGTAGGTATGTCGGTCAAACCGCGACCCTCGCACATCGTGTCGTGCACGTCCATCGCCATCAGCTAAACTAACCAATCAACACAGATCGGGTCTTTGTCCATGCCCTCAACACAGTCAAGAAAATCCCCAAGACGGGCGCGTCGCGTCCGCCACCCTCTGAACGACTCAGGCTATATGGACTCTACAAGCAGGCAATGGAGGGCGATGTGGACGGCGTCATGGAGCAGCCCATGGCCGGTGCCGGGTTGACCCCGGAGGAGCTGCAACGGGAACGCGACAAATGGGATGCATGGAATTGTCAAAAGGGCATCAGCCGTACCGAAGCAAAGAGACGTTACATAGAGGCTCTCATTGAGACTATGCACAGATATGCAACGACAGCGTAAGACGTCCCGCGAAACTTCGGCATGATGCCCCTTGGAACTCAATTGGACTGACGAGCGTGCCAACAGAGACGGAAGAGAGCTAGTATCAGAACTGGAGTTCGTCTGGAACCAAATCAAGCACAACAGTCCCAGCGCCACCGATTCTTCACCACAAGCTGCGCCGCCGCCCAGGCGCTTCACACAGCCAATGAGCGGCAGCGATGGGCCCATGAAGATGCTAAGTCCCATGAGCGAGCAAGATGAAGCCGAGCTACGATCGCAACGGCAGACGGATCTTGAAGATCGCGAAATGGGCCACGATGTCAGCGTCGGAAGTGGCCGGTCACAGCGGAGAATGGAACGCGCCATCACCAAGTTATCCGCCGAGGTGGCTGCCATGCGGGAGCAGATTTCGACTGGCCGGGAGTGGAGGTCAAAGAAGGATCGCAGCTTTCCATCATGGCTTGGCTGGCTAGTCTGGTCCATCATGAAGCACCTTCTTATCGACTGTGTCATTCTGTCTCTCATTTTAGTCTGGATGAGGAGGCGCAAGGATCGCCGTCTAGAGGACCTCGTGCGTGCAGCACTTACTCTCATACGAGAATACGTAAGAAATATCGTTCCTGCGAGGTGAGAGGGGCAATAGTGAATGGATTTTACATGATATTTGCAGTGGCAGCGCATACTGGCAGGCCCTAGCCCAGGACTATGGGAGTGTTTATGGCGCGCAACGGAAGACGCTGCGCCTCTCGAAATACAAGAGCAGCCATTGCTACACGACTGCAAGTCGTGCAACGGAGTGTAGGGCTGACAAGATCATGGCTGGCCTCGATACAGCCCAGGAAATGACTCCACCACTCGCATCAATACCACCATCTTATGTTGCCGGCTGCAACCGTCGATTTAGCGATACAAACTTGTACGAACACGGGCCTGGAAGTCATGATGGGGAGTTTTATTTGTACTAGATACCACTGGAAGGATAAGATATATAGGCAGCAAGCATAAACATTGATTTATTTGTCTAACATGTGGACTTGTAGTATCTTGCAGCCTGTCCACAAATTCCCTGACTGATCAATCACGGAGGTACGACCGTTGTGCAAACGCCCAGCGTGCATATTCACTCTGGGTCCCATGCATGCGACAAACGCGCCCAACACAGCCTTGTTTAACCCGGTCGATTGATTTTTCCTTATCCCCCAATTCTCTTGCCTACATGCAGCAAAGTTGAACCTCTACTTCTTCTTCTTCTTCTTCCCACCTTTGTGCATGCAGGCTGGGAGCGCAAGCTCAGCCCACAGGCCACCCACCATGCCAGGTCCTCCTCCTCCTCCCGGCGCCCCAACGTCACCCAAAGCCATGCGCCGCGCGCGCTCGCCCTCTTCCTCCACCAAGCGGCGCCCCCGATCACCATCCCCCGGCAAACGCAATGTTGACCGCGGCTCGAGCCGTCGCGGCTCCGTCTCTGACGACGCCGATGCCGACGTCGTCATGGGCAACACATCAGAGCAGCCACCGACAACAGCCTACGCCGCCGCCGCCACCGCAGCGACAGTAGCAGCAGCAGCAGCAGCAGCAGAGGCGCAGCCCATCATCCCCCGGCTGCGGTCCATCGCGCCCGCCATCTTCGTGCCTGTGGCCAATGTGATGCCCAGCGAGGAGCACCTGCAGAAATTCGCCGCGCTCGCGGAAACGAACCGCGTCGAACACATGCGGCAAGCGCTCTCGCAGTGCAACCGTCACGCCGCCGCCGTGCGCGTCAATTTCTTAACGTTATTCCGCCGCGAAACCGCACGTCTAATGCAGCTAGCTGCCGCCGCCGCCGCGAAAGAGCCGCCTTCCGCGCAAAAGCAGCAGCAGCAGGGAGAGCGGCGCGGCGGGTGGTCGGCCACCGAAGCGGACCTTGAGCGCATGCTCGCCAGCATGGCCACGCCCGGGCCCCCCACGCAACAGCCCGCGCCGCAATCCCGCAGCGTGGCGCAGATTCTGAGTGGCGGAAGCGGAAGCGGAAGCGGCGGTGGACTTCGACAAGACCCGAGAGATGTCATTGGCGACGTGCAGGAGCCGAGCTTCAAGCACCGTCCGGCCGCCTCGCCGCGGGAGCTGGCTGCGCGCGAGACTCTCAACCTCGTCGGCAAGGCCACGCATGAGCTGCGCAGCTACGAGACGCACATTGCTCCGCGGAGGGAGATGCGGCGGCGCGCGCTGGACAAGGAGATTGCGCAGCGCAAGGGCAGGGTGCCGCCGCGCGAGGTTGGCTAGGACCGGCCCGCTCGGGGACCGCGCGCCCACAGCGACGAAACGGGGAAAAGCGGCAGCGGCAGCGGTAGCGGTAGCTACCGTGGTGATGAAAGTCGCGGTCAGAGACCTATGGAGAGGGATAATGAGAGAAAACGGTCGGCAGACGGCGAGCTACAAGCCAGGAGCAGGCCGGACATGCTGTCGCGGCCGCCCGCGAGCGCGCCGGGTGCGTCCAGGCCTTCTTCGTCGACGGCGTCTCCGAGAAAGAACAAGTCTGGCGTGTCGACGAGGCCGGAGAGGAGTGCATCAGCTGCGCCAAAGTCGGCGCCGACAGGACCGGCTAGCACTTCGAGACCGCAGCCCAAGTCAATCTTAAAGAAGATTTCCAAGTACTGAGAGGAGGAGCATGTTGGACAAGGCAGTCAGAACTAGCACGATGCCTTAGTAATTGGAAAATGTAGAAAAAAGAAGTTAACCATCTCTTCAAGGTTTATCTACCTGTCGCCACTAATTCTACCATTTTTATATGTACAAAGTAGACCCGCTTCCACATTGCAAAACGCAAGGAAATGCTTCTTAAATTTTAGTACAGCCGTTTTGACACTTCTTTATGATCCATAAGCAATCTGACCCATTGGCCTATCTTCCTCCATGCCAGGGGCCATGAGGTTTGTTCTGGGGTCGCCGCTGGCCTTGGCGGCAGAGCATCGGGCCATGGTCGGTGAGCTGTTGTATATATTAGTATTTATGTTCAAAAGATGGGTTGACTGTTGGAAGACATACCTCCTTGAAATAACATCGGTGAAGTAAAAGTTCTCAATGGCCTTCTTCAAGGGAGAACCTGTGGCCTTGGAGCCCTTGTTCTGGTCAACAAGCTGTACCTTGCTGAGCTCCCTGAGAGCAACAGACTCGATAACATCGTAGACGGCGAGCGCGGGACTGATCATGGACATGCGCTCGCGGACGGCAGTGACATCATCATAAGGGAGAGGAGCGCCGAGGAACTCGGAGGCAGCGCGGAGAATCTTCCAGTCGGTGCGAGCAGCGCCAGGCAGCGAGGTAGCAGCACGAGTCATTTGTACACGGCCCTCGGTGTTGATATAAGTACCAGCCTTCTCGGTGTAAGCGGCACCGGGGAGGATAATGTCGGCAATCTGAGCACCACGGTCACCATGGTGGCCCTGGTAGACAACGAAAGCATCCTTGGGAATGTCGGCCTCGTTGATCTCATCAGCACCAAGCAGCCAGACAAACTTGGGCTTAGTCTGGGCAACCTCGGCAGAGGGAGTGACGAAGCCGACCTCAAAGGCACCGGCCCGTGAAGCCTCTCTTTGGAGAACGCTGTAGCCATTCCAGTCGGGAGTGCGGAAGTTGGCGGCGTGCTTCTCGACGAAAGCACCGACAGTCTCGTAGAAGGCCTTGGCATCGACGTGGTCTGTGACAGCAGAGCCAACAACGATCATGGGCTTCTTAGCAGCGGCCAGCTTCTTACCGAAGGGGCCGGCAAGGGCAGCCTTCAGCGCAGCGTGGTCAAGACCCAGGTGCTCAAACTCAAAGGTAGAGTCAAAGGTCTCGCCAACAACGCCGATCTCGAGCTCGGAGCGGAGCCATTGCTTACGAATACGGGCGTTAAGAACAGCAGCCTCGTGACGAGGGTTGCTGCCAATAATCAGCATGCAGTCAGTCTCCTCGATACCCCAAATAGTCGAGTTGAATAGGTAGTTGGAGCGGACATCAACACCGTGAGCAAGGGGGGAGCTGCCGGTGGGAGTGTCCAGAGCGAGGTTCTCCGAACCAAGCTTGTTGGCCATGTCCTTGGCAACCACCAGGGACTCAACCTCGGTCAGTGCACCAGAAATGATCTTGAACTCGTTGCCCTGAGGCTTCTTCTGCTCCCAAGCACGAGCGACCTCGGTAAGGGCTTCCTCCCAGTCAGCAGGCTCAAACTTTCCGTCGCGGCGAACCAAGGGCATGGTCAGACGTTGGGTCTTGAGACCATCACAGGCGAAGCGTGACTTGTCGTTGATCCACTCCTCATTAACATCGTCGTTGAGGCGGGGGAGAATGCGCATGACTTCGAGACCGCGGGAGTCGACGCGGATGTTCGAACCAAGTCCGTCGAGAACGTCAATCGATTCGGAGTGCTTTAGCTCCCAGGGACGGGCGCGGAAAGCGTATGGCTTGGAGGTGAGAGCGCCGACGGGGCAAAGGTCGATAACGTTGCCAGAAAGTTCGGAGTCAAGATTCTGCTCGAGGTAGGTACCGATTTGGATATCGTTGCCACGTCCGGTAGAGCCGAGCTCGGGAGCACCAGCAATGTCGTTGGCGAAGCGCACGCATCGAGTGCAGTGAATGCAACGGTTCATGGAGGTCTTGATCAGGGGGCCAATGTTCTTGTCCTCGACGGCACGCTTCCCGCCGATTTCGTGAAATCGACCGCGGTCGGAGCCGTAGCGTAGAGACTGTTCCTGGAGATCGCATTCACCACCCTGGTCGCAAATGGGGCAGTCGAGGGGGTGGTTGGCCAGGAGGAATTCCATGACACCCTCGCGAGCCTTGTGAGCCAGCGGAGAGTTGGTCTTGACAACCATACCAGGCTGAACGGGCCAAGCGCAAGAGGCAACAGGCTTGGGGGCTCTTTCGACTTCGACGAGACACATACGGCAGTTACCTGCAATCATGAGCTTCCTATGAATGTTTGTCAGCTTCGTTTCGGCGAATCGGATGTCGTTGGGTAAAGGGCCAATCGTACTCGTGGTAACAGTATCTGCGAGTGAAAGGTTAGCTCGAGCCATCACATTGACTTTTTTATCGGTTTGACGCACCTTGGGACCGTAGCACCGGCCTTCTCGCAAGCCTGGATTAGAGCCGAACCAGCTGTCATATGGGGTCAGTAGTCGTCACCGCGCGGGTCCCCGGAATCAATTCCTACCTTCAATCGAAACCTTTTTTCCATCTAGAAATCAATTAGCACATCCTTCAGGGTTCAATTGCTCGCCGATAAGGAATAGCTCACCAATTGTAAGCTCCACCTCCGCGTGGCGCTGGGAAGACACAGAGAAAGCGCGCGAGCCGCTGGCCGCTCTTCTGCCCGTCCGCAGAGCGGTACGAGCCAGAGTGTGTCGAAGCATCGTCGCCGCCGTGCCGGAATGAATCGGTGATTTGATGTGATGCAGAACGCTGCGGCGGAATAAAGGACTCAGTCCGTGGGACGCTGCGAGGAAGAACTGCTGTCGGGTTGACGGGAAAGGCTCCTCCGCTAGTGTGTTCATCTACGGATTAATTACAATGATGCTGATTGGCTGGCTGCTCCAACTGGCGCCTGAGGCACCAATATGCCCACACGCGTACTATAACGGGGCCGCGAATTTGTGACTTTGCTTCTGATTTTTCTTCTCTCATCAATTGTACACGGGCATATTTTATTGTAGGTGAGCTTGAGCCGCGCTCTGCGTTGCAGGTGCGGTTTCAGTCGAGTCTTCCTCTATCTTATGCTCCAGATTAAAATGTTTGACGCCGTTTATGGAAGCAGGGGAGAGAATTTTTATCTCAACGAGCATTGCCTCTTACCGCCGGTCGTTACATCTGGAAGCCTTTGAGGCGTTTTTATTTCTTAGTAGCTTGCAATATCGCGTCCTCTCGTACGATTAGGAACTGCAGCTGCACTGCATGGCTCGCTCGAGACGAGGCACGTCTCCAACCCAGCGCTGCTCTTCTTCACTGTCGCCCTGATGTGTCGCGCCGCCAACTTCTAAGCCAGACCAAGAATCATTAAAGGGGTGTAGAGCCATGTGCATGGCACGATCCAGGACTTGTCTGTCCCCTTCTTTCTCCACACGACGAATGATTTCGTCGAGGATCCAGCCACGGGCAACAAAGTTGGGGTTGACTTGCTTCATAGCCTGGATCCTTTCTGCCTCTGCACCTTCGGTAACACCACTCCCATCAGACGACCAGTCTTCCACCACTCTGTCATGCCATTTGGACAGCCAGTTGGAGATGCGTCCCAAAGCATCGCTCTCCGTACTCGGCTTTGGAAGGCCTTCCTTGTGGAAGAAGATTTTGGCTGTTTGACGCCGCGCGTCTTCTGTTGCAACCTGCGCGAGCTTGACACTGCTGAGTCGACGGAAGAAGTGACTAAAGTCAAGCTCAAAGGCTTCTAGAGTGTCCAGAGCTTCGGAGAAGAGCACATCAAAATCAGACTCTTTCTGCTGGCGGAGGCCGAGGCGCGCCGTCATCAGCCTCCTGTATTCTGATAGGAAGGTTTGCTTGTATTCTTCTCCAGCTTGCGTGATGAGCTTCTCGGCTCGTGCAATGACTTCGTCTTCCTGGCCCTTCTTGACACCCTCGGCAAGATATGTTGCATTATCAACTGCCGATCCCATGCCCATTAGTTCTCCGAGAGCTTCGCCGAGTCGGACCAAGTTCCACCAAATGATGGTAGGTTGGTTTTTGTAGGAATAACGGAGCATGGCATCATCATGATTTGGTGTATAAGACGGATCGAAATTATCCATGAAAGCAAACGGTCCAAAGTCGATGGAAAGTCCAAAGACTGAAGTATTGTCCGTGTTCTGTGAAGCCATTAGTACCAGAACATATGCGGCCGGGACGCAATACGCACCAAAACTCCATTCATGAAGCCATAAGCTTGCCATTGTGCAACCACTAGCGCATTGCGCCTAACTATCTCTCTGTACAGTCGGGTGAATCTGTTTTCGGCAGCGTCGGCGGGACCCTCTACAGTCTTGTCCAAGACACCACGAGAAGGCTCTGGTGCTTCCGCAGGCTTATCTGGGTTCGCCAATCTTCCTGGTAACTTGTCCCAGCCTCCAAAAACCTCATTTGCGACATAGGCGGACAACTCCCGAACCAGCTTACGGTCGCCTCGAGACCGCAAGAGATCAAAAGTTCCCAGGCGAAGCCAGGATTGAGCAAAGCGCAAGACGATTGCGCCTGGCTCTATTCTCTCGCGAAGGACCTTAGACTGCGGTAGAAGAGTAAGAGATAGTGCGCGCGTTGTGGGGATGGACAGGGCGTTCAACGCCTCGGAGACGATGAACTCGCGGATGCTGGATCTCAGGACCGCCTTTCCATCAGCAAACCGCGAGTACGGAGTCAGACCGGCACCTTTCAGCTGTAGTTCGTAGCGGACACCAGTAGCCGGGTTGGTCGTCTCAAAAAGAGATATGGCTCTGCCGTCTCCGAGCTGTCCGGCCCATTGGCCAAACTGGTAACCGCCGTAGCACTGAGCCCACGGATAACCGCCTTCCAGCTTGTCCTCGTCCCATCCGTAGAGTTTGTTTCCCGCGACGAATTGCCTAAAGTCTTCCGTGTCCTTTTCCCCATCCTTGATGCCGAGGTCGCGCATAGCCGCAGGGCTCACGGCGAGCAGCTCGGGGTCCTCCTGTTTCTCGGGACGCACCCATGTGAAGAGGGCGTCGCGAACCATGCGCGGCCCAATCTTGTCTCGGGCTGTCTTGTGCGAAGCGGCCGGAGTGGGAAACAGAGGGTCGGGGGTGAGTGCCGATGTGAAGTTCCAGGTCTTGGGAATGTCTTTGAGCGGCTTGCCCTCATATGAGAGCTGATGCGCATTGCGCGCAGAGCCGTTGTTAGCCATGCGGGAAATAAGGAGCGGTGTTCGCGGAAGAGCCGTGCAAAGGCTGGTTCGGCGAAGCATCAATGAAGATTTGAGTGTTGCAGAAATAATGTGATAGCTAGAGGTGCAAGAGCTGTCATTATATGATGATGCGCATTTGGAATCATGCCCATGACGCAACCTGCGAATCAGTGGCGAGCTGCCGTTTTATTGGGCCGGGGCCGCTGGAGCAGGGCGGCCTAGGCGGCAGGACGGCGACGGCTAGACGGTGGCGCGGAACCGAAAGCCGTGCCGACTTGGTAAGCAAGCACAATGGTGACGCATATCCGACAAGCCCATAATTTGAATGTCCGTCGTTTTTCTCGGCAGTTGATTGATGTGGCCGGGTTGGGGACATAGGCAGACGGCAGGCTCTGTGTGCTTTCCGTCCTGGCCTACAATGTAAACTACAGTGGCGCAGTGTCTTCCTCCTGCCACTGTCCGAATGAAAGCGCATCAATTGAGAACAATATAATTGCATGTCAATAGCATGAAGAGCTATCAGCTTCTCAATCGATGGTGCAAAGTATATATCTTCTCCTTTCACTGTCAAGTCGTTGGCCTTTATAACACCTTGTTCCTCTTGTTCGGCTTTTCTTCATCGTTCTTACACATACATAGTCTCTTTCTCTGCTGCGTCGTAGCTACTCTGATACGTCGCAACAGAATGACATCCGACAAATTGTTTGGTCTGAGCGCAAGACTGAATAATGATTGTATATATTATCAAAAAACTTATAAAAACGTAACAAGCTGAATATTCTCCCCAAAGTCAGTGCTTCCAGGTCAGCTTTTTGTACGACTTGGTGAGTGGAGTCATGGTACCAGCTACCTAGACCTACCTATGCTCTGCCTGTGCTTCATTAATTGCGAGTTGCTGCCTGGAAGCAAGCCCACTCCGCCGTGTCACGCCCATCCATTCCACATCCAACAAACAAACGCATAAAAACATCACTTTCCTGGAGACCTCGTTCAAAAAGAGCTTTTCGGCGGCTTGTCAACGCAGCGATATAACTTTGAAGCATCGACTGTGACATCATCATGGTGACGTCCAGAGTGCTCAAGGTTCCACAAAGTGACAACGACAAAGCGTTTGTCTTGCTACAGGCATCGTCATCCGGTAGAAAGCCTCTGGATCTTAAATTGATCGGAACCGAAGGAGAGGCACCGTATGTGGTCAAAAGTAGGAACTCTCCCCGAAATTTCAAGTCGCTGCAGACAATGAATCTGACCATGCTCGTCACACAGTCAAGCATGACCGCGTTCCTGCTCTCAAAGTGAAAAACAGCCACTTATCAGACACTGAATGGGAATCCCTTCTCGAAGACTTCTTTGACCAAAAGCCCCTGAAAGATATCAATGCAACTGCTACAGTCCAAAGTGAGGCCTCAATCACCATCACCATCAGAAAGCAAGTGCAAGGCATTACAGTATGAATCCCGGATTACCCGAAGAAAACATCCCGCTGACGGGGAACTTAGCAACGACTCGGTACTATCACTCTATCTCACGATGAAAACGAGGCAATTGAACTATTTGAGTGGTGTGCAGCATCCGCAGACGCAGTTGTTGCCAGCAACAAGGCGACTGCCCAGATCCAGTCCAAAGCCACCGAGTTAGAGGCTTCAATTCACCAGCTAAAAGACCAACTGGAGGAGCTCTTGAAAGCAAAAGATGAAGACGAGACTGCCCTTTTACAAAAGTTTCGAGATTTGCTCAACGAGAAAAAGGTCAAGATTCGCGAGCAGCAAAAAGTCTTGGCGTCGGGCTCGTTCTCGGCGCCCAAGCAGGAGGAACCTCAAGAGCCATCCCCGGACCCTGAGCTGGAAGCTCCAAAGACCAAGACTCGGGGCCGAAAACCCGCAGCAACCCGAGCGCGCAAAAGGAAAGCCACTGCGCCCGCCAAGGAGGAGTCCGACGAAGAAGACGTGGCCGGAGAGCAGTCGCCCATCAAGTCGGAGCCGGAGGATACTGATGACGGGCAAACAACAGAAGCAACAGCGTCGGTGGATGGCGACTCGGACGAGGATGAGGAAATGGCAGACAACGGGGAAGATGGAGAAGCGGCCGCACCGCCCCGTGAATCAAGTCCTCCGAAAAAGGCTGCAGCACCACCGCCAAAGAGAGCCCTTCCTTTTGCGAATAGAAAACCGAAGGAGGCTCCAAAGCCGGTGGCGCAAGCCGGTGGTGCAGATACGGATTCGGATGATGAGTTGTAGGAGAACATCAGGTATCCCCAGTGTACTCGTCAATTTAAGCATGCTACTACGTACTGTGTATCCACGCGCTATGGTGAAATCATTTCAGCATTTGCAATTGCCACGAGTTTGTCTTCTATGATGAATTCTCTGTTGGTTCTCTAGCTTCTATCGTCCGCGGCGAATTTGTTGCCCCAGAAGCCACGAAAGTGCTTCTGCTTGCCCAGCTCGGCAATTTCCTCCACCTCCTTCGGGGTGAGCTTGAACTTGGGCACCTGCGTTACGAAGCGGTGCATCCTGTCGGAGTTGCTCGTGGTGGTCAACGTCACAATGCCCTGGTCGATGCACCAGCGCAGGCCGACCTCGCCCTCGGTGACGCCGTACTTTTTCGCGAGCTCCGCCCACCTAGCGTCGACGGGGCCGCCCGCGGCGCGGACAATGGGCGTGAGCGGGCCGTAGGCCGCGACCGCGATGCCGTGCTTGCGGTGGAAGGCGAGCAGGTCGCCGTGCTGCAGATACGGATGGAATTCGATCTGGTTAATGGCGGGGATGACCTTGGCCGTCTTGAGGATGGCCTCGAGGTGCTCCTGCAGAAAGTTGGATACGCCAATGGACTTGGCCTTGCCCGAGGCCTGGATGGCCTCGAGCTCGGCCCATTTCTGCTGCAGCGCCTCCTCAGACCCCTCGGCAAACCAGGGGCCGTGGATCAGGTACAGGTCGACGTAGTCGACGCCGAGCTTCTTGAGAGAGGCATCGAATCGCTCCTGAGTGTTCGTCTTGCCTAGGGCAGGGAGCTTGGTGGTAATGTAGAGCTCCTCGCGCGGCACACCGCCTTCTTTGATGGCAGCACCCAGTTCTTCCTCATTGCCGTAGACTTTGAGTTGTTAGATACTTGTTCTCGATGTTCGGGATAGAAGAGTGTACTTGCCCTCGGCGCCGTCCAAGTGGCGAAACCCGTTGGCGATGGCCTCCTTTGTGTGTTTGACTACGGTCTGGTCGAACTTGCCCTTGGAATCCGCAGACTTGAAGTTGGCAGTGCCTAAACCATATCCCAGCTAATTGTTGCATGTCATGTCAGTACATGCAGTGCTAAGATGAGAGTGTTTCAGCTTGCTGACCATGGGAATGGTGGTGCCATCGTTTAACTTGAGCTGCGGGAGTGTCGATACTTGCTTGGGCGACTGGCCCGAGGCGTCAGGTGTAAATGTTGCGCTAATCGAATTCATGGCGAAAATTTAGCTGGATGTCAATGGTATAATCGTGCAGTCATGAAGAACGTAGAATACGCCTGCCATGAATCGGGAGAAGGCAAACAAAGGCACTGTAGCTGCCCCGCTCGCCGTGGGGGTCCGGCAATGACGCTATCCCGCGCATTGATGTTAAATCCGAAAGGGCAAAGGAAACTTTGTCTAGTTGCATATTTGTCACGTTTTGAAGGCACAATATGAAACTGAGAAGCGAATGAGTAGCGCCAAGAATGTGACGGTGTTTGAGTGTCCAGAGGAGGCGATGCTGCAGATGACTAAAATTGCGCCGACAGATGCAGAAACCGGGATCATGTAAGTCATGCCGCATGAGCCAAAACAACTTCCGGGCCTGTTTTGAACTGGATATCACAAATTAGTGTCTCAAGGTCCTCTACTGACCACGTGATATGGATATCTCTGCAGAAATCCCAATTGAAATCTCCCAGTAAGGTATGCAGCATTTGCCGCTCATGCTCGTCATTTGCGCACAACCAAGCAGTACTGAGATTGAGCGTCATGTGAGCTGCCCCCAGAGGGCTGTTCATTTGGGCTTGGAAAGCCAGATCGCATGTGTCCTAGACCAATTTTGCCGCTTCCTGAAGCAGTTGGTGGTTGTTCGGCTCCACGCCCCGCAGCATGCAGTTGAATATGCAGCTGAACGCCAGGCAAAACCCATATGGGCCAGTGTGTTTGCTCTCCGTGCTCGGACCCATCATGTATTTGGAGTATACAAGCGACGCCGCCTTACGCAAAGTGATGAATGTCGAGGAGAGCTCGGCCATGAATGCATCGCGGTTCGCGCAACCATGCAGGACAGCTCTTCCGTGTCGCATTAGCGAAGGTATTCGAAACAGAAGTATCAGAATGGCGGAACCAGGCAGATCCTCATTTATTGCGAGGACTCGTGATAGTGCTTCAAACTTTGAGGGTGCAAGTCGCATCGATCTGTTGAAGAGAGATTGTACCAACTGGAGTAACGGTTATTTTCTTTTCCCTTGGCTTGTCACGAAAAGCTACAACTCACTACGGGGTCTTGTAGGTATGTGTGCAGGTCCAATTCGAACTCTGCGATTGGAGAAGACGTTTGCCTTAGGTGCAACATCTGAACGGCGCCTTGGCAGTGGCTGTTCAGATGCTGAAGGCCGAGGCCACCGAGATTCTGCCGAAATTAGCAGAAAGCTCGCCTGGGCAAGGGTCATATCCTTACTTGGCACATTGTCAGCAGAATGACGGCACAAATAGTCTCTAGAGAGCGAGACTCCATAGGGTCGTCAAGGCTTTGGGTCAGTGCTTTTATGGCATTCGAGTATTTTGCTAGGCTGTCGAGCGTAACAGGACGACGTGTGGCAAAGTCACGATGAGAAGCCACCAACGCATTGGCAGCTACGTCGAGTGCTTCATTAGACCCTAGCCTTTGCGGAACCTTTTCGAGAAAAGTGCCGTAAGTCCACGCCAGGTTGAATCTACGGGCCGTGGACGGCCTAATCATCTCCACGAAGCTATTGATGAGAACATCTGCATCATTACCAGAACAAGCAGAGAGTGACTGGAGGGAGGAAGACGTGGTAGATGCAACCGAAGCAACACTCTTGCGACCCAGCACTCGACGTCTGGCACATTTTTGGTCTATGAAGACGAAGCGTCGCTGGCCGGAGCCAATGCACTCGACTCCGAGGTGCGCGCATCGTGAGCATGTGGGCTTGGCATAGTCGCACTTGAACTTTGATCAGTCATATAGGAGCGCGATATGGTATTTCATATGCACCTTTTGACGTCGTCGGCGACAGTTTTCACATGCGCGTCCTGACGGAACGCCAGGCATTGTGGCAGCACCAGTCTGTCTAGGTGGGCATGTATGGGACCTGGGCGCTATGAAGATGGTATGACCATATCCTCACAAAATTTCATCCGACTTGACAACTGTGGTAAATGCGTCGAGGATATAAACTGAAAAGTTGGAAGAACATCTGGGGTTTATGTCAGCAATCCACGTGATTTAAGGCCATAGGACATGGCCAGAGGTGTCAAGACTATTGTGATGGTAGTAAAGGGTTGGAAACAATTTGGTTCAGGGCTTAACACATATTCGAAGATTATTTTTGATAAACTTCTTGAATCGTGTCGAAACGAATACAGGGTTACAACCGGGGCCTTTGTTTTCTAGTTTCATGTACTGATGATATGATGTCCTTGATGAAGAAACACAATGGATTGCGCACAGGCCACCCAGCCTCAACTGAAGGCCCTAACGCGAGAAGCACATTGACGCTAAATACAGCGCCGAGGCAGTCCAGCCAGGCGCTGGAGCGCTTCACTCGGCGCACCAGCCACCCAGAGTTATTCTCAGAAATCTCAGGCCAAGGTACCTCAACCTGGTACTCCGTAATACTGTGGTACCTGTACGACTTACCAGTCCCCAGCCTTTCGATTCCCGTCCGCCGCCCGCCCACCTTTCGCTTGTTCAAATCCTCATCAACGCGGTCATTTTTCATCTTCACACACGACAATACTAACCATCTAGCGCAACGCCGTCCTCCTGCCCTCGAGCTTGTGACAATTCGCCTAGCTCGTCGGCACTCGGGGATATTGGCATCAACACTTGTCGCCTAACACGCATTATCAGCCCGACGAGGAGCGCGACGATACAAACAGCCCGCCCGCCCAAATTCACCAGCTTTGTGTACACGACACCGGTCCCTCCACCACTTTGCGATCGACTAGCGGTTTGCAATCATTCACAAATTGTCACCAGAGAATAGCGACACGAAAAGCGACCATTTCCACATTAGTATCGCGCTGCATTGATGCACCCGATTATGTGCTCGTCAACCTAGACCCCAACCTTTCGACACGCCTAGCTACTTCAATCTTTGAACTCGCTTTAGGCTCGACAATCGCTTCATTGTAGCCATCACGCACCATGGCGACATTAAAATTAAAAGAACGGCAGCCTGCCGAAGAAATTGAGAGCTGGGACGACGATGGCGACTTCCTTCTCGACGGGGACGATCTTAGCAGGCGCACGTCGACCAATTTCTGCAACGCGCCCCTCCGCCGCAGAGACTCTACCTCGTCTCATGTATCCTTTCGATCCGAAATCGAGTCGATGCAAGGAGACGAACAGCAGTTCCATATCCCTGGCGACGACGAAAGCTCAACCATGGATGCCATCGCCGCTGCTCAGCATGCTGGCATCCCTCTACCCCAAAACGTGCCAACATCGGCACTAATGGGAGGAACCATCAAGCGTCTAGGAGGACGCAAAATTCAGAAAATTATTCAGGACGATTGGGAACATGATTTGGAGCTACCCGAATTCTCCAAGGGACTCGCCATGAAGCCCAAGGATTCCGTCGACTTTCCGGATGCTCTTCGACAAGTCAGTGCTGGCTCCCTCCTGGACAGCCCAACGCGTTTTGAAAAATCGCCACCTACAACTATGGTGCCGTCTGCTCCCGCTCGATTTGAACCCATCCTAGCAGCCAAGTCTGCAACGAGCGCACTGACCTCCGCCATCAACTTGGACAAGTTTAAAGACACCGACGACGACGACTTCTTTGGCGAGGGCCCTGCCACGGTTCGCGCCCCCAGCCTTCCAAGAGGTCGTCAACAGGCCAACCCTGTGTCTTTTATCACACCTCCAACGCCTCAAAAGAAGGACTCCAAAAAGGCAGGCGATGATGATTTTGAAAATGATCTGGAGCTGCCCTCAGATGGGAAGTTGACGCTTTCAACGAGGAGGGATATTCCCATCACGCCGTCGCAGGTCGACGATCTGGACTGGGGCGAAGGCAGCCTGGGCACTCGCTGGGGCGGAACCCGACGTGATGGACGGTCAAATAGGAGTTCCTCTGCATCTGCACTCAGCCCTAGCATTTCTAGTTCGGTCACTGCGGAGAGTGAGGATGAGACCTTTGATGGCCTCTTGCTCCCTACTGGTCCTTTAAATTTCCAGGAGCGACTCAAGCGTCGCAAGCACAGCCCTTCCCCATCGAGGTTGACTGTCGATACACAGATTGCCAGCGCCACTACCACCCCAAACAAACCACACATGGAACCTGAGCGTCAAGATCCTCTTGATGGCTTAGATATCGGTGATGGCGATGTATTCGAGTCTGCGAAGCTTTCTCTGCACCGAAACATCAAAATCAAGGAGTCGCAACCCGCTAGCCCTGCGCGACCAAAGACTGCCGTCTCTTTGACATTTACTAATAAGTCTGGCGGTCGTATACCACGTCTAAGTCATGAGCGTTCACGCTCTACCGCCCTGGAGCCAGTCTCGGAAAGCGGCGGCCCTATCCAGCAGAGAAGTCGCCGTCCTCAGTCTCGCCTCGGGCACTCTGCACATTCATCTGTGGTCAGCGTACCGACGCCGACGACTCTGCACGCTCCTCCTTTCCCGCCATCTACACCGCGCCGGAGAGAAATAACGACTAGATCATCATACACCAGCCTGCGAAATGACACTGGATCTACAACAAACTCGCAGCTTCTACGCCAAAAGCGATCCATGCCTGCGGTTCGGCAAGCAAACTCTGCCATGAAGCCCCCGACTACCCGGTCAGATCGGCCACCATCAAGGGATGGTAGCCGACCACAATCCGGTCTCCGACCCAAGACACCAGTTGAGCGCATTCGACAGCAAGAGAGTCCGACGTCGCACTCCAAAAAGACGCCTATGTCTTTCATACCTGTCGGAACCGCGCAGCACACGTCACACCAGGGGGCCTCCAAAGGGATGAGACATTTTCGTCGATGGGATTCTGAGAATGCTATTGACACTCGCTCTATATCTCGAACATTTTCACGCTCAGCTATGCGTTCGCCTAGCCCTCAGCGATATAAAGTCGCCGCTGACACTTGGGAGAGGCTTAGCAAGCCCAAAAACAAGCGCAACTTTGGTGACGGTCATGAGTTGGACGGTTTTGACGATCTGCCCACATCCAAGGACATTGAGACTCGCTTTTTGCGGCAACCAAACGCGGCTGCTCTGAAGTCTGCCCCAAAAAACAAGACGTTTCAAAGTTTGATTCCCGACCGAGGTGCTACTCCTGCACCTCAATCGCCCGCGAGACCCATGTCGGGCACGCCCCGTTTTGCGCGTGATACCGCGGCAAGTCGTATTGCTCGCGAGACATCACTCGCAAATCGAATTCCTGCAAACGGCCCGCTTGCTACTATATCAGCGCAGCGCGGCACGAACCTGCCTCCACGACCAACTCCCAACCCGCAGCTGCCTTCGCAACATATAATTCGAACAAAGAAGCCTTCTAAGCGCGTGCAACAGCAAAAGCCGCACTTGATTGCAAACTTGAACAGTGGCAAAGAATCCAAAACCGTCAATGGCATGTACTATAATGCCGACACTTTTCGATGGGAGGGCAACGAGAACGTTTTAAATGCCTTTGATCACACTTCGACGCAATCGCCGGTGCCATCTCCCGCACACCTCGCGCGAGAGAAGGATGTTACAACACCCCGCCCAGCTCTCATCACCAATATCAGCTCTACCAAAGGAGTGCAAGTTGTTGGCGGCATGGTCTTTGATCCGCAGAACATGTGCTGGCTCAAAATTGGGCAGCAAACCAACCCCGTGTCAGAAGCAAGCGACACGATGGATGGTTTTGATGCCCTGGACCTGGAGGAAGAAGAGGACGTCTTCAAAGACATTCCTGATTTGGACGACAATGGTGCTGACGACACGCGAGGACAGGGCCGTGTCAGTGACATCAAAGATGAGTGGCTCGTTGGAGAAGAGTTCGATGTTGGTCCCGAATTTATTAGGAGACAGCGTGAAGAGGAGGACCGTTGGAGACGAAAATGCGAGAAGTGGATTGGTCGTGGATCCCGGGATCGCGACACCTGGAGGTGGACGATTCGCGAGCTGGTTTCGCAGTTTGATGACCTGTCTGTCTAACGCCTTTATGAATTTTCTTCACCTGCTTTCGGGTCACTTTGTCCTGCATTGCACATTATACTATTCTTGCCCGTCAGGCGACTGCCATGCTGGCAATCTTCTGATGATTTTTTGGAGAGTTGGGGCGCAACGACAGATGTCTGCAGCGACCAACTGGCTTGGTGTTTATGGAACTGGGAATAGAAAAGGGGGGCATAGTGTATATGGGCCCCCTTGGTATGGTTACGACGAAACGACTGAGATGCGTTCATGACGATTACATGGCTTACTTGGCTTCAAGTGGCTCCAGACGAGATGGATTTCTTTACAGAACGGAAAGGGGACGATTTGTTCAACTAGTATAAAGGACTAAGCATATGTACAAAATGCATCTTTTGTTTCTGTTATAATTTACTGCGTAATCTGTTGAAGTTGTTGTGCATTGATAGATGTCTAGTTGAGTTTGAAGTAGACCTCCACGTGATTGGCCAAGATGGCGGGCGTGTCGTCAACCCCCCACCATGCTGATCCAGCACGACAAGCTATTGAGCACTCAGCACCACGTTGATCCGACTTCATTCGCATTTTCATGAGCATTTCGAGATCCTACATGTGTGCCGCCATTGTCACTTGATTAATCCTCAGAGCTTCAAGCACATTGTAACGTTCTCTGTCAGCAACTTTTGGCATCCTTCTATTCTCCTACCCCTCTCAACTCATTGTTCTCGCCCGACATTCGTATCTGCTTGACAACCGAAACTGCCGACCAATACAGACGATACACACGATATTCCTTCCTTTCTTCTTCTTCTTCTTCTTCTTCTTCTCTCTCATCTTTGAAATCTTGACAAAAGAGCCATGGCGGAAACAGCTTTTGCCAAGACGTTTCTCACCACGCTCTCCGGACGCCCAGCCGTGCTCTCGCCGGACCACGTCGAAGATGCACGCAACTTTCCCTCCCGACCGCCTGTTTGTTCTTCCTCCTCCTCCCCGCCTCCTCCCTCCTTGTGTATCCGCCCTTACCTCTTTGCTAACAGCCACACTTCTTCCTGTCTCTCTCTCTCTCTAGTACATTCTTCCGCGCATGCCCACCGAGATGAGCAAGCCCCGCGGCCGGGCTGCCGCCGCCCCGGGTCAGGAGCGCAGCGTGACCGTGACGCTCCGCTCCCTGCGCAACCCGCCCCTCGACATCACTCTCGCCGCGCAGGCCCTCGACACGTCTCTCCTGGATGTCAAGCAGGCGGCGGCGGCGCGCGCGCGCATCCCCGCGGACAAGCTCAAGATTCTGCACAATAAGCGGCCGGTGCCCGACAGCAAGATTCTGCGAGACGTGGTTGGTGAGGGGCAGGCGACGGTCGTCGAATTTAGCGTCATGGTTATCGGAGGCGCGGCTGCGATACTGCCAGAGGAGACCATGGATGTGGATGGTGATGCCGGGGAGGGGGCCGCCGCGGCGAAGAGGAGGAGGGCGGAAAAGGGCGAGGCGGCGGTGGAGCAGGACAGGTTCTGGGAGGACCTGAATGGATTTTTGATGCAGAGGGTCAAGGATGAGGACACGGCAGCAGAGCTGACGACAGTGTTCAAGAATGCGTGGGAGGCGCACAAGGTAAAGCCATAGAGGAGCATGAGGGAGAGCGGTGCTTGTATATAATGGAATACACGATGTAGCATTTTAAAAGATTTCAATGGCTTTAAAGCCCTCGGCTGCGTTGGCTGATCCTGTGTCGATGCAGGTCAGTGGTATAGCTTACGGGTTTCACTCCATTTGAAACAAAAGTCTTTGGCTTTTATGTTGTTCATGGTCTAGGCAGCTGCGATATATAACCTGCTCGTATCCATCTTGTGTCTTGCGGCCTTCATGTCACCAGACACGGGTCCGTCCTTTCTCCCCCGCCGATACTCGTCATTTTGGAATGTAAAGCATTGTCGTGGGTGTAGATTTACTTTTGTTTCCCTTGTCGGGAGCGTCGTTCATACAGTGTGTGCGCGCTTAGGCGGCAAGACCCTTGCTGACAGTCTTGATGATGGTATCGTACTCAATGTCGTCGGAGTCGTTGGCCTGGAGCTCGCTGGCAAGACCGTTGAGAGAACGCTTCAGTGCCTCCTTGGACGAAGCGTAAATCATCTTGGGCTGTGTGTGCGTGGCCGAGGTTAGCTGCGGTTCTTCTACTTTCTAGCGGCCAAGCCGTCTCTAGCATAGAATCATCGTACCTGGACGCCGGCATCATCGGGGGACCAGGCGATGAAGACAATCTTGTTGCTGTGGCGCGGATTAGCTGCTGACCCGTCGCAAGGCTGGGTTGGACGGGTTAGGCCTACCGGACACCGTCGCCTGTGGCGAGGTTGTACTCAAAGTCGTAGACGGCGTAGCGGGGGCCCTTGCCGACAGCGCCCTACGCAGCAGAAAGAGATTTCTCGTCAGTACATGGCAAAGAGATGGCGACCAGCTTTCGGCGAAAAGCGGCATGTGATGGACTAACAGTCTTGCTCTTGGAGGTGGCGTCGATGAGCTTCTTGCGAAAGTTGTCCCAGTCCTTGTCGTCGGAAGCCTCCTCGACGACAATCTGCTTGTTGTCATCGCTGAGCTTGTAGACGATGTACTTGTACTTCTTGGCGAGCTTCAGGTCGTTGTAGGCAGTGATGCACTCCTGGCTAACGACGGCTCTGTGAGGCGGGAAAATGTCGAGTTAGTAACTTCGTTTAATGTCCTCTTCCACTCAAAAATGGCATCCATGAGATGAGATGGCGCGCGCCGAAGCGGCCAGGTCGCGGCGTGTTTCGCGAGCAAAATCGCATGTTCGCGGGAGGCGGGGGCAACAACAGGTCGGTGGAGGGGTTTGGGGAGAGGCGGGGAGGGTATTTGCTTGGACGGCAAGGCATATACGCACCCGGATTGAGACTACAGGCAGAAAAAAAGTGTCAATATGCAAGGCATGTTTCAGTACGGAGACCCTTGCGCCTAGGCGCATCATCATACGTACCATGATGGCGGTGTTGTTCTGTGAGGCAAACGCGGCGTAAGAAAGATGTGCTCTGGAGAAGAGGGGAGCTTGGTCAGTTATTGCGCAGGCAAGTTGTAGGTCTCGGCCGTAGCGGGGTGTGCAGCAGCTGGAGGGGCAGGGAATAAATAGAAAAGAAGAGCTGCGTGGGTGAGGGAAAAGTAACCAACATGAAAAGGAAAAGTAAAAAAAAAGGGTTGCGATCGGAGAGAATCCTTTAAAGTCGCAATGTAAATTGGTGTTGTGTTTACGGCAAGATGACGAAAAAGAAGGTCTGGTGGGCATATTATTACCTAGAGCCGGGAGAGGGGCAGAGGAGGACGATGGGCAGACCAGAGCAGGCAGCTATATTTGGGGGTTTACAGTGGTTGAGTGGCCCGTGAGTGAGTGAGTGGGTTCCCGCATGCTTCTGCTGGCGGCCCCTGCAAAATGAGGACCTGCAAAATGAGGCCCTGGAAAACGAAGCGCCCCTGACAGCTGCCTTGTTGACCGTGAGACGCCCCACGTGACGCTTCCACTGACGTCGCCGCCGTTGCTGAGCCTCACCACCAAACTACCTACCGACCGAGTCGTGCTCTGGTTGGGCATAAATTGAAGCATCATTCATTCATTACTTGACTTTCAGGGCCGAAATCGAGGAAAAAGCGCGAATATTCTAACAGTAACTTTCGAAACTCAATTGAAGAGATACGTCATCCAAATTACACCACTTCCTACTCTTGCGCTTCCTAAACGCCTGCCTGATGTCAGCCTCAGCTTTACCATGTCGCTGCCTACAGGTTGCCGTCACTTCCGAGAAGCGCATTTCTCTCATAAAACTTTTGGTCATATTTTTGATTGTACAATGAGGGCTACCATAACTAGTATACAGTGGCTCTCTGCCATCTAGCCGTGTCTGAATTCGCGCCTTGCCGACGTTTCCATCAACTTCCACAGACATGGAGGGGAGATTAAATAAAAAAACAAGGCCCGACTTGATCCATCCGTTCTATAACACCGAATCCGTGCCCAATAGATTTTCTGTTTCCGTTTTGTACATTGTCGCCCGTTTCATTTTAGTGCCTTTTCAACTCTCACATCTTACATCATGCCTCCCATGCCTCCCATACCACCCATACCACCCATGCCGCCCATGCCACCAGCACCGCCAGGACCCTTCTCCTCGGGCGCGTCGACAATGGCAACCTCGGTGGTACCGAGCAGGGAGGCGACACCAGAAGCGTCAATGAGGCCAGTGCGGACAACCTTGAACGGGTCCAGAATACCGGCCGAGATCATGTCGACGTACTCGCCGTTGGAAGAGTCGAAACCCTTGTTGAAATCGGCACCGTGCTCGTCAGTCAGCTTTCCGACAATGACGGAGCCCTCCAGGCCAGCGTTCTCAATAATGGTGCGGGCAGGGCGCGTGATGGCGTTCTTGACAATCGTGACACCAAGCTGCTGGTCAAAGTTGGCGGGCTTAATGTCCTTGAGAGCGTTGCTCGAGGCCTTGATCAAGGCAGTGCCACCACCGGGCAGGATTCCCTCCTCAACGGCAGCGCGGGTGGCGTTGAGAGCATCAACGAAGCGGTCCTTCTTCTCACCCACCTCAACCTCCGAGGAGCCACCGACCTTGATAACGGCAACACCGCCAGAGAGCTTAGCAAGACGCTCCTGGAGCTTCTCCTTCTCGTACTCAGAGGTGGTGGGGTCGGCCATGACTCCGCGAATCTGCTCGCAGCGCTGACCGAGGGCGTCTTTGGAGCCCTCACCGTTGAGCATGATGGTGTCCTCCTTGGTGATGGTGATGGAGCCGGTGGAGCCGAGCATGTCGGCAGTCGCCTTCTCCAGCTTGATGTCGAGCTCATCGCTGAAGACGGTGGCGTTGGTCAAGATGCCGATATCGCCAAGGATAGACTTGCGGTTGTCACCAAAGCCGGGGGCCTTGACGGCAGCAACCTGAAGCTGGCCACGGAGCTTGTTGAGAATGCAGACGGCAAGAGCCTCGCCATCAATGTCCTCAGCAATGATGACAAGAGGGCGGCGCTGCTGGGTAGAGACCTCGAGAGCGGGAATAATGTCCTGAACAGCAGAGATCTTCTTCTCAGAGAGGAGGATGAGAGGGTTCTCAAACTCAACCTTCTGGGCCTTGGCGTCGGTGATGAAGTAGGGCGAAATGAAACCACGGTCGAAGCGCATACCCTCGGTGACCTCGAGCTCATCCTGGAGAGTCTTGCCCTCCTTGACGGTAATGACACCCTCCTTGCCAACCTTCTCCATAGCCTTGGCAATCATCTGGCCGACGTGCTGGTCGCCGTTGGCAGAGATGGTGGCTACTTGAGCAATCTCTGAGCTGGTGGTAATGTCGCGCTTGTTCTTCTGGAGGAATTCGACGACGGCGTCAACGCCAGCCTGGATACCACGGCGAAGATCCATGGGGTTGCAGCCGGCGGCAACGTTTTTGACGGTCTCGGAAAAGATGGCACGGGCGAGGACGGTGGCGGTGGTGGTGCCGTCACCGGCAACCTCGTTGGTCTTGGAGGCGACATCCTGGAGAAGCTTGGCACCCAGGTTCTCAAACTTGTCCTTCAAGGTAACAGCACGAGCGACGGTGACACCATCTATTGAGAGTTAGTGGATTTCAAAAGATACGTAAGGCCAAGTTAGTAAAGCCTACCCTTGGTAATCTTGGGAGAGCCAAAGCTAGACTCAATCAAAACATTGCGACCCTTGGGGCCGAGAGTAGTGGCAACGGCCCTGGCAAGGGTATCGACACCAGCCAAGAGAGCGGCACGACCTTCAACGCCAAATTTGAGCTCCTATTCCCACCGTCAGTAACCAATCGAGAGCTACTCCTCGATTCCAGACCGTCACCAACCTTGTGAGCGAAGCGAAGCTGCTGACCGAGGCCAGCGCCAGCTCGGAACTTGGTGGAAGCTGAGGCGAGAGCAGAAGCTCGGGCCTGGGAGCTCAGCGCGCGCTGCATCGTTTGTGTTGTGTGTGTGTGAGAAAATGAAAATGAAAAGGGTATATAGTATTACAATGTGGCACAAGAAAAATAGTACAACGACTCCGAGGGATTGAGAATGGAGTGCGACGGCGGAGAGGCAACTGCAGATGGGCTTGGGGTAGAAAGGGAAAAGAAGTAAGGGTGATGTCCTGCGAGCTTCGGCCCCAAAAAAATTGTCGCTGGCGGCGAGCGTCGGCAAAACATCGTGCTTTCTGCAATTTACGCTAGTCTTTGTTGGGACTAGTCATGACTCCAGACTAATTCTACATTCTTCCAGCGGCATCCGAGACGTGGCCAGCCACAGCAATTCGAATGGATAAGGCAATATTAGTTGCCTACCCTCGAGTACTTGAAGAAGTCTGCTAAGCTTCATTATCGTGGCAATGCTATGCTACTTTCGTCAGTCATCTGCTCTGTATGCCCAATACCCTGCGGTGTATGACCGCACCTAATCCGCGCCCAAATGCCTCAGCTAGCCAGCTCTTATCAAGCCATCCCCCGTTAAACTACCAGTCGCTCATCCATCCATGCATTCAATTGCATAGGTTCGTCCTCCGGTATCGTCTCGCAAGTGTCCAGCTCTTCAGGTCTTGCAACAGTTCTGAAAAAAAAAAAAAGCATCGAAGAAGAACAAAAAATCGCCCTGTACACGGGTCCCAATGGCTAATGCCTGCAAAATACTCGTAGAATATACATAATAATGGCATGGGCAGACTGGATCTTCCCTCGCTCTAATCCAAGCCAGCTTCAAGCAAAAAAAGCGATTTACAAGTGTCGCTCGTCAGAAGCTTCCCATCATCGTCATGCTGTCAGGGCTCTGCAAAAGTCAAATCAGCCTGGCCAGTTCTTGAGGAGAAATTATACATACATCTCTGACATCGCAGGCATCGATGAAATTCTCATCAACTGCCATAGCGGACGGTTCATCATCCTCTTGCTTCAATTCACTCAGTGCTTGCGAGAAATTTGTCTGCATGTCACGCTCTTCCTGGCACGCGGCAAAGGGTTCGTCATTCGTAAACATGGAGTAGCTTGAGGGCAAGGTAAAATAGCCTGAGAATGAAGCAGCGAGTGTCGGGGGATGTTTTTGGTATGAATATAAGCCCATTGGGGAGTAATGCGGGAAAGGCGCTTCCTGCCACTGTGCCTGCGTGTTAGGTGCCGAGGTGGGAGCAGATCCAACTGATGTGGCTGTGTCAAAGGACCGAGTCAAGAGCGGGTTCTCAAGTTCGTCAATCTCGGATCTTTGACGTCTAGTAGGAGAGCAGTAGCTGCTCTGAGGTGACCACTGCCAGGGTTAGCGGGCAGTCTTGAATGGCATATATCGGAGCACTTACACTCTGCTCAAACCGACGGAGGCTATTGGTGACAGACTCGTCCGTGGCGCTAGGAGGACCACTGCAGAACATGGGCTGCTGCATGCGAACTGGACTGGGTGATTCCGGCATGCATTCATCTTCATCACCAGAATGCTGAAACGAGTCCGGGAGGTTGAATCTCAAGTCATCGTACTTTTCGTCGAATCGAACGGGGCGTGTTGTGTCTTTGTCGTCACCGTTTGGATCCTGGCGAACGAAGCCACGGATGTTTGGGTCGACGCCAGAGGTTGAGCTGGGCTTTTGGCAGACTGGAGGCACGAGATGCCCTTCTCTAATCAGTTCTTTCCTGACTCTGTTTAGGTGCTGAACAACAGCAGCACCCGAGGAACCAGGACGGAGGCGATGGGCGATGGAATCCCAGGGCAGAACAATCTTGTGGCGAGTACACTCGTAGTGAAGATGTAAAAGCAATTTTTCCGCCATGCGGGGGCCTGTGAGGAATGAGTATCTGGTCCAAGACTGCGGCAAGTCGAAGAATAACTCACGTCCCCACATGATGAGGCTACGGCCAACAACTCGGCCATTGTTACGTTTTTGCATCTCTGTCGGAAGACTATGCGAGAACGATGTTTCTCTGTTATGGTTTGGAGTTGTTTGTAGTAGGGCGGTGGCAGAGTCGCTGTCCTTGTTGACTCTGGCCTGGGAACGGCGATCTTGAGCTGGAGAGCGACCCGTCTTGGACGGTGTCTTTTTGACAGGCGTGACACCCATGACGCGAATGATGCGAGAGAGTAGATATAATCAATCTCGATAATTTGTTAGTCGTTTAGTCGATTGATCAATTGTTTTTGGGCATGAAGCTCGTCAAGGACGCGTTGTTTGCTTGCAACTTACAGATCTGTGAAAGAAGCACGGCGCAGCTTCGCGTTTGATACAGAGAGCTTGAGCAGGAGGAGTTGCTTTGCAAGATTGTAAACAAATGATAGCAGCAGAAAAAGGGTAAAAGGTAGATCCAATGAGGAAATCAATGCTTTTTGAGCAACCAAACGCAGGGAAACGCGGACAACCTGCAGGTGAAGGACTCGACGACGACGGACAGCAACCGAGATATGATTCTTTTACTTTGTCAATAACATGGCAAGACTGAAAAAAAGAAATCAGATAACTCTTTTTGTGAGAGGGCCAGAATAACGCGGAGATGCCTGGTTGCTAGGGCAAAAGCGTTTGAACCTCCGGCAGGCAGAGGCAGATCGTTGCCAGCTGGCAGAGGTGGATCAGGGAGGCTGGGCTGTGAATTATTGTTGTCTTTCAAAGCTGCAGAGTACAATGGACTCTTGTGTTACCTCAGTGTGGTAAAAACTATGAGTTAGCTTGACATGTTCTTCTCGACTGGCACATACTTGCGGGTAAGTCCGCGACGACGCTCAGCGACGGTCAGGTAGTTGATGTCGCCTAAACGGGGCCAAAGTCTGATTTACCAGTTATCACAAAGTATCATGGGCTAGAATTTAAATTCCTCTGATTCAAAATGAAGAGCTGTATTATTTCTGTATAATATGACGCCCAAAGCCCAAGTAATAAAAGCGTGCTTCTTGTATCTCAGTCGCCGGCCCCTCCGGTCCTCCATTTGGACAACATGTAGTTTACCAGTCTCGGCTTCTTCGACTTTTTGTGCGACTGGTGATGCCTTTTCGCGGTTCGAGATTCAAAGCAAAATTGTGGCTGGATATGGTAGTGTTGTTGGCGCTGATGCGACGCAGATGATGCAGGTCGGAACGTGGTCTGCTGTTCGTTGATCACATGGGCGTTTTGAAGGAAAGTATTTGTGTCTGGGAGCTTTGCCACGATATCAGAGATGAGCTCCAAGCTACTGAGTGTGATCGCCGAGATCTTTTGCACAGTGCGTAATTGCGCGTTGGCTTGGTCTTCCAGGCATCGCAGACGGCGAACTTGGCTTTCCAGGGCATCGTTCTGTTTTCCCAAGGCATCATTTTGTTCGTGAAACTCGAGGCTCTCCGAGTCCAGCCGTCTCACGTTGAGCCGCAGCGGCCCCATGGCTTCCGCTAGCTTTTGCTCGATGACTTGCTCGATGATGGTGTAGATGGTCTCGGAGACACGCGACAAGTCGTGCTGCGCGCTCTGCGCTTCGGGCTCCAGACTTCCCAAGCTCGAGCTCGGCGACAGATTTCGATACTCGTGAGTAGGAGCCGTAAATTGGGTAGATTTTGGCATCGCCAGCTGTGCGTAGCCAGACTTGGGCGACTCGGGTGGTGTGAGCAGACCCGAGCAGCTCGGCGTCTGCGCGGCCGGGTTGAAGCGCGCGTTGGGCAGCACAAAGCCACTGTGATTATCCGCAAAAGAAGGCATGATGTCTGCGTGATGGTCGAGTCGATCGTTTTCTCGTAAAAGAAGCTCAAGATGTGTAGGATTCCAGAGGAAAAGAGGGCAAAAGAAGAAGAAAGTTGCGATACTCGCCATTGTTAAAATGGGCATCATGTTGTATATACCCTCCTCTGCCCACCGCTTCTTTCGTCGACTCTTGCAAATGGGTGCAAGAAAACAATACCATTGATGCGGTTCCCCATTCAGGGTCACCGACTCGGGTATCCTATTGTCCTGGGCGGTGCTATTCACAAGTGACTCGGCGGATGGGGCCGGGACCCAGGACGCGGCAGGCAAACTTGCTCATTGAACCGGCTACCTAGTGCTGGTAATTCTTGACATGTACAGATACGATTCTCGTTTGAAGTTATTTTGATAGAAGCATTTTGTAGAAAGCTAGTGTGTAATGCGAAAAACTCCTTGATTGATTGATCTTGACTGCCAGAATGACGAGTCGTGAAGAGCTCCGAACTAAACTGATTGCTCCTTTACCTTGCGAGAAGAACCCACGAAGTAGGAAAAAAAGCTCCCAAATGAAAATCTGCGTGTTTTGCAAGATTATTTAAAATTCCATAAATCCCTTAGACAAGATGAAGTTGCAATATGTTGCCCTTTTCCTTGCGCCTTCCTGCCCCAACCGACGACGGCTGCACAATGCCTTTTTCAAGTAGTGAACTTCAATCTTCCTCTGCCTTGACGGGCTCCTCCAAGACCTCTGGTGCATCTGCATTCATACTGTTAGCAAGTGAAATGTATCGTTCTATACGATCTTGGCTCGTAATACCGGAAAGTGAAGACTCAGAGTCGGCCTTGGTTTCTTCCTCAGCATCCTCCTTCTCCTCCACCTTGACCTTGCCCTTTTTTCCGCGGGGAGCAGCCTTGGCCTTCTTACTAGGAGAATCCTTGGGAGTAGATAGCGTCAGCGCTTTGCGCTTTGTAGTTGCCGGCTTGACTGGCTTGGCCGGCTTTTCGTCGCCATCGGAGGGAGCGGCAGCACCAGCAGTGGTGTTAGTCGTCTTGTCACTGTCCTTGGAAGACTTGAGAAGACGCTCATATCTCTTGGCTCTGAAGAATTGTTTGCCAAGTCAGTGTGTTTGAGACGAACAAAGGCACCGGAAAAAGTTGGCAAAGGTTCAAGGGGGGGGTGTAGGAGGGAGAACAACATACGCGGCGGCCCTGGTCACAATGTCAAGCTCTTTAGCAACGGCGTCGAAATCGACCTGCTCAAGAGTTAATGACCATCCAGTTATGAAAAGGCTCATAGACTTGGGAATAATTGGGGTAATGCACCTTTCCGCCATTACTGTGTCTGATACACGAGATGAGGAAGCGAACATTTTGCTGGGGCTCAATTCTGGGAGACTTGGTAGCCATGATGTCGGTTAATAGACTTGATTGACGCAAAAGAAAGGCGGGTTGCAGTGCAATAAGAAGCAAGAATGTCAGAGATTATGGAAAATCAAAGATCCCAAGACTAATGAGGTGTAGATTGATGTGGGCAGGGTAGCTTTGCTGTCGGAGAGTGTGTGTCCGAGGAAGAGCGGCGGACAGCGAGAGCGCATTAGCTAGGCAGTCACGCGAACAAGTGAATGAGTCCAAAATGGGGGCTGGTGGCGGTGTGTTAGTAGTTGAAGAGTTCTGAGAGAACGGGATGACATATACGAGGCGGGAAGGGCAGTTTCGGGTAAAGACTGGAGAGAGTGAAGGTGAAAGTGAAGTGCGCAGGGCGTGCATCAGAGCAAACGGACGTAGTTATGCCTAGAAAGGCATAGACTACGGCATCTGCTTAGCTTTCACAATCTTGAGGTTTATTTAATATAATTTAAAATATACTTGATAGCTTATCGTGGTAATTTGTGGCAGCAATTAAGTTGGCGTGTCTTGCTCGTCTGCCTCATCTACCTCCCGCTAGGGATAGCCTGGCGCTCTCTATAAATTCCCATTGCATATATCTCGCTTATAAAACGTAGCAAATACTTGAAACGTCCCTTTAAATCTCGCAAAACTCCCATGAATCCGTGAATAGGGCTCAAAATAGGTGTCTCAATACTCTCCATCCAGTCCCGCAGCAGCCACGGCCGGCTTCTGCTTCTGCTGCACCTCATCATCCTCCTCTTCCTCCAACTCCTCCCCTTCTCTGTCATGCTGCTTTCTCTTTTGACCTCCACCGGTACTCTTGACGACCTCGGATGGGCTGGCCATTTTACTCGGCGTCGACGGAGCGTTTCCCGCCGCTCCGCCGCCAATGCCGCCAACGACGCCGCCGCCACCACCGGGGTAGCGGCCGCGGCGGCGCTTCTTTGTCCAGCCGTGACGCACGCACATCTGGCGGTAGCGCTCCTTGAGCGATTTTGCGCTACGAAGTGAGGCAGTGGCCGCGGCAGCGTCCCAGTCGACGTCGGGCTTGCCATTCATGTGGGCAAAGATGGCCAGGAGGATGCGGATCTCGCCGTCGGTCGGCGTGACCTTGTCCTCGGCAGCAGCCATGATGGCAGTGTGGAGGGGGTTTTAATTTCGGAGAGGATGGCAAGAAAAGTTGATTGCTTTTTAGACCTCGAAATTGTGTAGTGAATGGCAAGGATAACGGAATATAGTTAATGGAAACAAGGAGAGGGTTTGTTCGTTGCGGATTGCGGCTGGGAATGCAAGTTGATTGGTGGGCGGCTGAGTGACGAAACAAGACGCCGCTCCAGCACAAAAGTTGCAGAGCAAGAGACTCGGCAGCTATCTAATGAAATAAAAATGCGACTTTGAAATGTGAAGCTCAGAATTACTCGCTGACTACAGCTCTTTCCTTTTCATGTCCCTCTTTTATTACTTTTAACTGCAAAAACAGTCTCTTTTCTTAGTACCCCCTTTGTTGGTGTAAGTCGCAAGCGGAGAATATGAGCCGGAAAGCGCACGTAGAACAAGTTTCAGCTTCAGGCACAAAAGATTCAACAATTTGTCCGATCTCTCCAGTAATGATCGCTCGGGAACCTGGCGCATTGTCACAGGCTCATTGATCGAATCTGGCTATACAACGGCGGCGGCGAGTCACATTTACAAACAGCGGCACCACCATGGGCAGTCTTCATTCCTCGTGTCCATTGTTCTCGTACCAATGTTTTCGCAAATGTATCAATAAAATGCAGCTCTTATCGAATTCCCCAACTCCAAGCAATGCCCTAGCAAAATGGCTCTCGTGCGTCTTTTCAAATCCCCTCCGGACAGGCAATCCGGAGCTGCCCGCCAACAGCGGATGACGAAACGTTTTTTGTCTTTAGAATAAATTAAAGCCATCGGCGGCCGGCTCTCTCTTGATGCCGCTGGCCGGAGGCGTCTCGCTCCTTTCCTTGGCCGCGCGGCCATCGTTCTCGTCGTCGTCGTCATCCTCGGGCTCCTCCTTCTTGACCTTGCGGCCCCGGCCACCACCACCGGGCGCCTTGCGGGACTTGGTGACCTTGGTCGGCGTCGAGGATACATCGCCGGCCTGCGCACCTTTGCCGGTCTTCTTGGTGGGGCTGTCGCCCTCGAGGCCGTACTTTCTCTTGATCTGGCCAAAGCGGACCTGTGCGTGGTGTATGTGTTAGTCGACCCGCGAGGCGGCTATAGTAAAAGACTTTTTGGTTTAAAGAGGTAGGGGAAGACGTACCTTGGCAACGCCAGCGTTCTTGAAGCCGGAACTCTCGGCGACGGCATTCCAGTCAATGTCGCCTTTGTTCTTCATGTGCTGGACAATGTTGAAGAAGAAGATGGCCTCGGCGGCGGTCGGGCCTGGCTTTCCTTCGTCGGCCATGATCGCTGAGCGGCGCGGTGTTAGCGAAATGGGTGGTAATAGAACAAGAATAGAGGAAGAAAACGTAGGGAATTGGAACTGGGCGGATGATAGCGTCAGCGAGGAGTTTCTTCCCGGGATCTCACCAGGAATAAAGATTGTTGGTTGAGGGTCACTGGGCAGAAGCAGCGTTGCTTCAGTGTGATGTATAAGGTTGTGGAAGGAAATTAATACGAGAACGTTGTAGAATAGGTGGTGGATGACAAAAGGGAAGAAAAGTTTTAAATGAAAGAAATGTTTGAAAAGAAATGAACCGCTGCTGCTGGCTGCTCAGCAAAGAAAATCAACAGCTTCGTCTGAAGATGAGAATGATATGCAAGGTGCTGCGTTAATGAACAGTAAGTGAGGTGCATCTCTTGGTCACGGCGCTCAAGTTACCAGACCCCAGCCACAAAGCCTGGGGGGGTCGTGGAAGCAAGTATTTTATCACATTTTAAAGAATACATAGAACTAGTTCAAAGTTAGTCTCATTGAAGCAGCAAAGAGATTAAACATCGAATATAGTACATTTCTTTTGTTGCCTGCTTAGGCCAAAATAGCAAATCCTAAAAACGCCATGTTTTCCATAAATAAATAACACCATCAACCAGAAAGACGAACTGCGGGCCGGTACAAACTGGGCATCTTGAGGGGATGGACAGTCTGTCACCTTGAGCGCAACTCGCACCGAGGCATTATTTTTGTGGTTTTGTCATTAGGTCGTAACAAGAGAAAAAGCCTGGAGGAAAGCAACCAACGTCTGAACAAAGCAGCAGCAGCAGCAAACAAGCACATTTTTCCCTTTCTATATTACATCAAATCTCCGTAGCTCGTTCCTCTTTGTAGGATATTGTCGTAGTGGGAGAAGTGTCATCGCTTCACCTCATCGCATTATGTGTAATCGAAGGGGGTTTGGGGTATCATTTAAAAGTGTCCGTCTTGGAAGTGGTCGTTCCAGAGTGACTGGCTGGTGGCATTGAGGTCTGTCTGCGTAGAGAGATCAAAATTGCCGCCCGAGACGAAATTGCTCATGTCAATGGCAGCCTCAAAGGCAGAGAAGTCAGTTGGGCCTTCGAGGCCTGGCTCCTGCTTCAAAAACTCGGGGCTCGCATCGAGACTGTATCCGGGGTGATTGGGGAGCTGGTGGTGGATCGCCTTCGGGTTGAGAGAGAGCGGCTGGGTCATGTCGTCGCTGCAGGGAGTCATGAATCGAGGATTTTCAAAGTCGTCACCGAGGTCGCCCATGTAGGGAGAGACGTCTGGAGTGAACTGCAAAAGACGAGCGTTGGCAAAGAACTACTCATGAAGACCGCGCTGGCTGCTCGCGCGAACATACCTGAGGATACGACGTCAAGCTGATGCTGGACTCTGACTTGATGATGGTGTCCTTCTTGGGGTGTGAATCTCGTCGAGAAGACGACTTGGAGACCTTGCCAGACTTTTCGCTAGAGCTGCGTCTCTTGGTGGGCTCGTGGCCGGTAATAGTGGAGCGAAAACGAGAGTATCTCATTCTAGCGGCATGACCATTCGTAATGGGCTGCAGCAGAACAGGGTCGTTGGCAACTTGATTCCAGTCAATCTGAAAGATGGGTTAAATAGGGCATCAGGCGCTTGAAGGGGGTGGCAAGTACTCACATCCTTGAGGTTCTTTTGCTTGAGAATGGCAAAAAGGAACCGAGCCATGGCATTGTCTGCGTTGGAGGTCATAATGGCGAAAAAGGTGTAAGTTGATCAGACTATAGAATAGGGGGAAGAATGTTGGGCGAGTCGAGGTTGATATGCAGCGATGCAGCGACCAAGACGGCAGCGTGAGAGCCTGGCCACGAGGACCGAGACAGGTTGGACGGGAGATGTAAGACTAGCTTCGATTCGAAGAGATGAAGTGGTTGCGTGAGTAGATTGTAGAAAGTTTAACAAGGGAGGCTATGTGGAGGACAGCGTGAATGCACGAGTGGCGAGGAGAAGGAATTGGATCGAAGCGAAGAGGTAGTGGACTTGAACGGACGATCAAAGACGGTAAAATGGGAGTCTCAAAAAGTTGAAGCATATGTAAATAGGAGAATAATGGTCAAAATCAGATGTATGCTGGGCAGAAGGGGAGGGAAGAAGAAGAGAGCATCGAGCGACGGCCAGGCACCATGGCCAGAGAAGCACTTATATAGGAAGATGGCGTACGACAAGGTTGGTGGGCCGGGAGTTGATTTCCATGGGAACAAGGATTAGGCAGACCAGGTGGGATTTTGGGTTTTTTGAGCTGGATTCGCAAGCCACACCCCTCGGGGGGATGGAGGAGGGATGGTATATCTTTTTTTCGACATGATGGGTGTTGGTAGCGATGGATTGGGTGAGGGAAGAGGGCGTGGGAGAAAAGAGGCAAAGAACCAGGGGGGGGTCTGTTGCCTAGCGCTGGGGCCAAGACTCAAGACTCAAGAGGCAAGTCGCTTGTTTGGGCAATAGCAATGCTGAAGCCCCACTGGATGCTGAGAAATGCGCTACCAGCTCGAGTATGTGCCACTACCTAATTATCAATGACAGGACTGCCTGCCAGCTGCCTAGGTGATGAATTTCTTGCTGCTGCAAGGCTTTAAAGAGCGCTGTTGGAATAAACCATCAATTGAATATATAAGCAGCCAAGCCGGAAGCAAGCCAGCAAAAGTTGGTAAAAAGAATAAAAAAGCTCGGCGAGCAATGTTGGGAATTGAACGGCATGTTCCAGTGGAGCAACACCACTTAAACCCCCAGAAACTCGCTGCTTCAGCCGCGTAAAGTGGTTTGCTTGGAGCGCTGTAATTCTGGATCGGCTCAACACATGCGCAGACCCATGAGAAAAAAAAGTAAACGTCATTGCTTGGCCTCATGGGAAAAACAACGAGCTTTCACCGTCGTTTTGCAATTGGCCGCGTAATTCCATCTTTGATCTAAACCAACGGTCAAAGTCGCAGTCATCGCAATCGGGCAAAAGAAAAAAAAATGCTGGTACCTCGACCGCAAAAAAGCAACGACAGGGGATTTCATTCAAGATTTCTTTTTTTCTTGTCGTCCAATTCTCCCGTATTATTCGCTTCTTTATCCCTGGTCTGAAACCCAGTGTGACTCATTACCTAAAACCCCATCAAATCGGTTTACCTAAGTGGAGAGGGGAGGGGGTGCGGCAAGGCCACCCGTCCATTCCGTCAGCATGGGTTGAAATGCCCCCAACAACCCAAGCCGTCTTTTGTTGTACCTCGCCCACCAGAAAATGCTGCGTCGGTGACTTTTTCTCAAGCAGATCAATCGCGGAATTGATAGAAACAGACGAGATCTGATAAGAAAAGCCGTTGGTGACGTCTTGTCAGCTTATAAAAAGGCACCACACCTCGACAAGGCAGCAAAAGAAAAAGTTCGCAATCCTACCGTCATCCCCTTTGTGCCCAATTAATCTCCTTTCTTACTCGTGCTTCCTCATTTCTGATCAGCGTGGTGTGTGGTGTGTGTGGCATGTCTCCTAGTGCGGCGGACCCATGTATTGCAAAGCCGAGAGCGCTGCGAAGGGAGCTCAGCCTGCCTTGAAAAGAGGGGTACTAGCAAAAAATCATCACCAGTTTGCGCAGGCAGAGTTTTGGACCGAACCACAGCCAACAGGCCAAAAAAGACGCGGAAAGTGCTAGAGATGAGAGACGCTTCATTTTCGATGCATTGCCGACGTTTTTTTACACCTCTATGGTCGCAGACGCGGCCCAGAGGCCATGCGCAGCGAGGATGGGCTCGCCGCCGACCCTCGGGAGACGCGACGGGGCGCGCACTACTGCGACCCTCTCAGCGTCCTAGTCACCGCCAGGTTGCCACGAAAACACGTGATGACGCTAGGCCGCTTCAGGAAGCGAGCGCGGGCGGCCTAGCCGTACCGGCGAGCGAGACAGCAGCGCGGATGAACCGTCGTATCAGTGTATCACGTACCACACTATCTTCCCTCCCCCCCCCCCCCCCAAACCCCAAAGACCACCCGCATTCAGGTTTGTGCCGTTCCATTCGATTCCACAATGTGTGATTGCGTCTGCACATTGCGCATTCCACCGCCGAGACTTTTCTGCGCGAGCAAGGCAAAGAAAAAAGAAAAAAGTCAGAAATATCGTTTGCTCGTGCCTGTGCCTGGAGCTCCTTTGTCGTCGATGCAGACGGGTCGAGCAGCACAGCCCACTTGCCACAGGTACAAAGGTACCTTGTTTGCCTGATCGAACTGGTTATCGAATCTCTGATTTGAAGCTGTATGTACATGAATAGGTGGCCGGCTAAACTGCGTCTGAATGCCGGCTATGCCACAACATCACCGTTCGTAGGCAAGGCAGCAATATCCGAGAACACATGTCGGTCATGCACAGATCAAATCCGAATACAATACAATGCGTCCCCGGCGGTTCTTTTATTTACTCTCAGCCCGTCTCCCGCACGGCTACCAAGGTCGCCCATCTTGGCCGCAGCCTCGCCCGCGAAGCACAAAAACCACGAGACTGTACCGCCTGTTATGCCGCGCACGGGCCAACGTGCAGCCGATCCGCCTTCTCCCCACCTCGACTTTCTGTCTTGCAGGCTGCAAGTCCCTAAAAAGCCCCAGATAAGTCAAACCATCTGCTCTCCTGTCACGCACTACCAATTTTCCCTCCCGGCCAGCGCCTGTCCTTAACAGACTCTACCTACGCCCACACAGCGACAATACCGCTGGACTCCTTGCGCCAGCGCGGCACCACACACCAAGGGAAAAAAAAATTGACCCAAGCTCCGTCGTACTCTCTCTCTCTCTCCTTTGCGTCGTTCGCTGCACCCCTCGCGCAACGGGCAGGACGCGAGGCCGTCTTGACCCACCTCGCCTGGCTCGTTCTTAAGGCCTTCTTCCTGTCAGCCATGAATAACATGAATAACAAGAACTGGAACGACCGTGCCGACAAGGACCTCTTTTTTACCATTCTGTCAATCAAGAACATTGGCGTCATCAGTGGTGCGGAATGGACACATATCGGCAACTACATGCGTAGCATTGGATATGGCTTCACAAACGAGGGATGTCGGTAAGTATCTCATCTCATCCCGCACTCACACCCTCGGACATTTTGTCAATTTTCTTGCTTTCATTTCCAGCCCACATCGTCTTCTGCTGCTGCCAGTCTGCCCTCTTGTTCCTGCATATCCAACTGCTACTTCCCCTCATCAGTACGCCGTAGCAGTCCTCCACCACCAGCCCTATATGCAATGCAACCCCGGGCCAATAGCATCTTTTCTCGATTCCCCCGCTCTCTACTGATTACCCCGTCACAGACAACACTTTCAAGGCCTGCGCCGCGCTACAAACAAAATTGAGCCCGCGCCTCCTCCAGCAGACGCGGCGCTCCGGCGCATCGACCCAAGCCTAAACCCCATCACCCGGCGCCCTGGCCCCGGACGTGGCCGGCCTCGAAAGTCCGCGGCCGCCGGCGAAGCGTCCGCAGGACCGGCCTCCGCAGCCGTCAGCAGTGTCACGCCACTTGACCCCAACATGAACGCTTCGCCGACCCCGGCCCCGGCCCCGCCGCAAGCAATGGACACGGAGGTGCACGACCCCAACCAGCAGATTGCCATGGAGGACGAGCAGACCCTCGTGGCGTCGGCTGCAGACGTTCCCTACCCGGGCGCCGCTCCTGTGCAACAGGGCGCCGCTGACGGGAGCGCGGACGAGCACCCGTCAAAGCGGCAAAGACTTGACGCCGATGTCATGGACCCCGAGTCGGCCCTGGACGATGAGGCTGTGCTGGCACTGGCCGCGCACAACGGCACGACACCAGCTGATTACGCAGAGTGAGAAGACCCCCTCTTTCCAGGCTCTTCGAGTATCATACTGATAGGTTCGACATTAGATTTAGCTATGGTGATGCGTAGCATGTCATACTTCGAGACATGAAGCAAGATTACGAGCGAGCAATGGTGGGTTCATCGGCGTTGAGTGACTTTTTGTCTGGATATACACGGCGCTTTGTTTTCTCTTTCTTACAACTCGGAGGCTGTATTTTGACGACCAGGTAAACGCATTTTGACGTTTTTGTTGTTGCTTTTTTACTTTTCTGTTCATACATTAGAAGCGCAGGATTGCAATGTTGGAGAGGGACTGCATTTGGTCTCGGAGAGGAGTTTTGTCGTTTTTCATGATTGACTGTCATAGACTTTGGTAAACGCAATCTGTGCCAGAAATCAAATACAATTGTTGATCATCCATCTTTGACCGAACAATAAACAAAGGCGTACAGGCGTCCCCATCTCAACTGCTCGGACTGCCGCCGAAGCACAACGCAGCAGTGAAGAGTTGATGGCCTAAACCGATCCCAGGATAGTTGCTCTGTGAAGGTGAATGACGACTGACAGTAAGCAATCTGGTTTTCCGATGCAAACAGACCGCCGGTGCTGCAGCTCTGCCCAGCCGTTTGCACCCATAACCAACATCGCACGGCCATTCACCAACTGCTTCCCTCTAATTTCCTCATTTCCATCTCGCAACAACAAGACCCAAAATCACATCCTCGCTTTTCTTCTCGCTCTTGTATAACTCTCTCTTTCTCTCTTGCCTCGTCTCGGCTTTGCGGTCAACACAGTCCTTTACACACATTAAAAACCCCGTCCGAATCGAAACCATGCCTGTCAAGGCCGGAGTCTGGGAGAACCCAGAATTCCTCATGGAGCTGTCCCTCGCACTCTTTCAGGTTGCCAGCGGCGGTGGCGCCCTGAGCACCCAGGCCAAGAGTGCCGTCGAGGCCTATCTCAAGGCCCAGGGCCATGATCAGTCCTGGGAGTCTATCCGGTAAGGCGATGCTCTATCGTTCTATCTTGTCAATCTTACCCCTTGCTTCAATCCTTCCATTCTCCTCGCTTCTCACCTTTGACAGCGTGTTTGCTACTTGCAGCTGCATTTTGGCGCTTGTTTTCCGCAGAGGCGGTGAATACAGCTGCCGCTGATGCCGCCTCATTATGCCTCTGCCTACGAGCCAAGTTGCCTCCTCGCTTTCATCCTTTCATCATTTCATCATTTCATCCTTGAATCCTTTCATCCTTGCATCCTTTGATCCTTGATCCTTCCATTCTCTGCTCCTCGAATCTACCTTCCCAGCAAGCATCTTTTGCCATGACTCGTTCTCAGATGAAATGGGACGCGGCAGCCCACGAGGCCATGCTCATCTGCATTGTCAAGCACTGCGAGCTAAACTCTCATAACATGGCCAAAGTCTTGGACGAAATGCAAAAGAAGGGCTACGAATTTACTGAGAGAGCATTCCGGTATGACATGCTGCCAAGATACACAAGTCTTTTGATCCTTTGCCTGCTCTGCTTTTCCTATTCTCCGTTTCCGTTCGTTTTGAAAGTCCAGCACAAACACCTGCCAGGCAGGAGGCAGGCTCTTAGTGTCTACCACCCACTCATATCTCGTTCACTCAAATCTCTCCTCTCCACATCACCCATCACTTTGCCATGACAATACCCCCCAAGCTTCACCTTTTTTTCTCTACACACCTCTGTCCTTGCCATAGATTCCTTTCGATCACAATCACTTCGCTCCAAATCCATCGCGTTTCTCATCATGCCTGAAAAGTCCAGCCGTCGCTGGGACGCCACAGCTCACGAAGCCCTGCTCTTCGCTATGATTGAAGAGTTCAAGCCAAACAAAGAGTCAATCACGGGCATCGTGGGTCATTTGAGGGCCATGGGCCACGATTACACCTTTCATGGAGTCAAGTACCTGACTTCCCCCTTGCCCTGTTCTCTTGACCCTTTTGCATTTGCATGACTCTTCTGTTCTCTGCTTTTTACTAACCGTCTTTCGCGTTTTAGTCAGCACATCCAAAAGCTTCGCAAAGCTCGCGATACGTCTGCTCTCGACGGTTCAGGAGACAGCTCAAAGCCTGCTACTCCCCGCAAGGCTACTCCTCGCAAGACCCCGACATCTACCCGCAAGCACAAGGTAGAGATGGACGAGGACGCCGATGAGCTCGGCCTGGACATCAAGAAGGAGGACGAGAAGGGTAGCATGGCTACTCCGTCCAAGCGCCCTAAGATCGAGTAAGCTTTACGGATTCGCCTCCTACTTTTGAAGTCGTAAAATACTAACTGTCTTTTTCTGTTTGAAGTCCTTTCTCTAGCCCGGACTGGAAAAAGTCCGTCTTTCAGAACTCTGAAATTTAGGTCAACACGTTGTCCGTTGGTCCTATCGCGATACAACAAGACGCATGTTGAGGGATTTCACGAACTTTGAGATGCATGGGTCCATTTTGCTTTGCTACTTACGGGGTTATGGACATTACGGTACCATTTGATTTCCACAGAAAAGACGACGTTGGATGAGACAGCATAGTCGAGAGAGCATTAGGTATTAGGGGGGGAGACAGCTAGGACTCAGGAAGAGTCTTGAATACATTTCTCTACCTCGCATTCTCGATTGTTCACACATGTGCAATTTTACGTGCCATTGGGGGCTGTTACCGTCGGCGACCTTGGCCATGAAGCGCACCGCGGTCGGCCAAGTCAATTCGCAGAGCTGGGGTTAGACTCTGACAGGAGCTGGGCATTAAGGTCATATCTCCATTGTAGTTCTTGTCATGGTCTTTTGCAGTACCTCTGCTTTACCTCTATCTGTGTTGGGTACTTGTCTGGTGCGCCCTCCGAGGGGCCAAGTCTCTGCCGTCGACGAAACAAGATGCCGCGCGACACATCAGGGTAAAGCAGCTTCTGCGTCCTTTCAAAGCTTGCCTCTCTACACTTGAGTGTGTGATTTTCCTTCTCCTTGATTCGCAAGTGTTTTTCGACGGAAGCTCTTTGTGCCGATGCAGGCGTCGCGGCAACCACGGGCGCGCGCTGGATGGTGCAAGGCCGAAGTTTTTTTCGCGACAATCTAATAGCTCTGCTACAGCGCCACGTTGTGTTTTCTTGTGTAATACTCGTGCTGTCGTTTTTAAACTACAGTATTCACAATTAATCAAGTGATGGTTTAGCTATTGTTGGCTGTGGTAGTGTAGGATGTCAGCAGTCACCGCTCCGTTTCCATACTGGTGTAAGTGACAATTGAAACCCGAGGACCACTACAATGGAATAGTGGCAACTCACGACGAGATCTCACCGAAACATATCATGTGTAGAGAAAGTAGCTCAAAAAGTAAGAACACTCGAGTTTAAGCCCCTGCGGCCTTACACAGGTGCAGTGATGCCAAATGTCCTTCTGCAATTTGGATCTCGGGTAGGCGACCGTTCCAGCTGCGGGTCCTTGGTCGCGAGCCAGCCATCAGCATGGACATTGCAGCATAGAGTCTCTCATATAGGCATTTAGTTTAGATCAGAAGTAAGATCGGGCTAATGGTCTAGGGGTATGATTTTCGTTTTGCATACACAGGGATACCGATGACCTCCGCACCGCAAGGTAGCAGGATTAGGTCCCCAGTAGTTTCTCTACGAAAGGTCCGGGGTTCAAATCCCCGTTGGTCCAATCTCATTTCTTTTTTTGCTTCCATTATCACTGTGCTTATAACAAGTTGATGGCTATTTTTATTTTTATTTTTTTAGTTCTTGTTGTTCTATCCCATTGATGCGAGAGATACCATTCCATCGTTTGTTCTTCGTCGTTGCCTGCGTGCTTGCGTCTGTGGCTTTCGAGGCAAGGGCTATCACTACGTCGGCCCAGCGTGTTACACCAGAGCAACTTGCAGAATACACACCTTACGCATAATATGACCTCTCGGGAAAATGGTTGATATTGTAAAGTCTATGTTTCAGCTACACTGTCCTGAAATCACCAACTGACAATCCTTTCAACGACAGGTGAGGCGCCGTCTGCTCGAGCCAGCTGAAACCGCATTCTTGCCCTCCGTTCCCTCTTTCGCACCCGTACTTCTAGAACGGACAGTCAACTTGACAATACCAGTTGGCTGAGAATAGCCGACACTTGCAAGGTCAGCATTGACCTGGAAATATAAACACCATGAGATTCGTGCAAGCGATGGTGCAGCATGGAAGTACCGAAAATAGCGTTGCTCTAGCTCCCCCCCCAGACGCGCCATCAGTGAAGCATCGCGTACGCCAGGCTGCTCCCGCCCGCGGCGACGGGCCGCGCCCCGTGGCCGCGTCGCCGGCTGCCATGCAAGAGCTCCGTCTGACTGAACGGCAGTACCGAGTTTCCATCACATGCACGGCCGATAGACCGGCATCTGCTGCAAGTCGGCTTCGCCTCGTCGCATTTGACCTTGCGGATGCGACACGTCAGGCAGCCCCTGCGTCTCGACGAGGCTGCGCCTGGGACGCGTCGTGCGTCGGGTATCGGGTACGTTGCTCCTTGTCATGGCTGACCTCTGAAAGTTGCGAGCACCATTTTTCTTTTTTTGGTCGAAGCCTGCTTGATTTATGGGGAGACTTATTTTGGGAATTTTTTGGGGAGTTGGCCGACGGAGGATCGACACGGCCTACGGACCTGCGATTGGAATGGTTCGCCAATTGCCAAGCCTCGCGGCTTATACGGGAGCCCACAAGGCTGCTAAGGAAATCAAGCATACATCAGCGCTCGAAATAGGCAAGTTCCGAATCCGACGAGATCTGTCAAGCGGAGCCCATGTACGTCTTTTGATTCGGCCGTTTCGGATTAGGTTGGCCTTATTTCGTGTCTGGGGCATCGTGGGAGGCATTAGTAACTGCGTTGCGGTATAAGTAGGGCTCAAAGGGGGAGAAGTGAAGTGAAAATCACAAAAATCACCCTGATACATTCCTACAAGCTACATGCAACAAGCGGACCATGAAACTGAAATTCGCCCTATTATTCTTTACTTCGCTGCTTACACTGAGCGTTGCCAAGCTCCCTGAAGATGCGACCGGTATTACGACAAAGCGAATAGACGGCCAGCCCGGAGTCTCCATTACTTACAAAGAGACCAAAATCTGCGAAACTAGAGCGAAAGCTTGGGCTGGATATGTGCACATGCCGTCATGGCATCTGAGTGAGATCCAGACCGCCGATCCATACAATGTGTCCATGTTCTTCTGGTACTTTGAGGCGCGCAACTCGCCATCCAACGCAACCACGGGCATCTACCTGGCTGGAGGACCTGGTGCGCCGTCTATTAGCGATCTTGCCTCCGGGACGGGGTCTTGCTACATCAAGGCCGACTCCAACAGCACCGAGGACAATCCTTGGTCCTGGAACAATGACATGAACATGCTGTATATTGACCAGCCGGTCAGCACGGGCTACTCTTACACTGAGCGCATTCACTCAACTCTCGACATGCTCTTCCTGGGCAATCCGGTGACGGAAACCGGCATTACGCCGTTTGAGGCATACGGCGGCTCCGTGCCTCCCGAAAACATCACCTTTCTCCATGGCACCTTTTCCAAGCAAAATCCAGACAAGACGGTCAACAGCACGCTGTCTGCCGCCAAGACGCTGTGGCACTTTTCGCAAGTCTGGTTCCCGCACTTTGCGGCGTACAATACGACCGACAAGAGAGTCGGCATCTGGGGCAACTCGTATGGGGGCTTCTACGTGCCCACCACGTCCTCTTACACGATGCAGCAAAACACCAAGATTCGCCAGGGAGCACTCAATGGAACAATCATTCCAATTGACGCTGTTGGGTGGACCAATGGATGTGTAGACATGCTATACCAGGGCGAATGGTTTCCCGAGCAAGCCTACAACAATACATACGACCTACAAGTCATCACTAAGGATGCGTACGAGGAGGCTCTGCACAACTTTACCGAGCCGGGAGGCTGTCGGGACCAGATCACCGAGTGTCGTCGCCTCGGCAACCTCTACGATCCTGACCATCTCAATACAAACTCCAAAGTCACCGACGCCTGTGCCGAAGCCACCCTCTACTGCTTCGGCTACGTCATGGGCGCATACGAGGCCGCAAGCAACCGCAGCAACTTTGACATGGCGCATCTCAAGCCCGACCCCTTTCCTCCCTCCTACACCAACGGCTTTTTCAACCAGGCGTGGGTGCAGCAGGAACTCGGCGTCGCCGTCAACTACACCTCGTCGCTGCTCGCCAACAATGTGCTACTCTACGCGACAGGCGACCCGGTACGCAACAGCGGGGTCGATATGCTGCAGTATCTGCTCGACAGCGGCGTCAAGGTGGTGATGATGTACGGCGACCGCGACTATCGCTGCCCGTGGAACGGCGCAGAGGGGCTCAGCCTGCAGCTGCAGTGGTCGGGCGGCGATGCTTTCCGGAGCGCGGGCTACGAGCGCGTCCAGACGAGTCGGTGCGCGAGCAAGGGCGTCGTTCGGCAGCACGGGAACTTGTCGTTTGCGCGCATCTTTGACGCTGGCCATGATGGTAAGCTTTCAAGACTCAGAGGCCAGAAGGAAAAAGAAGAGTACAAAGGATGAGCATACTAATAGTGTTTGGCTCCAGCCCAAGGATACCAGCCCGAAATCGTCTCGCAGCTCGTCAGCCGCGCCGTTGCTGGCAAAGACCTCGCGACCGGTCGACACGCGACAACTGGTCAGGGGGCCAACTACACAACTCAGGGGCCAATCAGTAGCTTTGCAATCAAGAACAAGCTGCCGGAGCCGCCAGCCTTCGAATGCAGCCTGTGGAATGTGCCGTCGTCGTGCACGCGGGAGCAGTACGAGGCTCTGGTGGCCGGCACCGCAGAGGTCAAAGACTACATGGTGGTTCAGCCTGCGGGAGGAAGTCCGGGGTCGATCATTCAAGTTTTGTAAAGTGACTACCGTCTCAAGTGAGGATGAGCTTCACCTGACCGAGTTCTCTCAGCCACTACAGAAGCTTCACTTTCTACACAGGTTGGACAGCATTGATGGGATGAGAGTACCAGGACGAATAGAGAAAATTCAGAGATGGAAATCGAAATCTAAGCCCAATATCCGTCGTTCTTCAAAAAAAGCTATGCCTGCAGGGATTTCTGTCCCTAATGGGGTGCCATTGCGAAGATATCGGATCGTCTGCTATTACCGAACCTACCAAACTCGCAATTCACAGGTACATAATCACAAGCTGAGAATTCGCCAGAAATTTCCGCATGTAGTCAAGGTGACCAGGGAGGGAGAATACTTGGCGGGGAACTGCCAACGCACAGAGCCAGATGAATACAGAAGCAGCTCACTTTTTACAGCCAAAAGTGAACTGCAGATAACAATTTTGGCCCAACATGGTAAAGTGACTTCACATTACAATCAGACCTTGTGAATCCTCTTTGTCCCAGCCTTTTTACTTTTTTTACCCCTCTTCTTTAGGTTGTCCCCTTTCTCTCTTATACCTTCAATCATCACACTCTTCCACAACCACAACAACCTACCACCTACACAACACTCTCTCTCATCTACACAACACTTTTCCTTCTTCTTCTACTTTATCCCTCCCTCCTGCATTATAATCCCCAAACCCCAAACCCCAATTACCCTACTGAGATCTCTTGCAATGGCCAGCACCACGACTGACGCCAACACTCCTAAGACCGGTGCCGTCAAGAGGTGGGATGGCAATGCCGAACGAGATCTCTGCCTCGCCATAATAATGGGCGGCAGTACCGATGGCGACAAGTTTCGCCCAGACTGGAATACCACCCACAGCGCAATGACTGCTCTTGGTTACGACTTTACCAAGGATGCCATGTCGTACGTATCCCCTCTTCCTGCCAATGATGAAAAGACTAAACAATGCCTAATCATCCGCTACAGTCAGCGATGGAGCAAGACCATCTTGAAAGAGTTCAAGAGTCGCCACTCGGATGTCGACCTCGCCTCGCCCGCATCATCACCCACCAAAATGACTCCCACCAAGCGCAAGAAGGCTGCCGCAGCAGCAGCCGCGGCCGCCACAACCACCTCTGACGAAGCCGCTTCCGACAGTGGTGCCGTCGAAGAGACCGTCGTGGCCGCCGCCGCTACTCCTCCTGCCACGCCCAAGGGTCGCAAGCGCGCTCCCGCCAAGCCCAAGGCCACTGGCCCTCCCAAGCCCCGTGGTCGCAAGCCCAAGTCGGCCGCGACGGTCAAGGGCGAAGAGGAAGAGGACGACGAGCCGACTCCTGCAAAGACTGCTGTCGAGAAGCCAGCAACCGCCAAGAAGGGGCCTGTGACCAACGCCAAGAGTAAGTAACGCGCCCGCCCAATCCCTTCAAGTCGCATCAAGTCCGTACTAACTCCCCACTGCAGACGAGGACGCCGACAAGGCCCCAGAGGATCAGCCCAGCCCTTCCAAAAAGGCCAAAGTTGAGCCTCAGGAGGACACTGAAATGACTGATGATGTTTGATCCCATCAGCCTTTTTATCTTTCTTTCATGTTGCTGCGGCTCTTCTAATATCCATGTGTCCATGAAAAGGACCCAATCTTTCTCTTTCGCTTTCATTACCCCATGATATTCATCCGCAAGAGTCGGACAGGAATAATATGATTTGCCTACAGATGGCGTTGCTGGCGCTTATTTAGCCATAACAAAGAATTCTAGTACATTCAGATTACTTTTGATAGTTAGCTTTCAGAATCACAGATCAAGCATGTTATTTGAGTCTGTCAACGCACAGTCGCAGGTGATTGTGAATGAATTCGCCATAGGTTTTGACACTATCTCACCTCTGACCCATAAGCAGTTCCCTTACAACGCCGCCGTGATATGTTTCAATTTGTTGCAAACGCTAATCTATCGGAGAGGTCTTCCATCCAGTCGGTGGCCCTCACCAGTGCCCTTCTTCTCGGGAGCCTTTTGCTTGCTGTCATCTTCGCCCTTGCGCTTGACGGTGCCCCTAAGACTCTGCCCTTGTCCGGCAAAATGAGGCTTGTCGGCATTCTCCCTCTCCTTCTCCCTATCTGCGTCGGTCTTGACGGGTGTAATCTCGTAGCCAAAGAATAGCTTGTTCGGCGCAAGACGTAGAGGCGCAGGAGCTCCAGTTATTCGGCGTGGAACGGCTGTTGTGTCAACAGGCACGGGTGTGGCTGGCTTTGGCGTGGCATTCTTGCTTCCCTTCTTGGCAATCCGCTGGCCCTCACCCAAAAAGTTGGTAGGATTGCTCGTGACGGACGGGGCGATGGCGGAGTAGTTGATTGCTTGGGCCATGGTGCCTTTGCTGTGTAGGACGCCCCCTGCCGGAACGCCGGGTCGTGTGCTTGGTGTGCTGGTACCGCTGTTTCGCTCTGGCTCGACGTAACCAACTGGAGGGGCAAAGTCTACAGACACATCGGTCTCAATCATGCTTACACCCATCTTGTCCGTCTCGGGCTTGACGTCCAATACCGCCACATCGTACACCTCATCGTTGTATTCGAAATTGAAGACATCTCCTTTGGTCAGCGTGGCAAAGTTTCGAAAAGCACGTTCCAGCACAGCCTTGGGGTCGCTAATCTCAAGAAAGTTGGTGGATTGCGGCTGAAGCTTGACCATCTTTGCCAGCTCGAGCAAGGTTGTTCGGATCTGAATCATGTCGCCGACTTCCATGCCTAGTGTCTCCATCATCTGTTTTGTGTCAGTAAAAAAAAAAAAAACCGACGATGAAACATTATTGAACAAGCCTACCCATTGTGGAATATAAGCTCTGCCTTCCTCTGCAATAAACTCGAGAACACCAGCGTGCGAATGACGTCCTTTCTCACCGTTGATGAGCTCCATCAGCAGAGGCCACTGCACATGAAGCTTGGACACCTTGTCGAGTGCAGAGGGCGGGAGAAGAATCTTGGAACCGTAGTTGAGCTCTGGTCGCTCGTTCCCGGGAGCCATGATGACGGGGTAGCATCTGTAGTATTCGTCGAATCGCTGAATAATCGGTCGTCGGCCGTGACGCGCCATGTTGTAGAGGTGATCCGCGTTGCCCGGATCAAAGTTACCTCCAAATCCAGGTTGATACTTGAAGTCGTTAGGAGGCAATCGATGCAGCGTGGGATAGGTAAAGGCTACATACCATGTTGCAGAAGTGAATGCGCCTGCCGCGCTGGGTAGATTTGTGGCGGGGTGATGCAGGAGCTCGAATATGGCTTTCTGTAACCGTCGTCTCGGGGTAATTCGCCTGATGACTAGGTAGGCTTTATGAACCAAGTATTAAATCGTCAGCGATTTTGTCGCTTGTTTCTGTCACAGTGTTGTTGCGTGCGAAAGATGCTGCTGCTGGAGCGAAGTCGCCTCTTTGATCTCTCTGAGGCAGCAAGCGGAATGACGCAGGGACTAAACCGCTTTAGTCATCCAGGCAATAACCATGTACTGAACGCCATCAGCACAACACAACAGGCACAAAAGCTTATACGCTTCAATTTACGTAGAATATATTGAGTTGTGTAAAACTAGAAAAAAATTTCGCTCAACTGATTGGCCGAGATGCGACTGCTTGAACTTCCCATGAGGTTGTGCCGCCCTTTGGCCAACTTTCGCCGAAGGGATACTTTCAAGCAGTGATACCATCATATCATTGGTGCATGAAGCGATCTCACCTTATGGGCTTGAAAAATCGTCCATGATGAATTTGCAACTGCAACGCCCATCTGCTGTGCCATCTTGCAAGAATGACAAATGTGCTACCCGGAATGAGTCTTTTGGGCTATGGTCGCTTCTCACAAAGCGATAGCTACACCACCCCCGTAGCACGGCAGTCGAATATACCTATTACCATGCTTGAACAACACATTTGAAAATGCTAGATACTTTCCGCGGATCTTGATTGTGGGCAATTCGAAAGCTTTGTTGGGGTTGTGAAGATGGAGACCAGCGTCGATAAAATCGAATTAGGCATTTTGGCAGGGCAATCTTGCACGTGTAATTCGATGATTCAGTCGAACCGTACTCATGAGATCACTGCGTGGTGTCATTCCAATATTGGAAGCTTAGCTGACCTTCTAGAGTTGGTTAGCTGCGTCTGTGCTCACGTCAAATACCAAAGCGGCGTCTGCACCATATCAGCAAGTCTGCATGAATGCATGTAAACTTCAATACGGTGACGAAGTAATAAATCTACTTGTCGAGTGAAAGCACTAGAAGTGATTAATCATATAACAGTACGCATATTCATATGCTTCACAATGACGAGCAAGTGATTATGCACTCGCAGGATTGAAACACTGTAAGTTGTTCATCTCGTATAGACGTGCATTCTTAGACTAGCCCTGCCGGTAGTCGAGGCGGAACTTTGTAACCCCGCCAAGTTTGCACTGATTTCAGCCAGTAAGACATGCAGAAGAGATGGAAAGTCGCATGGACTACCTTCAGATTAATTTACGCTCGGTGTAAAGAAGGGCTCGGATGCGCTACTTGACCGCGTCATACGACAACGGGAGAAGCCGCCGCTAGATACACTTCGCTCACTATAGAAAGGAAATGGTCTTTTTAAAGCACTTAAAGCACGGCCCGAACGCTGCAGAGTTGAATCTCTGTCTAGCAACCCCAAAGACGATCCGTCATCTCCAACATGATCGCCAAAAACACTGCGCTCTGGCTACTCGCCGTGACAAGCGGCGAAGTGTTCGCCCAAGATGCAGAGGCTTGGTACAAGGCCCATCCTGGCATGGCCCTTATCAAAAAGGTGAACCAGGACACGCATCAAATCGTCGATGAATACGGTCGAACTCGTTTTTTCCATGGCACCAATGTTGTCATGAAGGAGGCTCCGTGGTATCGTCCAATGGAGTGGACTCCAGGGGTCTCGACCTTTGGTGAACAGGATGTCCAAAACCTTCATGAATTGGGCGTAAATATCGTTCGTCTCGGACACAGCTGGGCTGGCGCCGAACCTGTGCGAGGCGAATACAACCAGACATTTCTGGATATTATGAAGCAGCAGACGAAGCTGGCAGAGGAGCAGGGTATCTACGTCTTGGTGGATGTTCATCAAGACGTACTGGCGCAGCAACTCTGCGGCCACGGCGTACCTGATGTTAGTCTCTCCAAGAATGTCTGATTTGACCAACTCGTTAACCAAACAAAACATAGTGGTTCGTCAAGAAAGACTGGATTACGGGCTTCAGACGATTTCCGTTTCCTCTCAAATTTGAACCATTTACTACCGATAGCCAGGGCTTTCCCTCACCCCAATCGCAATGCAACACTATTGACTGGTCCCTCAACTATCTAACAGTCGCTGTGGGAAATGCTTTCGGAAGACTATATAATAACTTTGATGGCCTTGGTGACGCTTTCGCTGCGTACTGGAAGAAGTTGGCTGCGGAATACGTCGACACCAGCAACATCGTTGGCTACAACCTGCTGAATGAGCCTTGGGTTGGCGATACATTTGCAGATCCGACACTGCTAATACCGGGAGTTGCCGACCGCAAGGTACTTGAGGGGCTTTGGAATCGCGCATCAAAGCAAATCAGGACAGTTGACAATGACACGTTGATTTGGTTCGAGGGCGCCACCCTTGACATACTCTCGGGCTTCAACAACGTGCCGCTCGGAGACGGATCAAAGACGGTGCACTCGTTCCACTACTACCGTCCACCGCAGCTCGGCTCCATCTCCGACACTCTGGCCAACCGTCACAAGGATAATGTACGGCTCAAGACTGCTGGTGTCCTGACAGAGCTGACATTTTGGATGGGCGACGACAAGCAAATGAAGGCCATGGATGAGGCTGTCAAGGCCAGCGACGCCAACATGGTGTCGTGGCTCGGGTGGGCATATGAGAACCTCTACAATGGAACCTCGGGGCAGCCTTACCCCGAGCTGCAAAAGCACTACAGCCGAGCATATCCAGCGGCCGTTGCAGGCACGCCAAAGTCGTTTGGATTCGACGAGAGCTCGGGAACTTTCAAGCTGCAATTCACAAGCGACCCAGCCATCGATGCGCCTACAGAGATTATTCTGCCTGCGTCAACCTTTCCCAATGGATACAACGTTCAATTTACGCCCGAGACCAGCTTGGTTCAGCATGAGTGGGACGATCGTACTTTGAGCCTCTTCACCTCCCAATCCCTTCCATCGGGCACCTCCATTTCTGTCACCATCACTCGAAAGTAGTGGCAGGCATCCTGGAGTGGCACTTGCCTTATAGTAACGTTCCTATATCAATATTGACGGAAATTATCTCACGTATAAATACATATGTACATCTATACATGTATATAGTTGAAATTAGGAACAAGCGAATAATTACTTTTCAACCATCTGCGTTTAATTATCCATCAGAATGTAAATTTAGCCTCGAGTTCTGGGTTTCGGAAGTCATAAAAATCTGGAAAACCCAAGCTTTTTTTTTTTTGGAAAAAAAAAAACAAGAGGAAAGAATGGCATTTTGTTTGTTACTTGTATCCCAGTTGCCTGCATCTGTAGTAGAAGCTCAAGGTAGTTGGCTAATAAGTGGGCCGACGTGGATATCTTGAAGCTCCAAAACGAACGACTCGATCTGACCTGATCATGCGCCGCACACTCTGAGCTTCTTACCGATACGATCAGGCCTGAAGCATTATTCTAAGGCTCGATCATTTTTTTCTAGCTTCTGAATTTGAATACCTACGATCCAACACACACATCCAACACACACAATGTCGTCTCGTCACGGTGCCGGCCGGCCTCGTCGCGATGGCGAGACCTTTGCCAGAACACATCATCACGACAACGACCCAGAGGACGATTCGCGAGTAAAGTTTGATGTACGAAATCCATCTACCCTAGCACCTGATGCGCGAGAAGACGACGCGGTCCTCGATGCGGACGTAATCGGTGGCAGCGCTGCGACGAAGCGTGGTGCCGTCAATCTCGATGGTTACGATAGCGACTCAGACAACGATACCTTCAACGCTCGAGCAGAAAGCCGAAAGAAGGGCAAAGTGGACCTCAACGAACAACTAGACAACTACGACAGTAAAGCTACGCACGGTGGACCATCGACCGCCAAAAACGACGACGATGATGATGATGACATGTTTGCAGCGGCCGATGGCGAGGAAAGAGAAGATGACGATGACGGCCCCCAGACTTTTGCAAAAAAAAAGAAAAAGGTGCAATTCATGGAAGTTGATGAGATTGAAGGCCAGGAGCAGAAGAGCAAGAGCGGCGGCACGATACACTTGGACGATGACGAAAGTAGTGACGCGGAATCAGAAAAGGAGCTTCTTGCTCTAGAGGAAGGTGTGGATGAAGAGGTCGGCGCTGGCGGTCTCAAGCGCAACGCTCCCAAAGTGGAAGCCTTCAATCTTAAAGACGAGATGGAGGAAGGACGATTTGACGATCAAGGCAATTACGTCCGCAAAGCGGGTGACCCTGACGCTGTGCACGACAACTGGTTGAATGGACTGAACAAGAAGGACATGAGAAAGGCGGCAGAAGCTCACGAAAAGCGTGAGTCAGAGGCCAGGAAGCGTCGGCTAGAGGACGACGGTCTTTTGAGCTCTGATCTTCTCAAGAACCTGATTATCCACTTGGAACGAGCAGAGACGCCACTGGAAGCGTTGGCACGCCTGGGCAAGGGCCAGAAAAAGACGAAAAAAATTCCGCAGTGGAAGCTCAAGAAGATGAACAAGGGCATGGACGTGGACCAGGCCGCAGAGCAACCAGACCCGGAACAAGTGCGGATAAAAAATGCGATTGGCGGCATCACAGAGGCAGCCGACAAGCTGCTTAGTCGTGGGTTTGAGGACATCTACGACCAAGAGCGTGAGATTTTGGTCCGCGAGTACCGCAAGGAGTCTGGGGAGGACTGGATCGAGCCTGCACGAGAGGAAGAGGAGCCGCCGGCAACCGAATCGGCAGGCAAGTGGGAGTTTCGCTGGGTAGACGGCCGAGATGATGGGTCGACGCAAGGGCCATTCGACGGTTCAGCGATGAAGGCATGGCAGGATGCCGGCTACTTTGGGCAGGGCATCGAATTCCGGCCTGCTGAAAGCTCGGCCGAGTGGTCCAAAGAAGCACCTTCGTTTATTTGATGGCAGACTACCGGCGACACAAGCACCAAATGGGGCAAGAAGTCTCTGCAAGCTTGAGACAAGCAGACCTGTGGCCCGGGCAAGGCGAGCTGCAGCACCGTTGGACCAGGCTAGACCACTTGGCACGTTGGGCTGTCCAATAGACAGCGCCTTGCTACCACCACATTGTCAAATCTCGGGTGAGAGTTTGGGGTTGAATGCAAGTCGAGACCGCCGTCTGGCGCCCCGGATTCTTCCCCCAAGAAAGCGCCAATGCTGACCCGTTTCTTCTGCCGAGCAATGCCGGGGCAAAACGGCTTTGAGCGGCTGCTTGGTGGCGCGCCGAGCAGGCAAGGAAGACGGGCAGAGAGAGCAGCGCACCCGTTCTGCTCCGGCCGCGGGGTGGAACAAGTGGATTAAGACGGGCAGCGCAGGCCCTGCGGTTATCGTGATGCGCCCGAACCTGGCCGCGTCTAAGTGGGACGGGAGCGTATAACGATGTGGTAACAGAAAACCAAATATATTACAAACAAAGATAGACTGCACCTATTCCCGATGGTTGTGTAAAGGGCAAAATCGCGTACATGGACGGACGGCGCCGTGCTCCCCTCCCCACACCCGCGAGAAACTGGCTGGTTATGCAATTACAAGAGATGCCGTCCCCTCCCCATGTCCTCCCTCACTCAATAATGTATATGAGTGATTTTCTCAGTGACCTTTGGATCTTTCTTTGACCTGGTCCTTATCGGCGGCTGCAAGATGATAAATACCAGCGGAGTGCACTGTAACAGCCTAGCGCTGTTGCTAATATATTACGAATGGAATGGGGACGCCGGTACTCGGAAGATACCAGAGGTGGTGTCTGCCAACAGCAGGTGACCGGGTTGAGACGGAGGGAGGAAGTACCTCACAAGTCCCCACCGCCGGACTTGCTTCAAAACAGCCCAATCCATAGACGAGTGAGTTAGTTGTGAAGCGGTGCAAGAAAATGCGATGAAAAAAGTGGCGGTACTTGGGAGACCCGCCCGGTAGAAAAAGACGCAGTCTGGGCAAAACAACTGCGCCAACAGGGTGCGTTGACGTTGCCGCATGGTGAGCCCAGTGAAAATGACTTGGTATTCGGGCCTTGTCTGTTATCTAGGCAGGTAATCGGCCCTGCACCGGCTGCCAGGTGCAGAATAGTGGTGAATGTATAATGCGATCGAGTCAGACGGCGCCAGATCGGAGTATTTTGCGCGCGAGGACAAGGGTTGGGTATGCTCCGGCGCGACCGAACAAGATGGCCAGACATGGGATCAAAATTAGTTGATTCGCCTTTTGCTTGGACAAAGATTACGAGAGCAGTGCCATCCCAGTGGTCAACCATGGCAATTCCGTCTTGGCCCACGAGGCACTCAACGACTTTTGCTAGTCAGGAGGAGGTTGAAACAAGGGGAAGCTCGTCCATGTGCATTATTGATGACCAAGAGATTAGTGTCGACGAGCAGGATCTTGGCCGTTCACAGTAATAAGCAAAGATTATTTTTGCGTAGCGGGCAAGCGAGATGGCGGCCAAAGTTTGCGCAGACACACACGGGTTGACGGGTTGCCCGCACGCAGGCAGGCAACACGAAGCTTGGGAGCTCGACGTCAGTAAAGTGGGGGAGGGGAAGCAACCAGAACAAGAGCAAGTGAGTGGGATGAAGCTTGCTGCAACGAAAGCTCGAGCGTCGATGGAGCTGTATTGACAGGTGAATACAGATGGATTCATTGTGTTATGATAGAAGCTAAAGAACCTGTGCGGCTAATTGACCAGGATAGCTGTCACCAAATATGTACTCAAGCACCAAGGGTGATACTGTTGTGACGACGAGCGTTGCCCCTCTGCCCCTCCATGGGGACCTGCAGCAACTTGAGCCAGCCACTGGTCGAGTAAAGGGCGCTATTTTAGAGACGCCGACCTGGTCGGTACCTACCTAGTGTGCTCAGGTATGACCAAGGCGGTGCTGGAGGAGGGGGCGACAATCAGGCCAGCGCCTGCAACTCTGCCCCTAAAACAACCTCAGTGGCTATTGACGACCTTCTAGCGCATGTTTTTCAGTGACAATGGCCTTTTTTTCCCTTGCTCTGGCAGAGCCCCAGAATCCGCGCCCACGACTACAAAACCATTTGCCCGCCCCTCCTCCGCCGCCGCGACACCCTTTTTTCTTCTCTCCATATACCTCATCCTCGAATCGAAGGACCAAAAGTGAGTTTTCCCATTCGTCCCATTCCATCTCGAGCTTCATTGCTGCTTCTTCTCCCTCATCATCTACATCTCCATAGCTCGCTCCCTCACCAGAGAAGCTGCGCCGTTTTCCCCTCAACGACCCCGCCATCCGCCACCGAAAAGCTACCCCTCGCTAACCACCAAACGCCTCAACAGGTTTCTCTCTTCCACCTCACCCTTTTAATCAATAACAATGGCTCCCGTCAAGGTTGGCATCAACGGTTTCGGCCGCATTGGTCGCATCGTCTTCCGCAACGCCGTCGAGCACAACGACATCGACGTTGTTGCCGTCAACGACCCCTTCATCGAGGTCAAGTACGCTGTGAGTTTCACTTCCTTCACCAATCATATTCATAGCTTTGCCCGCGTTCCACTAGCTTGTTGCTGCTTCCGTCTGTGATTGCGGGGTGGTCGACATGTCAATCGCAGTCGGTTACCTGTGCCAAAAACACATGTAGCCACGCTACCGTTGCTAGTGATGAAGCCATGGTCTGGGCTGAAGAGCCACACCATAGCCGATGCTAGCTTCACTGATGCCAGCGCAAACAACGTTGCCGCGCCTCCTCATCACCAACAAGCTGCTAACCCAGCACCAAACAGGCCTACATGCTCAAGTATGACTCTTCCCATGGTCTTTTCAAGGGCGAGGTTGCCATTGACGGCAACGATCTTGTCATCAACGGCAAGAAGGTTCGCTTCTACGGCGAGCGCGACCCCGCCGCCATCCCCTGGAAGGAGACCTCGGCCGAGTACGTTGTCGAGTCCACTGGTGTCTTCACCACTACCGAGAAGGCCAAGGCGCACTTGCAGGGCGGTGCCAAGAAGGTCATCATCTCGGCTCCCTCTGCTGATGCCCCCATGTACGTGATGGGTGTCAACGAGAAGAGCTACGACGGCTCCGCCGACGTCATCTCCAACGCCTCTTGCACCACCAACTGCCTGGCTCCCCTTGCCAAGGTCATCCACGACAAGTTCGGCATTGTTGAGGGTCTCATGACCACCATTCACTCATACACTGCCACCCAGAAGACCGTTGACGGTCCCTCCGCCAAGGACTGGCGCGGTGGCCGTGGTGCTGCTCAGAACATCATTCCCTCCAGCACCGGTGCCGCCAAGGCTGTCGGCAAGGTCATCCCCGAGCTCAACGGCAAGCTCACCGGCATGTCCATGCGTGTCCCTACCGCCAACGTTTCCGTTGTCGACCTGACTGCTCGTCTTGAGAAGGGCGCCAGCTACGACGCCATCAAGGCTGCCATCAAGGAGGCTGCTGATGGTCCTCTCAAGGGTATGTCGAACCACACCTGAACATGTATCGACGGCATACTGACTGCTTAACAGGCATTCTCGGCTACACTGAGGACGAGGTCGTTTCCACTGACCTCAACGGCAACACTAACTCCTCCATCTTCGATGCCAAGGCTGGTATCTCCCTCAACGACAACTTCGTCAAGCTGGTCTCCTGGTACGACAACGAGTGGGGCTACTCCCGCCGTGTCCTGGACCTTATCTCCTACGTCGCCAAGGTCGACGCTTCCAAATAGGATGAGGATTCCTCAGCTAAGCCAAGGCTATAATGCGACACTGTGGGATGACTGTGTCGGCTAGCTGGGGCGGGGCGGGGACGGAAAACTGAGTAAAATATGATATTAATGAAGAAATACAAAAATTACATGAATACCAATCTTGCTTTCGTACGTCTTGTCCCTGCGCATGCGTAATCCCGTTGTGATGCTCGTCGGGTTGTGGTGCTGACTACCTTGCACATCACTGCACATGTCCTGTGTAGTTATTGGTAAACATCATTTCTTGGTTGAGCAGTGGCACAACGTCCGATTCGACCAACGGCGGGTGTAATCGGTCCAAATTTGATCAATTAACCAACAGAACCCAATATAAGAGAACCTGCCAAAAAACCTTGCCGTCTAGAAACCGTCTGTCCCGCTACATCTACGTTTGCTTTCTTGCTTCAAGCATACACATCCCCCGCTCTCCCAAGCACAGGGTGAAAAGCGACAAGGACACAAAACATGAAAGCAACTCTAGAGAAGTGACACATTACCAATAATAGCGCCACATCCTTCTGCGTGTGCGAAATGAGATGAAAAGAATTCTCGATTGCATGGATTTGGTTCTCGCTTCTACCCCATTTGCTCGCTTCATTGCCCCGTTGCGTCTCGCCTATAAGTAACAAGAAAGAAAGAAAAAAACGATTCTCGCCAACCACACATGTCCCGAAATTTTCCCTCCATCTTTCTGCCTCATGTCCTTTCCAGATTTTCTCATCTCTCTTGCCAAATACAACATAATAAAAACAGTGAATAAAAAAGAAAGACCGAAAATGTCAAGAACGCCGCCGTTTAAATGGTGAATGGGGACAAACCAACTGGCGACAGTCATGCTGTGCCCATTCTGGGTATAAAAAAAAAAGGTCCAGAGATTACTCTTCCTCTCCATGCAACAAAGAGCGCTTTCTGATTAACCAAGTGCCTCCCTCTCCCCTGTGCCTGCCTGCTTGTCGCCTTTTTGGTTTCCGATGCGGCCACCATCCCCGTCAAGTCTTCATGGCCACAAAGAGGGGCGCGCCCCAGCTTCCTTTCACCTCCCATAGTCGCGAGGCGTCAGCTCCGGGGCCCAAGAAACATCTTCCTCGGCGCACCACCGCCTCATGACCCGAAGCGTCGTCTCGGTCACGTCGTCCAGGCTCCACCATGGCGAGATGTCGGCGCGCAGGCGCGGGTTGTCGATCAAGGTGTAAGCCTCGCGAATCTGACCCAGGGCGCGGTTGCGCACCCGCTCGTGCTCAATAATCGCCTTGTTCAGATTGGGCTGAGGCGGCTGCGCCAGAATGTGTGTAAGTATGTGGTCCGTGGTAAACATCTGCAGCATCAGGACCAGCGCAAGGGCGGGGCGGGCAGAATGGGGGGGCTGGAGCTCGACAAGGTAGTAATCTATCAACGGGAACAAGCTCGTCCAGCCCTGGATGTCGATTTTTCTGCCAGCCTCGATACTGCGAAGGTCCTGAGCCTGGAAGGCATGCATAAAGCACAGGATGCTCTCCAGGGCACGCATGAACGCAACCTTAACAGAGGACGTGGTGTGCCCATCGCTGGCTGTCCGCGGCTGACTGTCCTTGGAGTTGGCCATGGCACTGTGACGTGCCTTGAAGGCCCGTTCGGCTTCGTGCTTGAGCCGTTTGCCCGTGACCCTCAAGCGCTCTTCCTTCTCGCGCAGCTCATTGGTGTCCAGCTTAGCCGGAGCAATGCCATTTGGTCGCTTGTCACCGGTCCCAGTCGACGATGGCGTCCTTCTCATCGATTCGCCAGGCGTGTGAGCAGTCGCGGTGTTTGAGTTGACGCGGGACATGGACGTGTGGCTTCTTCTCGGTGGAGTCGTGGGCCGGCGGCTCGCGTTCGGTATGTCCGAGGACCTCGATTTCTTCATGGCCACGGAGTCAGCTTCGGGTGCGGCAGGAGGACGCTTCCGAGCATATTGTCGATCGTTATCCGTAGAACGATCCCGATCGTGTCGACTAGGGTCACGATCGCGACCGCGGCTAGGCGGAGTTGTGGTAGGCAGCGCCATAATACGCCGAAACGACTTGCGCAGACCTTTGGGGACCTTTAGGGTCACAATCAGCTCCGCACGGTGCTTTGGCATCTCATCTAGACTCTCGTCTGTAGAAAAGCTCTTTTTTCGTTTGGCCGCAAGAGCCTTCTTCTCTTTGGGCCGCTCGTCAGGTTCAGGTGAGCCTTGCTCTCTTTGTCGCAGAGCGGCCTCGATTATGGGTGGAAGCGTTGGAGATAGAAGTGCCGGCAGAGTTCTCGTGGGCTTGCGCTTCTTTTCTTCTGCCGGTTGCTCCGGTTTCTTTGGCCGCGGTGGCGTGCCATCGGCTCTTCTTCTGTCTTGTTTCAACAACGAATCGTCGTCGTAACCAGGACCCAGACGCAGTGGTGATAACAGTGGCGGAACCACGGGCTTTTTCGGACTTTCCTGTCTCGGCGTATGCCTACCAACTGTGGCAGGATGGCCCCCGTTCACCGAATCACCACGAGAACGATTTGCGGGGGACGCGCCCTTATTCGAAACTGAGCCACCTGGAAGGGAGCTCTTGCCATTCAGCAGCGGAGAGTCTCTATGATTAGCGCCTTGGAGCAATGGATTCCGCTTTCGTACAGGATCGTCACGGTTAGGCAGGCGATCGTCATTTGGTCGTGTGTTCTCGGGTCGACTTCGCTTTTGCGGTCGAGCATCGTCGTCGTGGTCTGCAACGCGCTTCTTGCTGCCAGGCGATGGTGGTCGAGGTGGCAGAGGGTAGTTCTTAAGCGGTGGCTTCGCTGGTAAGCTGCGTGGTGAATTAGCCAACAAGTCTTATTGATGATGAACTTCAACTTTAGAGAAGTTTCTACCTCGTATCCGCAAGGCTGACATCTCTCGGACGTTGCTTTCCCTCGGTAGAATCCCTTGAGCGGTCCTTCCGCGCGTCGCTAGGTCGCGCATCAAGTGATCTTCTGGGGTCGGTGCTGGTGCGAGCATCACCGGCAGGGCGTGTCCCAGAGCCAGCTAGGGACTTTGATGGAGATGCGCCAGCGCGTTCGGATTCTCGAAGTCTGGAGACGGCGGGCTCCGGGGGTGATGCGGCGGCGGTCTTCTTATTTTTATAGTCGCTCAGCGACAGCTTCTTCTTTTCGCCGCCAGCCTTGGAAAGCGCGGTCACGTCCCGCGCCACGGGCTTGGAGGGTTCCTCACGCATATCGTAGTCGGGACGGGTGAGGAGAACGCCGCGATCGGCTTCGGCAAGTAAGGTCGAGTACTGGAGGCGAGTGCTATGCCACTCCTCTGGGCGTAGATGGTCGTCAGGGCGGGGGCGGTATCGCCAGTCGGGATGATTGGAGAGATAGTATGGCGTGTCGGGTAATGTGCGCTGCGTCAACAGCTCGACCGTCTTTGCCGCAGCTTCCATTGCGCGAGGGCCCAATTCATACCGGAGAGGCACGGGTGGATTGCGCAGTACCCTGGGGAGGACGGGGCCGAAGTCTGCTCGGCCCCGAGGCAGGGTAAGTAACGGACGCGAGGCGAGGTGAGGCGAGGCGGCTGGATGGACTCGATAGACGAGAGAAATAGACGCGCGTAGATGGCTGGTTGCGATTGTCAGCACGCAGAAGGCGGCGACACGAGATCGAGGGAGTCGTGGATGGAGGCGGACCTGCGTGTGTTTGTCGCGAAGCGTCGGGCCGGGGTTGGGGAGGAGAGATGTGTCGCAGCGAAAAGCGGCCGAGGCGGGCTGTCCGAGACAAGCAGTAGCCTGGCAATGATTTCGCGGCGTTGAAAGAGGCTCTGGACCCAGGCGCGGCGAGCAAGGCGTAATTGAGGGCACCTTGGAGATGGGACTCGCTCTCGCGGTGATGGTTCTGGGTGGGACGTATGTTGCAGCGCGCAGGCGGCAGAGGGCCAGTAGCAGCGGAAACAGAAGAATTGGCTGGTGTGGCGGAGAAACCGCGCGCGGCTGACGATGGACCCAGCTAAAAAGCGAGTGTTATTATGGTACACTGTGCCTGTCAACTGTGTGTGGGTTTTTTATGCGGCTACCCACGATGACTTGTTGGCATGCACAAAGGGCATTCGAAAATCGAAAACAGAGCAGAGACGAAGAATGCCTACCTATCTTTCTCTTCGATTTGCTGCAGCAGTGCTGAAAAGGGTGTAGGTGGAAAAGAAAGGCAAGATTTGAGGGTGATGGTGACAAGAGAAATACGCTACGGCGCTGCAGCAAGTTTTTGCGGCTTGCCCAGCCAGCAAAGTATAGAAGCAGCACTACTCCGTAATATTATTTGGTGCAAACACTCCGCGCTGCTACGGATGTGGCCATTGGTTGATTCGTGATCTCGCCAACGCATAGTTGAAGACTGGCCATCCACAATCACACAATATATAGGCAGCCAGGTCATTTTTTCGTGCTACCAAGCCCATTTTTGTCCTATCAACTATGAGAAAATCCCATAGAAGCTTTCCTGGCTTAACATGTAAGCCCGAAAAGCAGCCTCGGAAGTGTATGCACCTACCCCGAAGGCTCTACATACCTACCTTAGTACCCAATTGCAGGTACTTTGGCACCTTGGGAGCGGATAGTCATCATTAACTCGGCCGCTAAATAGGCGGGAAGCCCGCTGTGGGGGTACCCATTGCAGTGGTGAGTGGGTGTGCCTGGTGCAAGAGATTTTCATGGGTGCTGTCCAATGAGCATGGCTCATTTTCCAGACTCATTCTATCAAGCAACGGGCAGCACCAAACGCATTCTCATCAATCTCTGCACTTGTCACAAGGCTCGCATATATCCCGCAAACATACCCCACTTATCGTGTGTAAATAATCACCTTAAAGCATGACACAAACACCGCCCAGCATTTTCGGCCCGTCGTCGCGGCCAAGGCGTTCTGTCTCTGCATCAACGCCTGCTGTGCTACTACCCACGAACCACAAACTCAGGCCTTGCTACGCCCCTCTTCTCTTTCTCTTCTGGTTACACTAATAATCATTACCAAGACTCGCATCAGCTTGCGTTATAGGTTTAAAGTACCCGCGTCGTCGTGTCCATGTTCCGAGCTCAGCCATTGCTCTTCCAATACGACATTGAATCCGTTTGCGGCGAATCAGCTTCTTCGATCCTTCTCGGACTTGTATTTTCAACATCGTGTCAGGGGAACAGGCCTGGTATTTAACGAAAGGCATGGAACAGAAACGACCGTGACCACAAGAACTCGACCACACACTCCTGGGCGATGGCTTCTACATCAGCAATCTCTGCTGTATAAATGCAATACGGCACCGGAATCTTCTTCTAGTCCCAGCGAGCCCTTCAACCGCGCATAGTCCTCGATTCAGAGGTTGCGCTGGAACTACTTCTGGTTCGCATTACCAAACGCCCTGCTCTTGATCGCCTTGACGCAAGCTGCTTCCTCTCTTCTGCAAGGTAACGACGTCGAATTTATGATACTATACAAGACAGTTTACAATTGAACTGTGCAAGGTACTTTTGTCTAAATGTCACCCACTTCGAGATACCACTCTTGCTAGCTGTTCTCAGGACCGATCTCCACCTGTATTGGTCCTACGCTGAGGTGTCAAAGACAGCCTAGGGGCTTCATACCTTGACAGTGCATCAATCCACAGAAGGATATATCAATATAACCCCGTGGCTCGCTTAGAGAAGCGGTTTTTTTTTTTTTTCAAAAAAAAAAAAAAGAAAAAAAAAAGCTGAGTAGCGCAGCGGCGTTGGGTGCGTGTGTCCAGCAAAGAGGAAAGGCCTTCCACTGCCTGAGTATAAGAATGGTGTCCATGTGAGTAGTAATGCAGGTGAAGAGAATCTTTTCAGAAGTTGAAGATTCCGATTATCTTCTCAGAGGCAAGGTGTCAGTATGAAGAAACTCTGCGGGGAGGGCCCGGTTTGATCTACAACTAGGTAGGCTCACCTTGTTGACTAGCCTGCGGGGAAGGTCACGTCCTACACCGTGGATAATGCTGCAAGCTCTGGGCTAATATCTTTCTACTGAGGATCTTCAGCATGGCGTCTACGAATCGACTGCCAAAAGCCAAACCACTAGCGCCTTTCCAAGATAGGCAGCCTTGTGCTTGATGTTTGCATACGGCGTTCTACTAAATAGAGAAAGAACTGTCCAAAATTTTGGAATCATGCAATACTGCAGGAGGCTATCTGTACCTCTAACATCCTCCTTCGCCGGCGAATTTTGACATTAATCGACTAGGGGCGAAATTAATTCTTCTAGAAACAGATAGACATTTACTGTTGACCTGACTAACTCGCGTGATCACGTCCCGATACGAATACGCTCCCGAAGAGGTGGATAAAATATATCGTCGATCTACGACTACTATGATAAATTTAAACTACTTGCTAATAGATTTATTAAATATCTATGTACTTGAAGTGTGATTATAAGTCTTAGCGGAGCTTTTCAAAGGGTGTTAGGCCTAATTAGTACCTTTTTAGGTAGATATTACTTCTGACTTTTAAATATAAAGATTTTACTAATTTTTTTCTCTATACCCCTGCTACCTACTGATACCCCGAGCAAAACGTCTATACCTAGCTTCGCGGGTAAAAATGAAGATATAAGGTTAACTTAGTTGTTTTCGTTAGTAGAAGTTAGATAATTAATATAATAGAGTCTTGGAATCTACTAGAATCCCCTATTATATAAATCAACAATTTCCCTATAATATATAATATTTTTCTTAGAACCTTAGGATTAGTAGGGAGACTAGATTTAAGGCTTAAATAGTAGTAATTTCTTAGTGGTCTTAGTGTTATAAGGCACTTATAGTTAACTATACGGTTAACTGCCTAACGTATTAGGTAGGCAGGTTAGAAGAAGAACAAGGGTTCTCTGTTGGTACCTCTGCTATAGGATTTAGGTGGTATAGGTACCGTTAGGGACCTGATAAGGTTTCTTCATAGGCTAAGACTTATCTGTACTTAGGACCTAAAGAACTCATAACATCGGCCTTAGTAAGTCAAGTTTTGTTGTGATCGTCTAATTTTTGCTTATAATTCTTTAGGGGCCCATGACCTATTATTAGCACGTGGACCGGCGACGTTTTTTTTTTTTTTTTTTCAACTCAGGGGCTCCCCATCTTTCACAAGGTAATCTCCGTAGGCGCCCCATCTCGAGTCGATGTTGGGGCCGGGGGAGCGGGAGCCGACATGAAGGTGGCACTTCATTTACAACGCGTTCAGCTCGGCTTAGAAACCTGGTCAGCAATCATACAGTGACCCAATATTTAGCATGAGCGGCAAGAGAAAAGATGATTTGTGGCCCTTTCTGGCGTTGTCTGGTTCGTCCTAAGGTGTGGCAGTAGGACAAAAAATGAGTCCACTCCACCACGTCGACGTGTGTCAATGTCAATCCGATTCACGGTGGCAAGGTCGCATCGGAAACGTAGCTATCGGGTTGATGCCGCCATTTCATAAGCAAACAGGGCATTGATGCTCCTCTCTTCCTCTCTTGGCTCACCGTCTGCAGCGCTACTCGGCGAGTAGTCTTTTCTTTAGCAAGTTCTGCGCCAACACCCCGGAAGCGAGAATGCCCGGACCCTCACTGCCAGCATTGCCAAGACATTGCGGGATGCATAGTCTGCCAAGTCTGCCACAGAGATATGTAGGGCCGAGATAAATACTTGACGTGCGGCCCAGAGATGGTCTCGAGTCTCTTTGCGTGCATACCAGAATATGACAGAATTTTCCACGCCTACACCACCTTCTGATACGAAGACGAGTTGACGGGTAGTCTTGCTGCAGGCTATGTCTGCACTCTGGTGCATCTGGCACAGACGATCGTTTTGGGAGGATGCCGTGGAGTGCCGTGCGAAAGTCATGGCCCCGGTTCAGAGACAGAATGCACTCAAGTAATCAGAATGAATACCACTTAGTCCAATGAGATAAAATTTTCTCTTGAAAGACCTGATAAGATAGCATAGTTATTAAAGAGTGTCATGTGTTTTAAGATATTTATTAATCATCTTCAGATTGATAAAGCGCCCTATAGCTAGAAGATCTACGCAATGACCCTGGCCATCAGGTGTCACGCAGATTTTGACGTCGGGCCGTGCAGCTACTTGCCAGAAAACAAAAATACCCATCGTGTGCCATATAAATCACCTACCCAAATCAAATGGCAATTCGAATTATTATTGATTGGTTCTCATTCACTTTCAATGGATATCAATTTCCTGCCGTAAATTCACTCACCGATACATACCCCTCAGGGTCTTCCACAAGAATCCCTGACGCAGTCACTTTTCAAGTTCTAGTCGTGGGCAACGTGGGGTCGGCACACCCATCCGCGTTGTGACTTTTAAATTAATTGGCTAAGATGAAGCGGCACCAATGTGATGTTGGCTGGGGTTGCTGCGCAGTGAAAACCCCCTGCATCCCCTTCACTTGCAGTGGTCGGGCGTTCTTTCTTCTTATCTGCACATTTCTCCTCGATTCAAGAGAAACAGCAAACACTGCAACTTGCCGGCTGACGAAACAGCAAATACTGCAACTTGCCGGTTGACGGAAGCTGATCCCACTTGCCAGCTGTCAACGCCGTTTGTTCGCCGCCGCCAACCAGTAACTAACTTCTGCTCGCGACGGCAAACGCTGCTTGAGAATGGCAGCTTCAACTTCAAAACAAAACAAAACATAACAAAAGCAGCAACAAGTCACTCTTCGACATTTCGCGAACCGGGCCTCAGAATCTTCAATGGACCTAGGTTTCTCATCATATTTTTCTGTTGCCTCAGATAGTGCTCTCCTGTCACCCCTCTCTTGCCTGTCTCTGTCTAAACAGGGCGTTTACATTTCGTACAGCTCTACATGATCTCTTCTGTTGCGCTTTCAATATCGAGCCAGATCGGCGAATTACTACAGGCTTAGCGATCTACAGGACTACATGTTTAGCGCTCTACAAGTCTCCGCAAAGTCACTTATTGTACGGCGCTTCTTTAGGCCGCATTCCCAACAAACAACGCTCTTACGCCAACGGCGCGATCTACCATGGTGTATGACAGAGTTCGCAGTGGTCTTGGACCTCATGAGAGCGCTTCCCTCGGTTCTAGCGGCAACCCGCGTTTACGCTTTCCATCGGATGCAGCACAATTTAGTCAGAAGCCAGGCCCTGCCCAGCTACACGCAGCTCCGTCATCCAACAGTGAGCGTCTACTCTTCATCAACAAGACTTCAATTTTAATGTGATTTTAGCACCATTCACCGACGATAGCTTGCCAAGCACAAGACTAATTCTTGACCTGATCTCGGAGCGCGTGTCTTCCTACATACAACGTGATAGTGCCGACAGGAAGAATAGAAAGCTACGCCTCGATGTAGATCGCTGTCAAGCTGGAGAGTTTCCCGGCGCTACCGCCTTGCTCGACGTTCATTTAAAGTCTGCAGACTATGAGAAGGCTAAATTGAACCAACGCATGTCAGCCACTGACGAGAAGCTAGTGCGTGTTACAAGTAACTGGCGGTCACTGCTAGAGACGGCTGCGCAAGCAAAATCAATCAACGCAAATGACCATCATACTCCTACACCACCTCCAAGCGGGACGCATTCAGATTCTCCTCTCAACATTGAGGAAAGGCTGGCTCAGATGATGAATAAAATTAGGGAAGAGTCTCAAAACCTACAATGCAAGACTAAAAACGACTATGAGGTGGAGATAGCCGCATTGAAAGGGGAGCTTACTCAAGTGAAAGGGGAGCTTACTCAAGAGAAAGAGAATTCGAAGTGTTTGCAAGCCGAGCTCAAAAGTATGGCTGCCAGACTCTCGGCTATTGAGACCAAGGTCGAGGACCATGCTAAGATTTCGTCTCAACTTGGCCAGGCCGTTCAGCAAGAGTCCCTCGTGGACTTGGAGTCCAGGCTAGTCAAGATTGAAACAACGCAGACGGCAATGCAGAAGCCAGACGAGTACGCAGGGAACGGCGAAATCAAGCATCAAGATATGGATCCTGCACAATGCCTTTGTCTGGAGCTGGAAGCTAAATTGGAGGACAAAATGACACAGTTTCTCTTGCAGAACAGCGATAAAATAGTGTCTGATGAAAGGATCCTACGCCTGGCGCAAACAACCGTCAAAGCCGTGGAGGCAGTTCTGCAAAGCTCGCTGAAGCGCATGGCCGATGGCTTTGGAACACTGATTGACAAGGAAAGAGAAAGGCGTGCAAGCCTGAGTGTGCAGATTCAGGCTGCTGAGCAGTCTGCGTCTGAAGCAGCTCAGGCTGTTGAGGTCATGAGAGCAGAGTTCACTGAGGCACAGACTGCAAGCAATACCTGCCGCCAGTCTAACGCGGCAACCATGAAGAACCAAGAGACACAGATACAGAATCTCACAGAACTGCTGGCTTCAACACAGGGAAAAGTCGAATCGGCCGAGACTAAGCTGCAGCAATCAATAGATACACTGTGGCTGCGATCGACCACTATGGACGCCTGGCGGGATAATTTCTCCACGGCTAGACTCTTTGAGGCCCTTGTTCAGTACCTGAACAGTTCATTCTTTCCGGAGCACAAGTCTAAACTGACGCATTTAAGAGATAGGGTGGCAAATATTGAGAGCCTCCTGGGCGATGATGGCAACAAGAAAAGAAAACTTGCAGAGCACGGCTCATCTGCATTTCCATCTTTCATCAACAGATAGGGGAAACTGAGGCGATGTGCGGCCTTGTCTGAGCCGACTTTCAAGAGCACTCGCACATTGCTTCAGTTTGTTGTTTTCCTTTTTGATATGCATTTCTTTTCCATGGATATTGTGCAGGGTTTGGACATGGGGAGCAGGCGCTTACATAGGTTGACCAAGCAGTGCGCAGGCAACTATCACAAGTCTCATTTACTTTAAAATTCAGGCATATCGCCAATGACTAGTTGAAGACAATGAAAAAACAATTATTCACCGTTGTATTAGACCTATCACTGTGCCCTATCCTAACATGCTTTTGTGAGAGCTATGGTGGCGCACCTAGAAGCCAGGCTGGCCAGTGTGTTTTCACTGGTGCCTAAAGTATACGACACATTACAGTCAGGTTCGCTATGACTTGAAAGTCTCGACATATAAGTAATACGCCTTTCCCGTATTCCACACTGCTTTAATTTCACTTGCTCATACAAACTCAGCAGTAATGCAGGAGCTCCGCACCATTAGTAAGTAATGCCGCATTCTCGTTTATGCATGTCCTCAGTGAACAAAAATGTGAGAAAATTTTTATTGACGGAAGTAGTTTGGGGAAGGATGAGTCTATACAAGCTAATGTTTGCGGCCCTTGCCGCGTCGGCGATGGCGGCCGAACCTTCCATCAAGGAGATCGACTCCATCAAGGTCTGCGGTCGCCTGAGCGTCATGAAGGCTGGCCTGGAGGATCTCACAGAAGGCATTCGTATGGAAGATCTCCGCATGTGTGCAGACCATCCTCTGGGATATAGCAACTACTACGGCTGGGGCGACTACTTGCCTCGTTGGTTCCCGGGGCCTCCGACCTTTGGCTTCGCGTAAAACCTCCTGATCTTCTGCTTGCCTGACTAGAGACTACAGGGATTCTTGATCGCCAAAAAAAGCCTCGCTTCGGAGGCCATCTATGCAAATGTAATTGGGGTTGCTCTAAAGGTCTTATTAGTCGTTACTTTTAGACTTGGTATAAGCCAATTGCCAACAATCATAACTTTTACTAGACACAAATTTGGCCATTCAATCGAAGAAGCAACTCAGTAATGACTGTGGTTTTAATTAAATCAACTCAATCGAAATCAATGAATTGATTAGTAGCCGTATTTCAGCTCGCCCAAACGTGTCTTTTTCGCAACCTTGTTCAACGACGTGTAGGGCGGATGCACAGCCACATCGCGCACTAGCCACACACCACACACCAGCCACCAGGAAGCTTCGCCCATTGCCTTTTTCAAGAGGGCAGCGCGAGCACAGGCGGCCGTTCGCAACTCTTCCTCAATCCCTCCCAACAGACAACTATTTCTGCCGGTCTACGTGCGCCAAACACCACAACATGGCTGCTGTAAGTAGCGAATGGTCTGCAATACACGAGCTTGAGCTCGCGTCGACCGCTTTTGATGCTAATTGATATTGTGAACCAGCCGCTCGTAACCGTCTCCGAGAGCAAGGACCTTCGTGGTCTCAACCTCATCGCGGCTCACTCACACATTCGCGGCCTCGGCGTCGACGCCACGACCCTCGAGCCCCGTGCCGCCTCGCAGGGCCTCGTCGGCCAGGAAAAGGCGCGCAAAGCCGCGGCCGTCATCCTGCAGATGATCAAGGATGGCAAAATTGCTGGTCGCGCCGTCTTGATTGCTGGCCCCCCCAGGTACGAAACAAACTCCTTTCCACTCAATCGCAGCGCCAAACCCTTGGCCGCTCCAACGTGCGAGTACTAATCCCACTCTATAGCACCGGAAAGACTGCCATCGCGATGGGCATGGCCCAGTCGCTCGGCCCTGACGTGCCCTTTACCACGCTCGCGGCATCCGAAATCTTCTCGCTCGAAATGTCCAAGACCGAAGCCCTTACGCAAGCTTTCCGCAAGTCAATTGGCGTGCGCATTAAGGAGGAGAGCGAAATCATGGAGGGCGAGGTGGTCGAGATCCAGATTGACCGTAGCGTCACGGGCACGGCCAAGCAGGGCAAGCTGACGATCAAGACAACGGACATGGAGGCCGTCTACGACATGGGTACCAAGATGATTGACGCCATGACCAAGGAGCGCGTGATGGCGGGCGACATCATCTCAATTGACAAATCGTCGGGCAAGATTACCAAGCTGGGCCGATCGTACGCGCGCTCGCGCGACTACGACGCCATGGGCGTCGATACCAAGTTCCTCCAGTGCCCCGACGGTGAGCTGCAGAAGCGCAAGGAGGTGGTGCACACGGTAACACTGCACGAGATCGACGTTATCAACTCGCGCACGCAGGGTTTCCTGGCGCTGTTTTCCGGCGATACGGGCGAGATTCGCAGCGAGATCCGTGACCAGATCAATACCAAGGTGGGCGAGTGGAAGGAGGAGGGCAAGGCCGAGATTGTACCGGGCGTGCTTTTCATCGACGAGGTGCACATGCTCGACATGGAGTGCTTCTCGTACGTCAACCGCGCGCTCGAGGACGAGCTGGCGCCGATTGTCATCATGGCCAGCAATCGCGGGCACGCGCGCATCCGCGGCAGCGACCACCGCAGCCCGCACGGGCTCCCGCTCGACTTCCTGGACCGCGTCGTCATCATCAATACACACCCCTATGCCGCCGACGAGATCAAGCAAATCCTGGCTATCCGCGCGCAGGAGGAGGAGGTGGACGTGTCGGCCGACGCGCTCGCACTGCTCACCAAGATTGGCCAGGAGGCTGGCTTGCGCTACGCCAGCAACCTCATCAGCACCTCGCAGCTCGTCTCGGCCAAGCGCCGCGCCAAGCAGATCGCCGTCGAGGACGTACAGCGCAGCTTCCAGCTCTTCTACGACCCGGCCCGCAGCATCGAGTTTGTGGCAAAGTCGGAGAAGCGCCTAATTGGCGACGACGGGGCTGTCGACCTGTCGGTCGCTGCGAATGGCGCTGCGGCTGTGGCTGCGGGTGGTGAGGGCATGGATCTGAGCTAAGTTGCATGTGCAGTATTTCGTTTTCGCATTATGATTCTCAAAGAAACAAGAAGAAAAAAACACTAAACTGGAATGGTTTTCGGCTCACGACCTCGTGGCGGAGCTGAAGCCACACATGTCCTCTGTTGGGGTTTTCTCGTCTTTCATCTTTGTTTTTGTTTTTGGCTGGCGTTTATATGGGAGGCTAAGAAAACGGCAAGAAACTATTTTTTTTGGCAGATGTAGACAGTACGCAGAGTAGATGGAACAAGAAGCTCTTCAACCACATATGGCCCATTGTAGGTAGCTATTCATATAGCAAGGTTCGTGATGGTAGGCATGCAAACACAGGGCGAGGCTGATTTTAGGCGTAATAGATGAAGGTTTGAAGAAAGATTGTTCTGAAGGATCGTAGATTGTTATTTGAGGGATATCATATAAAAGCAAGCCAAATCTCGTGGTACACACACTCGGCGATCGCACCATGTCCTAATCCAAACCCTACTGCTGTGCAAAGCCCCATTTTGTACTACCGAGTCTATAAACATGAGACTTACTCATGAAGCAGGTAGAACAGTCCATATATGCTCACGTCCATTCTCCAAACATTAGCAACGTCAAGATCAATAATTGGTTGTATATCTGTTGCTCCCTGCTCTTGAAAGGTACTGGCCAGAGCTTTGAAATGTCAAATTTTCTTTTACTCAAAAAGTTAAAGCGCCCAACTCCTAGGGATGTGGTGTGTGCTGCAGACACGCATATAAACATGCATTCGTCAAGACGTAAAATGAGGGAAATAAAGGACAAGACCCCGAAAGACTATTGTCCCATGCCTTGGAGTTGTGCAGCCAGAGTCTGGTTGCCCTGGAGGAGCTGCTCGAGCCACTCGGCGGCCATGGATAGCATGGTGCTCTTGCTGAAGCCGCCACCCTTGAGGCCGGGGACCAGCTCGCACAGGTCGTCAAAGCCCTCTTTGATGAGGGTACGACGCTTCTGCTCGCTGCGAATATGGTTTTCGCGCTTTTGCGTCTCGCTGAGGTTTTCACGGGGGCCTTTGTTAATGGCCGACTTGCGGCGGCGGGAGCCAGACTCGGCCGGAGGCGAGGGCAGTCCGTTGCTGCCATGAGGACTCTTGGACTTTTTGAAGGCGACTTTGGAGTCTTCGTCATCGTCGTCATCGAAGCCGCTTCGTTGCAGCCTGCTCTTACGTCGCTTGCGGGGAGGGGCATCGGCGTCTTCGGTTGGGGCCATGGGCTGCGGGGGCGCTACGCGCTGGGGGTCGACAGTCGGGCTACCGGTGCGGGTGTTTGAGACGCTGGTGCTGGGCTCGAGGCAGCCGAGCACTTGCATCTGAACTTTGTGGTGCCCATCGACGGTTTCTTTGTTGGGGGCGGGCACGTAGCCTTGGACGTTGCCAAAACTGGCGTCGGAACCCCAGTGCAGCTCGTTGATCTGCGCCTGTCTGGAGGCGTGACGATCTTTTGAGCCAAACATCCAGTCAGTAAAAGTGTTGCTATCAGCCTCATTTTCTAGGTCACGCTGGCTCTCCTCCTTGAACTCGTCCATGGGCTGGTGGCGAAGATGGCCCATGGGCGGGCCAAAGGGTCGTCGGGCACCAGGCGATGATTCCTTGGCCTTGCCATTGGGACGGGGGCTGGAGCTGTTATTTTGGAGAAGAGTGGCGGCAGCATTGAGGACGTCGTCGGAGTGATGGCGATGTTGCGACTGCGGCTGTAGCTGCTGATGCGGTTGCTGATGCTGGTAGACTTGGCGGTGCTGGGACTGTGGCTGCTGGGTCATGGGGGCGGAAGGGGGACGCATGAGCTGGGGCGCAGAGCTAGCAGCTGCGTTGAAGTCGAGGTGCTCGGCAAGAAAAGCGTCCGGGTTGGGGAGGGCAGATGCTTGGGATCCAAAAGACGTCGCAGTGCCCATGAACTGCGGGGGCAGATCAAACCAGGCGTCGCTAAAGTGTAGGCCTTCGCCGAAGGAGGGCATGTTGTATTGGGCGGACGACATGTCTTCGAAGAAGGAGCTCAAGAATTTGGTGTCCGTCTCGGAGAGCAGCGGCGCACCGGCAGGATCAGGGGCATCGAGGAGACCATCTTGGTTCTGGTCCATCGAGTCTGCAAGAAGAGCATGGCGTATTAGTACGGGAGGTCGGGTCCGGGAATGGGGAGCGCGGAGGGAGAAGAAGGCGCGAACCGAAGCAGGAAGCAAGGCGCATCAAAGAGGAGATGAAAACTTACAGCCAAAGGGCAGAAAGGGATCTGAATCGGGCTGTGAAGAACCCATCCTGGGAGGCTGCTGGACGGCGAGCATGGATGCGGCTCTGGATGGTGACGGGAGGAAAAGTGGATGTAACGGATTGGTGCGAAGCGTTGTACCAAGAAGAGCATAGAAGGCTGGAGAGGACTAGAAAATATGGCGGGCGGCTGAGCGGAGCGACTACCCAAGGTATTGGAGCTGACCAAGGCCGAAAGGACGACAGGCGACTAGCAGGTGGGCAGGTGGCAAGCTGGGGAACTGAAAACAATGCTTGGGGGGCCGCTGACTGAGAGGGGCGAGCTGGACCGTCGATGTGGGCTACTTTTCAGCGGGCGGAGCGCTGTAGTAATAAGAAACGGTGGGAGCTGTGCCTAGCAGAAACGGCGGGTGTTGTGGGCGCTATAGCGTGCTATGGCTCGAAGCGGCTCGATGCTGGACGGTTGAGGCCGAGAGTGTAGTCTGGTTGGTGGTATATCATTCAATCTAAAAATGATAAGACCGGGTATCGGGCAAATGCTAGAAAAAAGCAGATAAAAAAGACCATCAACACGATCGAAAGAAAAAATCTGGGGTATTACGGACACAGAGACTGGATGAGCCGAGGCGGGCATGGGCAGGTATTAAAAGGAGCTGGGGTACACTGCCTGCCAGGCTCGTAATTTGTAAGTACCTATGTAGGTAGTTAGCGAGAGCCCGCAATCCGTGGACCGTAGGTAGGTACCTAGGTTCTGAATACATATGTGCAGGGGTGGATTGCAGAGAGCACGGGGGAGGGCAGAAGGACAGTGGTGGCCAAGAATTAATCAAGAGGGGGAAAATAAAGCTGGGCAACAGCATCCACGGCTTGACCAAGACATGAACGAAAATGAAGAAGCCACAAGGTTGGCATTTTGACGCGAGGTGCGCGACGACGTGGAGATGATGGTGGGCAGAGGGCGGGTTGGGGGCAGGAGCCTCTGGCATAATTGGAGTCGTTGTCGATTTCTGGGGGTGCGGGCTGGCAGGCAGGCGAGTGGGTGTGGAGGACCTCTTGGACCTCAACCAGACTTGTCGACTGAACATCTGTCATCTGCACATCTGCCACCACTCAGCCTACTGGTAGACACAAAACTGCATTGCGAGTACGGGCTCAATCACATCTTGATCCAAATTTTGGTTTGCACGTTTCCAACGACCCCTTCAGCCAAGAACTTTGCTCTCCTCCTCCTCACACTACCACCTCCATCAACGCCTGGCCTCAACCACCAGCCAGCCAGCCTTCTCGCCACCGCTGGGCCCTCTTTCCCCCGCCCGTCAATGGCGGTCTCGGCCGCCTAGGAAAACCTAAAAACAGCCCGCTTCAGGGCAGTCAAGGAATATAAAAGAGTCGCGGCCTTCGCTACCCCTACCACGCATAAGTACCCAAAGGTCATGGTTTTAATGGTGGGCTCACCACAAGCGGGGTGGTGGTTGTTTTTTTTTTTCTCTTTTTTTTTTCCAACGGGCAGAAGCTTGCGCCAACTGACCTCAATGCCCAGCCGGTTTAGATGCCCTGCCGTCATATCATTCAACTCGTCGTTTATTGGAGCAACCCTTGTAACCTTTGTTAATGATGTTCTCGTGATGGATCCCACTCTTCCTTGAGTTCTAGGGGTAGATTTTCGTCGTCTTCGCAGATTAGATCTAGGCCACCAACGTCATGTGCACCACGTTCTCTTTGGAGTAGCGAAACGCACAGTTCATCTGTTCGTCCACGGGTTTGCCAACGACATTCGGTCTTGTCGAGGCTTCTAATGTGACTATATCAATGATGACGAGCCTCAAAAATGATGCGCTGCCCAAACCAAACTATCGCACTTTGTTGGTTGCTCCGACTGTCCGTCGCCAGCTTGGCATCCGCACACCTGCATGGAACACGAGTAACTCTGTACACTACCAGCATTATCAGTACGCATCTCACCCGGCCGTGGCTTAAAAAAATTGCAAACACACACAGCCAGGGACGCGCCTCTGGGCTGATTTAGCGCCATTATCTCTAAACATTGCCATGCGTGCGGAAATTGAGCCCGGATAACGATGTGAAAGTGACGCCAAAAGTGACGTATTCTCTGCAGACGGCATGGGATTGCATCGTCCTGCAGAGGACATATATGATGGGCACTGGACCAGTGATTCAAGCTGCCCCTCATGTGCATGCCCTCTGACTGATTACGGACGAGCCAGCCCAAGCCAGCCAGCCAAAGCCAGCCACCCGCCACCCGCCCTGGCTCCGGACCTGGGCGTTTTTTGGTGAGTCCATCATGACGGCACCAGAACCGGACTTGTAGATGAGCAGGGATCGCGCCGACAAGACGCTTCTCTTCCTCCATGTCTCCATTGATCTTGTCCAAATGTCCGACCAGCCCAAGCAAAGGACGACGCTAGAAGCCGGACAGAAAGACATTTTACTTGCCGAATCGAGACTCCAATGCGAGACAAGTCTCGGAAGTCACAGTTCACACATGTACTGGAAGATAATAATTCAGTGGCCTTCCAACATTATAACCGGGTGCTAAGACTACAATGTCAAAAGGCTCCGAGGCCCGGCTCTCACTCGCAATGTCCCTCTTTTTGCCTCAAACACAGTTTGTCTCGCACCCGGAGAAAGGAAGACGATTCGAATAATATGTGACATATTCTTACTCCAACATGTTCGTTGCACATCTCCCATGCCTCCAAGAGTCTACTGGTAAGGCCGGCGCTCGGTGCGGCCACTAAATTAAAAGGAGGGGTGGTTCATTTTCCCCAACTGGGGGCAGCGGCGGGGAAAACGCCTCGTGCTCGCGTTCTCGTCAATCGACGTTGCGAGGTAATGCAGCTATCGGGGTCGGAAAGGCTGCACATCTCTTCCTTGTTGACGTTGTCTTCACATGCTTTTTTCCTCGGCCGTCTTCTGGTCCACGCTAAGCCACTTTCAGAAACCACGCTTCTATGTACAGACTACAGGTGCTACAGTACCAGACGACGCCACACACTGGTAACACCTTGCGGCCGTTGGCGGGCATTTCAGCCATCCCCTTGTTTCTTCTGCCATTCTCCACGCTCGCCTCAACCTTGTTGCCTCTTTCAACTCTCGCGGGGAACCTGCTCTCCGACATGACCCGGTAGCCGTCGACGATCTTCATGCCACTTACACCACGACCTTGCTCTTCTCTTCCGACTCGTCCCTTGTCCATGACGACACGTTGCTCAGGGGGGCTTGCATAAAGAAAGAGCGGAAGAGGAAGCCATTGTAGTTGTTGTGCATCATCTCTTGAGCGTACAAGTTCGACTTTTTTTTTTCTCTTAGTTCTCCAGTTGCCCAGATAGAGCCTCGAACAAACATGATCCCTGCCATAGTTACCGGACTACCAAGTATACGAAGTAGACCACTCGATGCCAATGCCCACACGAGACTAGGTGATTAGCTGAGACGCGGATGCAACGGTGATCTTTGTGGCTCCATTAGCTTTTGTGCAATGGTTCTAAAGGGTCCGGATTCGTAATTCTTTGCAAGCCATCGAAATCAAGGCCCGGGTCTTTTCTTGCCTGGAAACGCGTCACATAATTGCACACGTCAATATGTCAATTTCCTCACCTCACAGTGATGAAACGAGAGAAGTCAGCCATTATTGTCGCAAAGACTGTATAATTATGGCTTTCGTTTTCCCGGATCTTCACCACAGAGGTCACCAAGATAATTTAGCTCTGTTCGGAAAGACAACAGCCAGTGGGACCCCGCATACTTTGTCCCGCTACACCAACATTGAAATTCTAGCCCATCACAATTCGCGTATTCCTGAACCTGGGGCTGGACCCTCGACTGACTCTAGCTTCGTTTCTTACGCTCGCAATTAATTTTGCATCATTCTTTTCAGCCTCCAATCTAAAGTCACCGAAGACGGCGCTAACACCATTTGCACCGTTGCGTCGTGAAAACGACAGCCGGTCACGTTAGGTACCATAGCAAGCCAATGCAGCCTTTTCCATCCGTCATTTTCAGCAAATGCGCCGATTTTTGGAGACGAGAAAATATTGGCCAACTCAATCTACCTCTTGCTGGCTAGATTGATTGCCTATTTTGCGACTTTAGTCACACATGACCGTACACGTGGTATTGCTAGTCCAAGGCAAGATATTTAGTGTGACTTTGTCGTGCTCTTTTCGGAGGCTGCTGCATTAGACAGGGCAGCGAGCGCTCATCCGGGTCAGATCAGCCGAATCCCATCCTGTGTAAACCGTCCGTGGCTGCATAGACAGGGCTGTCAGGTGCCCTTGGCTGCTGCATGTCGGTAAACGGACACCGAGCCGTCTTGCTTGCCATTGCATCAATAGGAGAATAGGGCTGTGAGCCAAAAAGGCATTGTAACACCAAGAGTCAGCATATACTGTGCTGCTATATCGTACACTAGAAACGGGATGATCTGGTATTACACCACCCTGGCTGGGGAGAGACAGAGTAGTGGGCTTAATACGGTGACCTGGGCGTGCTGGGTTGGTGGGATCGCCAGTCCGTGTCTGGCAAGACGCCCGTAGCTGGCGCAACACGGGAACAAGTTTGCTTTGTCGCAGTAATGCGGTGTTTTCCACGTTTGCTGCAATAAGTGGCAATGCAGGATTCTGTACTGCATTAAGTAGATTAATTTCCGCCGATAAACAACGCCCACCAACAAGTGAAAAGTCGAAGCGAACACAGCTGAGCGGGTTCCTGCAGCATCGTGCGTCGGCATCGACGGAGGGAGCGTTATCGTGGTCGAAGCTGCATACGTGGGATGGCGTGTATAAGAACAACTGGAAATAATAAGGGAGTCATTGATAGATGCCTTGAAGTTGCAGTGCCATTTGTAATGGATTGTGCTACTGTCTGCTGTTTGCTCAGTGGCAGATGGCGAGTCCCATGATACGCAAATAGGGAGAAGAACAATGTGTAGGAGTCAAGGAGTCACCAGAAGCGGCACAACGTCCTTTTAGCCAATATATGTGAGCAGAAATAGGGGGTAGCGGCCAGCTAGATCACGCATCACGATAATGACTTGATCCTTGACTGCAGCAGAAACAACCCCCCCGCGGAGTCGTCGCCGTCTTGGAGCAGCCGTTCTTGCATGTGACACTACACGATCAGCGACATTAGTGAACGAAAAGGGGATAATAGAAGCAACAAAGGTAGCAGAGACAGTAGAGGCATATCATAGTAATTTTTAAAGATTTTTCTTTTCTCTTTTTTGATACGCCTTGCGCGTAATTTTGAACTCACAGATGGTGGCAGTCCTGTAGGTATTCGATGAGCTTTCACATGAAAATAAAGCACAACAGCTGGTAAGCTAGGGTCGGAGTTTGGGCCAAGCGGGCACTAAAGTCCAGGCCACTTCAGGCACAACTTCAGACCAGTTACAAGTGCTTCAAGCCCTGCATATCTCCTACATCCCACTAATAAATGCCCGCTAAAATGCCCACTAGGTACCTACCTACTCCGTAGGTAGGTAAAGAACCCGCTGCAAGCTCCGCCGCCGCGAAACCCCGGCCGCTGCACTGCCCATTGTCGTGAACCCGAGGCAACTTGGCCTCACCCCGTAAAATCCACTTCAACGCCCTTGCCTATTGTCGCTGTATTATCGTCTTTGCTCTCTTCTTCTCCGGAAAACATTGTCCGCTTGGCTACCGCATTTGCGCCGGATCCAAGCCCTTTCTTACGCCTGTGGTGGTATCGGCAGCAAATCGATACCAGGTACCTTACTCTGTAGCGACGCGCGCGTCATACCGCGCGCGAGGGGCAGGCAGGACCCTGCCACAGACTCGCGACACAACTCGGATCTGTTTTTCATCACATTGCACACCTGCATCGCTGCAGCATCAGACGAATCACACCCTACCCCTCAATTCCGATCTTGGACCTACAAGCTAACAAGCAACCCCGAACATCATACTCGGTCCCTGAGCGGCACAGTCTCCCGCAGAGTACGGCATCTCGTATCGCACCAAGACTTTGCTGAGAAGACACCGCAAAGAAATTGTACTTCTCTAAGGAGGCGGAGGAAGATCCATGTAACCTTGCACTTCAAGGCTCATTCACCATTATTCCTCCTTCGAATTTCTGCTTTACATATCCTGCTCAACGCCGTCTGTTATCGTTGCATCAGTTCTTCGGCCCGTCGACCTGTCACTGGTCGTTTGCACCAACGCCTCGACCACCAACCAACCACCACACCACTCGTCTCTTGCCATTCGAGTGGACAGGTTGATTGGATCGTTGCAATCACCTACCAACCCACCTCCGAGTTTCGCATTGAGCTACAAAATCTACGCTACAATCTTGCGCCCACCATGTCGCAGCGTGCAGTCGGCGCGTCGCCCAATCGTGCGGCGGCACGCCGTCCCGGGCTGCCGCTTGCCGTGCCTCCGGCGCTCCGCCCAGTCATCCGCGCCTACGTCCTGGGTTACGCATCTGCCGTCGCGCCGCGACTGCTGACCCTCGCCGTCCAACATGTTCTGAAGCTGAGGCGAAATTCCGCGCAGCTCCTGCCTGCCGATCCAGAAGATGAGCCCACGTTCCTGGTTGGCGCTCGACATATCCTGCGATCCGGGTTCGATCCGCAGCGCTTCCCGACTTTTTGTGCAGTTCTCGTCGCCGGCACATCTCTGTTACACGTAGGTTTCTTGTAAAGTGTACTTGCAATTGCGTTTTGAACCGAGTTTGGTTTACTCGCCATCACCATGCACCTACATCCATGTATTGACGTTTTTGCTCCTTCAGAAACCCCTAGATAAGGTCATTGCCAGTCTGGGCGCAAAGCTGAGCGAAACTTCGCGGTTACGGTATAACCTCCATTGGAACTTGTTTTCCCCATGTTGATCAACCAGCTGACTCGTCTAGATTGGCACGATTCTTATGCAGTTTCCTCGCTGGCTGGTTCGGTCTGAAGCTCTTACACTCCAAAGGCACGGCTCCTCGCCGCCACTCGACTGCCAGAAGGACCAAGCGAGAAGAAGAAGTACGCTGCAGACAGATGGCCGGTCGCACTATAGATCTTACCCTCTTTGCTGCCACTCGCGCTGCCGACGTTATTGTCGGCGAGCTCTGGGCGCAGCGCAGGTCTCGACGCCAGCTCGCCAACAAATGGACCAAAGTCAGCCCCCCCCCCCAATTCCCCGTCCTCTCTTACTTCCCGCCACATTCTAACTCAACCACCGCACAGGCCGAAGCTTTTACCCAATACATGGCCGACCCGCTCGTCTTCGTCTCGTCGTGTGCCCTCATCATGTGGTCCTGGTTTTACTACCCGGACAGCCTGCCCCGTGGCTACCAGAAATGGATCACGTCGGCCGCACAGGTCGACACGCGCCTCATCGAGGCTCTGCGCCGCTTCCACTTTGGCGCTCTCGTCTACGGCCGCGAGACGGGCCAGGCCGGCCTCGTTGGCGACATGTGCGACGACTACGGCCTGCCCCGGCGCTGGGGCGACCCCGTCACCCAGATCCCTCTGCCCTGCGAGATTGTCCACATGGGCTGTGGCCCCTCGTGCGAGTACCATGCCCTCAGCCGCTTCGTCCGCTCTTGGAAGTGGTCCATGTACACGTACCTGCCCCTCGCCCTCGCCCTACAGCTGCGTAAGACGTCCTCCAGCGCACCGGCCGCCCGCCGTGCCCTCCTCCACGCCCTCAGCTCCGCCGCCCGCTCCTCCGCATTCCTCGCCTGCTACATCACTCTCTTCTATTACGGCGTCTGCCTCGCCCGTAGCCGCGTCGGCCCGCTGCTCCTGGGCACCAGCACGCCCACCCGCCAGCTGCTCGATGCCAAGCTGTGCGTCGGCACCGGCTGCTTCCTCTGCGGCTGGAGCGTGCTCGTCGAGACGGCCGGCCGCCGCAAGGATATGGGCCTCTTTGTCGCCCCCCGCGCCCTCGGCACCCTCGTGCCCCGCCAGTACCCCAAGGAGAAGCAGTGGCGCGAGACGCTGGTGTTTGCGGCCAGCACGGCCGTCGTGTTTACATGCGTACTGGAGAACCCGCGCCGCGTGCGTGGTGTGCTTGGCGGCGTGCTCGGCTACGTCCTCAAGGAGTAATTTGTAAGGAGCTTAGCCTGTATAGAAGTACGATGACGGGATTAGACAGCGAGTTGTACGATGAGCATTTGCATAGGCTCGAGAGCAATCATGTACAAAAGTGTACCAAACACTCGCCATGAATGATCATGGTCAAGACGTACATGTTGACCAATTTCACCATATTCTTATTATAATGAATCCATAATTATTCTTCCACTGAAAACCCCAAGACGTGCTCCCCCCCTTAAAGCTGGCCCTTCCACCACGCGCACACGCCCAGAACAAACGCGCACAGTAAAACATCTGTCCTCACCGTCGTGAAGATTTGCCCGTACCGCATCACGCCCACCACGTACCCGCGCCACGGCGTCGGCAGCTGGTTAGCCACCGACCACAGCATGCCCGGTGGCGGCGGACGACCCTTGTCGAGGGCAAACTTTGTCGTCAGCAGCACAGCCTCGGCCGTCGCAAACGCCCAAAAGAAATTTTGCTTGGCCGCGTCGAGCCCCTTTGGCGAGCTACCGTCGGCGTCGGCCAGCTTAAAGGCTAGCTCTCGCTGCACCCGCGTCCCGTCAAACGGCGTCCGCAGCACAACGTACAGGCCCAGCCCGAGCGCGAGCAGCGCGTGCACGATCCGCCAAACGGTGCTGTAGACGTCTGGCCCAGAGGATGGCCGCTGCTGCTGCTGCTGCTGAGCGCCCATCATGCCCGCAAACGGTGAGGCGTTTGGTCCGCCGGCACCGGCACCACCCATCATCTGCGCCATCATCTTCATCAGCGGGTCCTCCTCGCCGGCACCGGGAGTGCCCGGCGCGCCACCGCCGCCCCCGAGCATCATTTGCCGCAGCTGCGCCCGTTGCTCTTCCGTCATATCCGACGGGAAAAAGGCTCCATCGTCTCCGCCGGCGGCAGGCGAGGGAGCGGCCGCCGCCGCGCGACGCTGCTGCTGCTCGAGGCGTGCGGCCCCCGGCGTGTAAAAGTGCTCGGAAATGTCCACCTCATCGGGGTCGCCCGCAGCGGCGGGCTTCGACACTGCTGCTGTCGTCTTCGTCGTAGCTTCTGGAGCGGCCTGGTCATTGTCTAGCAAAAGAAAAAGACAAACGGGTGGTCAGCACACACGCACAGATCAAGGGGTCGGGGCTGGGTGGATGGCTGGCTGGTATGTCGTACCTCCTACAACGCGGCCGCCGATGCCGGTAATCTTGTCGAGACGCGAGGAGCCGCCGGCCTTGATCTTGGCCTCGCGGCGCTCCTTGCGCAGGCGAGCCTGCTCTGCGGCTCGCTGGGCGGCGGCGTCACTCGATGACGATACACCCTCCGTCATGGCTGTTGAGGTAATGTTGTTGGGCCTTTCTTTCACCAGTGATCGTGGTTGTTCTGTTCGTGTCTCGTTTGTTGGGCAGCAATATTTCCAGGAATGTCGTTGGCAGGCGTGGTGAGTTGACAGGTTGACGAGTCGTGGTTCGTTCAATACAGCTTCCCCAAAAGGCAAAGTGGGCCCATGTACGCCCTGAGCGGCTGAGCCACATTCTTGTTTGGTGCACGCAAAGTGATCTAGTTTAGGAAATTATTCTTTATATATATGTATACGGCATAAGATCAGGAGAGTAATATAAATAGCTGTTATTAATAACTACGTCTAAAACATAGCGCCGACAACATCACTCTTCCCAACCTGTTTCTCACCATCCACATACAAACTCATCAAGAATTGTTCTTAGGTTACTGGATATAAAATTTAAGGTGTCGCTTTACTCATGTTAATGAGACGCTTCAAACCAACCTAAAAATCAGTATGTTAGCAAGTTACTCTTTCTTTGACACGCATTCGACATAGTCAGCGCTTCGACTTACCATCCACTGGCCACATTCTTCAACCCTTTCGCGCTGAAGCTCAGCCTGCAGTTTTGTCGCCGTTGGGTGATCCTTGGCCTTGAGAGCCTCGGCAACTTCCGCTAGTTTAGAAACACTGTAAGGAGACACAAGCTCTTCGTTGTTCAGATGGTCGAAGAGCAGGTTTAGTCGCTTCTGGGTATCCTTGACTTGAGGTGCAAAAGTAGCGGGTGCTTTTGCTGCAACGCGCTGCATGTCTTCGGTCAGAATCTCGACAAGGCGCTGCGCATTTGCAGGGATGTGCGATCTGTCACCAGGAGGGTGCTTCCCCTTGGGTGGAGGTGCACCGGCGGCCCTGGGGGGAGGTGGTGTGGCTGTAGTTCCGGCAGGTGGAGGGCCAGGTCGGCCCATGGGCGGCGGCCCAGTAGGAGGTCCGGAAGCAAGGGGGGGTGCTCCAGCGCTGGGAGGTGAGCTGAAGTTATTGGTCGGAGCGTAAGGGTTTGCTGCGAAAGGAGGTGGCGTTTGCGCAAATTGGCTGTATGGGTTGGCGGGAGGGGCATTGCCGCCAATTGGTGGCGGCGGCAAAGATCCCCCAGTAGGAGGAGCCGGGCTAGGCTGCTGTGCAGCAGGCGCCGGGGCGTATCGATTCGAAGAAGGAGCGCCAGCAGGGGGAGCATTGTAGGGGGAAGCAGTCCGCGCAACCAGATTGGCCATCTGGGGACCACCACCAACCTGTGGCGGGGGAGCATACTGATTAGCCGCCGATGAGGGACGAGGAGGAGCCTGGAATGTCTGAGGAGGTCCGGCCAGAGGCGAAGTGACACGAGGAGGAGCAGAACCCTTGGGAGGAGGAGGAGGAGGACTAGCTTTGGAAGGCGCGCCATAGGTCGGAGGTCCAAGCGGTGGTGTTTGGCCGGGCTGGATACCATATGGACCGATGGGGGGTGGTGCGCTTGGGGTTGAGCGCCTGGGAGGTGGCGCCTTTGTCACTATAGGGACATCGTTCCAGCTATCCCTTGGCGCACTATGCATCGTCGACAGGGTAGGCGTGCCGTTGCGAGGAGGTCCAGAGACAGGTGGCGGTGCCGACGATGGATAGCCTGGGACAGGCGTCTGATACATGCCTGATGGCTGGTATGGGTTGCCTCCGTACGATGGCTGCGGTGGCTGCACAGCTTGCTGTAAAGGTTGGAATGGCTGGGGCGTAGGAATAGAGGCGATATTGCTGTATGGATTAGCAGCACCAGTGGTACCAGTAGGCGGAGGCTGAGGAGCAGGATAGCCATAAGTAGACTGCGTCTGCGGAACGGTGCTAGTTGTTCTCGTAGTAATCTTGGCACTAGCCTTGGTGGTTGACTTCTGTGTGGCCTGTTTGACCCGGCTACGAGCACCTTCAGCAGCAGGGTATGTGCTAGGCAGAAGATCGAGGTAACGTTGGGCAGCGTCAAGCTGACCATGGCCAGCGAGAATATCAGCGTACTCGGTGTATTTGTCATACAAAGCGGCAAGCTTCCAGCCCGCTGTCTCATTCGTTTCGTTGTCAACAAATTTGCTGACCTGACGGAAGACGGTCACCTTCTCGATGAATTGTTGCAGAGTTCTGGCATGAACAGAAAAGGTTGAGTCCTGGGATGACGGGTCTTTGGTGCCAGCCTGCTCAGCCTCCTCCAGCTTTGCAGTCCAGATAGACACTACCTTCTCAAGCTTAGAGCCGACGAGATAGCAGAAAGATGCGTCTTTGCGCTCGCCGCTTTCCTGGATTCGATCGCCAATGGCCTCGCAAAGGTCAGAGAAGTCGGTGGGATCCGAGAAGGTACAAATGATAGCCATCGTCTCTTTCCAACTCTTGAGGTCCGCGTTGTATACAACGTCCCAGAGATTCTTTTCGATGACAGCTTCGAGAAGACGAATGTAGCTGGGCGACCCAGTCTTGCGAGCGAGATACGCAGCTTGAACTTTGTCAACTAGTTCCTGCCCACCGCAGTTGGCAATCAGAAAAGCGTCAGCAATGCGATCCTCTTTCAAGCAGATGTCAGTAGCCTTAGAAAAGTTGCCCAGCATGAGTGCCTTTGTAATATCCTTCTCAACAGTTGTGTCGCTGTCGGCAAATAAATGGAAGGGGTTATCAGTTTTGGCGCCTTTGGTTGCAGATACACCAGATAGGAAGTCATCGTCACCTTCTCCATCCGCTCCGTCGAAAAAGTTGGAAAGCTTTTTCTTATCGCTGGCAGCTTCCTCGCCTTCCGTCTTAGCTTCTTCGGGCAGTGTCTCTTCGCTAATCTCCTCCTTGAGACCGAGGTACTCGACAATCTTGCCACGAGGATTCTCGCCGATCAGGGTCTGCATAACCTTCCAGTCAGCCTTCTCCTCTTCTGTCTTGGATTGCTCGATGTGCTCTTCGCAAATGGCCGACAGATCACCAGACGCAAGTGCTTCTTGGAATTTCTCGGTCGCCGAAGAAAAGTCAGAGTCGGCCGAGAACTGCGAGATGACAACTTTGGAGGATCTATCCTGATCAGATGTGGTTTTGAAAACGACAATTTTGCCACCGAATCCGAACGAGGCGCCAATGGGGCGCTTAAACCACTGGGGCGCCTTGTTGAGTGACCACGATGCACCCTGAGGTTGGGTTTGAGCAGCACTGAAGAAGTCGGCACCATCCAAATTGTTGTCAATGGCGGTTTTTGAAGTGTCGGGGTTCGTGTTTTGCAAGGTCTGGATTGTGATTTTGCCGTCAAAGCTAGCAGTAGCCGATAAATTGGGATTGTGCGGATGAAAGCGTGTTTGGAAGGTCCAGTTCGTGACCTCGGGAAGTTCTCCGAGGCGCTCCCCGGTGAGAGGGTTCCAGACCAGTGTCTTGTTATCTTTCCCGGAGGAAAGCAGAATGCTGCTGTCTTGGGAGCACCAGGCGAGAGACAGTATACCTTGCTCGTGGCCCTGCAGTGTCTTCTCCGGTGCATTGGAGTTGCGCAGATCCCATAGGAGAATTACCGGGGTGTTGTCGTCTGGCGTGCCTGTCAGGAGCTTTGTCGAGTTGTTTGGGTCCCAGGCAATGGCGCTGACAGATTTGCGGCTGTTGTTCAATGTGAGAGATGCTTTCTTAGTCTTGAGATCCCACACCGTTACAAAGCCACCTGCTCCACCAGTGGCAAGAATGTGAGAGACTTTGCGGTTCCATGCGAGACATTCAATATCGTCAGAGCGCGCGGCAGCATTACCGAGGCGGAAAGGATTGGCAATGTCATTGACATCGTAAATATAAATTTCGCCCTTAGCACCAGCAGTGGCTAGAATATGCGGCTTGAGAGGATTGAACTGGAGTGTCTTGATGGCGCCAGTGTGTTTGGTCGTCTGTGACAGCAAGGCGTCACTTCCACCCGCTTGAAGCTTTGCAGCGTCCCAAAGATCGAGGGAGCCATTCTCCATAGCTCCCGCAATGATGCCTTGTGGGTGTTCAGCATCAGGGGGGCTCCATGCAATATCGTAAAATCTATTCCGTCTGATTAAGGATTGCGAAGGTAAACGGTAGCTATACGACATACCTGGCGTCGGTGGCGATGCTCGCGATAGGCTGGAGCTCAAGTCCCTGTTCCTGGTCGTCTAAGGACAAGTCCCAGAGCTCAAGCTTACTTTCGTCAGAGAAGTCGGCATCAACAGCACCGGCACGAGTACCAGTGACCACAAGGGGGGTTCCGGCGCCGGGCGACCAAGCGAAGGCGGCCGTTCGTGGAATATCTCGTAGGCGCACCATGGTGGCGGGGGTGTAAGGGATCGGGCGGGACCAAGGAGCGGTTATTCGATTTGACGACGGTGTATGCTAAGAGAACAATTGAAATGCCAAGAATTGGCACTGGCCGCTAAGAGCAATGCACCTCTTAGCTTCTGCCAGCAGAAGGCATGAAATTGTTAAATAAGAGCTGTGTGAAACTGGATACAACCGAAATCCAGTCAAGAGTGATGCCAGATTGCAGGCACTTGGAGCTTCCCCTTGTCGAGATGTGTTCCTGGGCCACCAGCATTGGCGGTGGGGCAGCGGAAATGTATCACGTGACTCAATGAATGGAAGCTTCCTCACGAACAAGCCTTGAGTTAGGACGGCAAAGGCTCAAAAAACTCAACTCAGATTCGTTTTCCTTTTCGCAAAGCATGACAACGCGATAAACCGAACTCCATCATGTCGGACGCAGCTCGTTGGAAAGCTACCGTTCACGTGGGCGGTTTGGCACCACAAGTGACCAACGCCAACGTGGTGGACGCTTTCATCCCATTCGGCGAAATCGTCGACGTAAAGCTGCCAAAACCTGATGCCCCCAATTCAGGAGAAACTCACAAAGGGTTTGCGTATGTTGAGTTTGAGGACAGCGCAGATGCCAAAGAGGCTATCGACAACATGGACCAAGCGGAATTATTTGGCCGAACGCTGAAAGTCTCCCAGGCCAAAGCGCCCAAGAGTGCTCAAGAAGGTCTCGGTAGCAAGACTGCTGTGTGGGACCAGGTACGTCATGATATCTACTCGAATATGTTCATGTCTACAGTGCTAATATACCATCAGGAGGGCTGGTTGGCCGAGAACGCTGAAGGCGAAGCTGAACTACAAGCTCCATCTGGCCCGGATCCAATGCAAGGCCTGGAGGAGTTAGATGTGGCTGGACCAAAGCAGCAATGATGGAGACCACGACGTTTGCATTTGGCAGCAATACTCTTTGGATTCTTCTATGCATAGCATCGGCGTTTGGGTCACTAATTCAAATATCCAATTTATTATACTTCACGCAACGAACCAGTTGAGATGACGATGAAATGACCTGGCCTCTATTTTGTGCCGGACTGGTTTCCCTAGACATATACAGCTACCCTTTCCCGTACAAGAACAAAAAATTGGCGTCACGCCTCTACCGATTCGCTCCAATATTAGTGGTCAGCACGGGCAGAAGGTCCCTGTCGGCCAAGACGGAGGTTCTTGTCAACCCAGAATTTGCGGGCGCAAGAGTAGCCGGCGGCGGCAACGGCAAATCCAACGACGGCAGCTGGTATACTTGTTAGATATCGGTTCGCGTCGTCCCGTTCATCTCGCACAACATACCAAGGGGAAATAGCTCGGCAGGGATCTGCTTGAGCTTGCGGAGGCGCTGGGAGATGGTGTGGCCTATTGGAGGTCAGTAATCGTCGCTTTTGAAATGTCGAGCAGTCGTTTCGAGGTCTTGGTTAATAGACAATCGCTACGGCTTCATCACGTACCAGCCTGATCTTCTTTCTGGATGACCGAGGCATTAGCGTGGTCCAATCAGCAGTGGCATATTCACTCACGGGAACCGGTCGCATCAAGCGAGGGGTCTGGCGGAACATTCTCATGGCAGTGGTGGCGCGCATATTGGTGAGTGGAGAGGTCGAGGTGAGGCAGGAGAGCCGGTAGAAGTCAATTAGCAACGGTTATTCAGAAGAAAGTGATGTTTTGGAGTTCATTAAGAAGTGCTGCAATCTGGTAGCTCGACCCACCAATCCGGCTGGAGAGGTGTGGTGGGTGCCTTACCGCGTGGGCTGATTGGCTTGGTAAGCCTGAGGCAGACACGGTGCTCTGCATTGGGAATCATCTGATTCGTGGTGTCAACCTCTACGCAACAAACCACCTGTTACACCCGTCCGAGCTTGCATACGCCTCAATTCTCGTTCTGCCCCATTCTACATACTCTAAAATCAATTCACAATGTCTGATGAAGAAGGACAAGATGGACAGGAGCTTGTGACCAAGCCCTTCAAGTTCGTCACTGGTAAGTCGGATAATACCGCGGAGAAATTTATCGGTTCGGAACCCGAGGCTAACTATGATGACAGCCGGTACGCCGTCGCTCAAGTCGACAAACCTCGATCGCATCGTCGCATTCGACGCAATTGTATTCAATTGGCCTTGGAAATACTGACCGCCTATTTTGCCAGGCACCGACGCCCGTTTCCCTAATCAGAACCAGACCAAGCACTGTTGGCAGAACTACGTCGACTACCACAAGTGCATTAACGCCAAGGGCGAGGATTTTGCTCCCTGCCGTCAGGTATACACAATTACGACTATTCGATGTGAAGGCGACGATTCTAACATGCTCGCGTCTAGTTCTGGCTCGCCTACCGATCTCTGTGCCCCTCCGGCTGGTACACGCGCTGGGACGAGCAGCGCGGTATGTTGTTCCCGAACTCGTACGATTCAACATTGCTAATGCAGATGACAGAGGCTGGTAACTTTCCCGTCAAGCTCGATGCTTAAAAGAGTAGCAGGGGTTTGATTGGTCAAAGGCGATCAAGTTAGAGATGGAAATAAATCGCGGCACGTGCTGCTTGTGTATTATGCGAAGTCGATAGACTGTGCAAAACGATTTGGTGTGTTCCATTGAATGAACTACTTTCGTAAACAAAACAAAAAGACTATTTCCGCTGCCCTATGATTACAGATGGTATATCAAACGCCATGCACTAATACGAATATGAACCGAATAAATAAACTCCACGCTCTTGTTCGCTAGGAATGGACGTCAGCTCAAGCTATCCTTTAGGATAAGAGAAATGTATAAGCCGTTCTCTTTATTTCGCTGCATTGTCGTCTGAGTCGTCATCGGAACTCATAAACTCGTCATCCTCGTCAAACCCAAAAAAAGCACGAGCCTTGCCCTTCCCCTTGCTATCCGTTGCAGGTTGTGTCGGTGGCGGTGATTCCTTCGAGCTGGCGCGAGACTGTTCATCGCTGTCGGATGGACTCTCGCCTGGTGCTGCAGAGCTCGAACCGTGTGAGCTGCTGAAGAGGTTATCGGTATAATTGCCGCTCTTCATTGCTGCTAGGACCGCGTCTCTGGTCCGCTCGCTACTTTCCTCTTTGTCTTCGGCCCACTGTCCATCAATCATGCTCTTTCCTCCATTTTTAATTTCTGCCTCTTTGGCCTCGGTTTGCTGCACAATATCTTGCCACCGGGCGCGGCGCTTTTCTTTTTCCTTCTTGTCCATGTCAGGCTTTATTGCGAGATATTCAGCGAGGGCTTTGGCTTCATTGACGGTTCTTAGTCTTCGGCCGTCCAGGTTACGGCTCGAACCATTGTCGTCCTGTGTTTTCTTCTTCCGCGATGACATGCGTCCACCAGCTGCTCGCAGCTGAGATCCGAAACCACCCTTGCCACCGCAAAGAGGGATACTAAGTCGCAAGGAAAGAAAGTCGTCATCTTCTGTGGAGAGATATGAAGAGAGTGGTATATCGGATTCATTGAGGAGTTGCTTGTTTGATAGGGTGGTGAGAATGAATCTTGAAGCAGTATCAGGCAGATGCTCGTTCAGGTGATGGCGAAAAGCTGTGACTGTCGTTGAAGGTTGCACGGGTAGGACGATGGTTGGCGGTAGTCCTAATCCACGGAATGTCGATACCAAGACGTTGAAATGTTTAGTTTCCATCTTGAAGCTTTTGTTTAATGAGCAGTATGAGGAGGAAAGAACTGGTTCCATCACCGGCGCGTGCGGCGCAAGCACGAATATTCTAATGCCCCACATTATGCGTGGCGATGGCTGTCATGTGGATACTGCGGAACCGGCAGAAAGCTGCGCCGCACTACTATGAGTATCTTATCTACACGTGAGCTGCAGCCACACCCACAAACACAGCCACCCCACCTTCGCTAGGTGAGTGTCTGTGTAGGGCTTGCGCCCACAAAAGTAAACCATTTCGAGGTTTACACGGCATCCCGAAAAACTGTACTCCTACCATCGACCGAAGCCAACGCAAAACGCCACGATGCTCATTCCTAAGGCCGACCGCAAGAAGATCCACGAGGTATTTCGATTTGCAATCGAGAGAATCGGAGAGAAGCGAATATACTGATGTAATTGTTCCCTTGATACAGTACCTCTTCCGCGAGGGTGTGCTCGTGGCCGCCAAGGACTTCAACCTTTCCAAGCACCCCGACATCGACACGAAGAACCTTTTCGTGATTAAGGCTTGCCAGTCCCTCACCTCCCGCGGCTACGTCAAGACCCAGTTCTCGTGGCAGTACTACTACTACACCCTGACCCCCGAGGGTCTTGACTACCTCCGCGAATGGCTTCACCTCCCCGCCGAGATTGTTCCCGCCACCCACATCAAGCAGCAGCGCTCCCACGCTCCTCCCCGCGGCATGCTCGGCGAGGGCGAGCGTGAGCGCCGTCCCTTCGGCCGCCGACCCGATGGAAACCGCGGCGACCGCGAAGGCGGATACCGCAGACGTGAGGCTGGTGAGGGCAAGGAAGGTGGCGCCCCTGGTGGCTTCAACCCCGAATTGTGAGACGACCTGCGCGACCCTCGATGTACGATTTTCGGACGAATTGCTGACAGTGTTATTCTAGCCGTGGTGGATTCGGTCGTGGCCGCGGTGCCGCTCCCCCCTCGTAAACGAACCATTCATGATGTTGGGTTATCAGTTTTGCAGTGCATGGCGAACGGAAAAGGAATCGACATGTATTTTAAGATTGGAGGACAAATCTCGCTTCGAGTCGGATCGTGAGACCGGTCGGTGGGAAGACTTGGTGGGAGTTTAAGAGGCTTAGATCCTCGGAATGATTTGCATCAGGGCTCAAAAAAATTACTACCATTCAAAAAAGGAGTCTTGTGAATGACGACAATTTTGTGAAGGCCATTCACAGCCGCAAGAAGTGTGAATATTCTGGTCACTCAATTTAGGATGAAACGAGCAGCACTGAGGGCAATGTTCGATTGGCGCGAAAGAAGTAAGCCGCATGAGGTGCCGAGACGAACCTGAACAGTCATGGCACTGCGCGATGCGATGATGACGATTGACTCGTTTATCGCTGGAGCTAAATTCGGGGGAAATCCGTTCACGCACTCATCAGGATGTGTTGTACGATTTATGCTCTTGACATCCTTGGAATAGCGATAGCTGGTTAACAAATTCATACTGGACCTAGTTGCAACGTTCTTGCATGGCATTCAGCCATGCGCTTATTAGATCAAAGCCAGCATGATTTCTTTCCTGCATGTTGCGCCACATGCCCTATGTTCCTTTTTTGGTCAATTCGTCACGCATTCCATTGCGGCTTTCATGAGTCTCTTTTAGTTCTTATAAGCCAGTTGGAAGAGCCAGTTCGACTGGTGCCAGTTTCCTGTGTGTAACGAGAAAATGTGTTGAATTCCGGCTACAGCTATGTAATGTTGCATGCAAGGGCGATAGCCGCATGACGAATGCATTGCTTAGCGGTATTCATTATGAGATACTTACTCGCGCATATGTTAACGATCCTCGTATCTCTGCCCCTGACAATTTTAGTGGTCGTTTGTCATTTTGGTGCTGGCCCATTAGGTACCTGGATTGTGTGGCTGTGTTATTTTTTTTTTTTTTTGACCTTTAAACTATTCGACCCTGTCACGGTGACGCGGCTTCATAACTTAATACGGCAAGTCTTATTAGCCTACTAAAGACAATGTTGACACATCGTGAGAATGAGATATAAAGCACCTAACTGCGACTCCGTACATTTATAGCGCGTCTTGCATGTTTGACACCTATTAGTCTTGCTGGCGCTTGGATCAAATGCTCAAATAAGTTTTGCCACCATCTTAGGGTAGAATTCGGCCCCTCCGCCCGAACGATCTCCATCGTGTCAAATCTGCACCTTCCTTCTGCATTTAATATCCAATCCCACATCACGGAGCGTGTCGATCACACGAATAATCTACGGCACAAGTAGTGCTATCCGATATATTATATCGAGAGAGGGGCCTTGCCTCAAGGTATAGCGCGCTCTGCCAACATCAGGCGGAAACGATGCTGTGGTGCTACTGGACGCCTGTCACCGCAGCTCGAGACGCCACACCCCTGCAATTGTAACAGCTGAGACAGGCATGCAGACCATCTACCAGCGCGCCTTGAACAAGCCAGATTTATCAACGTCAAAAAGGACAGCAATTCTCTCTTATCTGAGCCGGACATGCGACCTGCTCTTCCCCGCTGGCAGAACTCAGGCGCTACTACCAATCTATTATCGATATAGCGCCCAAGCGCGCAACTGCAGCACCGCCTCATCAACAGGAGGCGGCATACCTCGGCACTTTCTACGAGAAGGAGCTTCTCACAGGTAGCGGCAACGGTATATACCTATTACTTACAATGGCCCACCGAGTTCCCGATATTGGCCCTCACCAATCCCAGGTTGACTCGTCTGGTCGCGTGCCCGGGCCCAGAGGAGGACCTACAGACTCCCCAAGTAGTAATGCGGATTGGAGGCGTGGTCAGCACTCTACCTTTACTGCTCCTGATCGCCCACCACCCGTACCGCCCAAACCGACTCAAACAAGGCACAGTCGGTCCATGAGCCATCCGTTCCCTTCAATGGCCAACGCCGCTGAAGCCCCATCGTCGTCATACTTCGCCCAGGCCAAACTTCCAGAAGAAGGCAGAGATGGCCGTACAATGGCCCGTCAAATGGACACCGGCGCCAGAAAGATGCGTGGTGTCAGTGGTAGGGACTTTGCAACTGGAAATTGCATGACATGCGGCGGTCTTGTTCGATGGCCCAACAACCTCACCGTCTTCAAATGCACGACTTGCGCTACAGTAAACGACTTGGAAATTTTTGAAGGCCATGATGCCCACGGGGGTAGTCGAAGAGATGGATCTACTGCGGGACCCATCCATAGGAATGCAGACCTCGGACGAGGTTCGTATACGACTCCAATTAGAAAGTTTGTCGATGCTGATGCTGTCTTAGGGCCCATGCAACCTATTTCGTTACTGCATACGAAGAGCATTGTTCGGCGTTGTTTGCAATCCTATTTATACAGGAGAATCGAAGAGAATCAAGGCCTGTACGGCAAGGAAGGACTATCGCAACCTGCTTCAGCACAGCCTCAAACCACTGGCGCAGGCATAGAGAGCGAAGGAGCAACGCAGCACGACACTAGACGCCGTTTCGGGACACGTTTTCTCAATGCGCCGGAGGCAAACACATCTAGTGATCCCCCCAAGTTTGTCACTAAATCACAACGATCTCTTTCCTATGGGTACTCAGAACAACCCGCGTTCAATCACCAGCCAGCAGGGCCTAGCCATTGTGCCGAGCGCGTCAGTCCCGTCCGATCTCCTTCGCATGGGCCGCAAACTATTTTCAAGGCACTAGAAGACTATATCATGGAATGTTTCAGATCACCGGACTGCCTTAATTCCTCCTTCGTGCTTCATAATTATTCAGCTGGCACAGAGCAACATATTCGAAGAAAGCCAGTCCCGTCAAGAGAACCAGTTCCCTCGAGAGAACCAGCACCTTCAAAAGAGGCGCGTATGCCATCAAGAGATCGAAGCCGACCTCGTGGAAATACCGACAGCAATATGCCAATTAGCCAATTGGATCCTAAGCTTCTCTTACTTGGAGACGTGGCAGAAAACGGGCTGTGGTGGACTGGCAATCGTCCACAACCCCCTCCACCAGTACAAAAACCCAAGCAGCCGAGTCATGCGAGAAGAACTTCTTCAGGAGCGGCGAAGCCTCTGCAAATGGACTGGACTGAGCTTGACAACTGGTATCGGACCATCATTGGGCCTGCAGAAGGCTGGCACTCCGTCTTTGCGGAAGTTGCGTCGACAAAATCTGCGCTCGACCTCGATCTGTCATCACTGGAGAACGAACTCCTACAGGCCCAGCTTCATGTTCATCAGACGCTTCTTAGACACACCGAGATGCTGTTGAAGCGACCCCGATATCCCATCTTACAGCCAGCTGATTTGCGATTTTTGCTAGTCATACTGGAGAATCCACTGCTACATAGCAGTCAACTGCCTTTGGAAGGCTTAGTATACCGCAATAGTGCTGGACGCAGACCGCAAGCCATACACCAAACGACCCAAAAGGACCGGTCAGTAACTATGCCCTCATCTGGTCCACTATCTGGTCAGCATTCAGGCATCATCAAACGAGTCATTGGCCTCATCTCAAACTCACCCCCAGTCTGTCACAATCATTTGATCAACTGGTGGATCAAGTTTGAGAAAGAACGCTACATGAAAGCAAAGGATCTATTTTCTGGCTTTCTTGCATACAGAATGCTTAGGCAAAGGAATAAGAAGCCAGCCAAAACTGCGGATGAGGACGCGGTGACCTCGTTTCTGATACCCCAAATGCGAAGCGGTCAATCTGATGCACAAATTCATGATGAAATTGGAGCACTGAGCTTGTCAAATAAGTCAAAAAAATCGACAGAGCCGGAGAAGATAACATCTTATCCGGAAGACTGGCAAGTGAAAGCGACTTCTCGCGTGCTTGCTCTCATTTTCGCCGCGAACGACCCCAACACTACTCGTGATGCTCATCACCACCATCAAAAAGGTCACAAGCTGCCAAGCAGCGAATTTTATGTTTCCATGGTTGACTATATTGACCTCGTCAAAGACTTCGATACCTGGGAAGCCAAGCAAGGGTTCTTCTCCTTCTGTCAATATCCGTTTCTTCTCAGCCTCTGGGCCAAGACGTCGATACTGGAGTACGACACACGCAGACAGATGCAAAACAAAGCGAGAGCTGCGCTGATAGACAGTATCATGTCTAACAAATCTGTACAGCAATATTTGACCCTTACTGTTCGCCGCGAATGCCTTGTCGACGACAGCTTGATGGCGGTGAGCGAAGTCATTGGTAGCGGAACAGATGATATCAAAAAAGGTCTTCGAATCAAATTTCGGGGTGAAGAAGGCATTGATGGCGGCGGTTTGAGGAAGGAGTGGTTTCAATTGGTCATTCGAGACGTATTCAATCCGGATTGTGGTACGTCAGTATCGTGCCAACATGATACGAGTTCTAACAGTTTTCAGGCATGTTCCTTTACGATGAAGATTCCCAATTCTGCTATTTCAACCCCAACTCTCTGGAATCCACAGATCAATACTTTTTAGTGGGAGTGGTTCTGGGCTTGGCAATCTACAATTCGACAATCCTCGACGTGCCCCTTCCACCATTTGCGTTCAAAAAGCTGCTGGCCGCGGCCCCTGGCCATGGTATGAGTTCGCTGGCGCACGCTCCTCCACATCTCAAGTATACGCTCGACGATCTTGCCGAGTATCGGCCAAGACTTGCTCGAGGGCTCCAGCAGCTGCTTGAATATGACGGGGATGTCGAGTCTACGTTCGCGCTTGACTTTATGCTCGAAAATGACAGGTATGGATCTTCGTCAACAGTACTTTTGTGCGAAGGCGGCGAGCGTCGACCAGTCACCAATGCCAATAAACGAGAGTATGTGGATTTATATATCCGCTACGTGCTCGATGTATCGGTGCGACGTCAATTTGAGCCTTTTCGCCGAGGATTCTACAACGTCTGCGGTGGCAACGCATTCTCCCTCTTCCGTCCGGAAGAGATTGAGCTGCTCATCAGAGGCTCCGATGAGCCGCTCGATGTTGATTCGCTGAGAGCTGTTGCTGAGTATCAGAATTGGGATAAGAAGCAGCCTGATGGAGTAGAACCAGTCGTTGGCTGGTTCTGGGAGACATTCAAGCAAGCAGAGCCAGGTGATCAGCGTCGACTTCTTTCATTTATCACCGGCAGTGATCGGATACCAGCTACTGGTGCTGCATCGCTGAGAATCAAATTGTCATGTCTCGGCGATGACTGTCTTCGGTTTCCAGTCGCAAGGACGTGCTTCAACCAAATATCTTTATGGCGTTATCGTACACGAGAGAAGCTTGAATATGTTCTTTGGCGAGCCGTGAAAGAAAGCGAGGGTTTTGGCCTCAAGTAGACTGAGGTATAGCAGATTGTATAATAGCAATGCCATACGCGCAGTCCTTCATAGTCTGGAAACACAACTTCAATGTTCATCTAAATAGAGAATCATGTCGTGTATTGCCGTTGAGAGATATGTGCTCCTTGCTCCAACAACAAAAATATGGTATAAACTACAATAGTGTTACAACATCCGCGTCTCGTCTTACGCTGGGTCCTCTGCAGCACCACCCGCCGCGCGGGCTCGCTGCAGCAGAGTAGCCTCTCTCTCCTTTTCCGCCTTGATTGAGTTCATTCGGTCACGGCTAGCGTTGCTCATTTTCCTGAGTTCATCCAGGCTCTGCCGTTCCGCCGTGTCTTCTGCGGTCGGTTGTAGCGGCACCGCCCCGACTTGTGTGATGAGTTGCTCGAGGATATTTGTCGAGTGCTTGTTCTTCATGTCGATGTGGACGACGCGCTCGTTGCTCGCAGGCGGTTGCGCCTTGGAGAGTCCCACGCGGGAGGAGGCGGGTTGGGGGGCTGGGGTCGCGGGCGCGTCGCCGCCGGTGCGGAGGTACACCGTCATGGTCGGCGTCTGGTCGTTTTGGCCGTGACGGTTAACAATCATGGGGACGGCGGGGTTGTTGTACTTGAGGCGCGGGAGGTACTCGCGCCAGAATTTCCTGGTTGCGCGGGAACAGCGTTAGCAATGGTGTTTGACTGCGCTCGCAGGGTTCGATGTTTGCGAAGACGTACTTGGCGCCCATGTGGCCATTGTGCGTTCTCAAGGCAAAGTCCATGTGGATGCAGGACACTTCAGAGGGCAGGATGGCGGCCCCGGGGCCCATGCGGAGGTTGAGAAGCTGTAGCGAGATAGTTGTTAATATCGTCACAGACGCCGTCGCATTCGCTGGCTCGGGCTTGAACTCTTACCCTCTGCAAAGTCTGTTAGTAAAAGAGCACAATTGGCCATGACATAATTAAACCGACCTTTCTGAGTAAGTGTAATCGCTCTCCTAGTGACCGCATGTTGTTGATTGTGCTCGCTCGACTGTGGTCTTGTGCCAGATGCCTGGTCGACGTTGGATTCGCTACAAGAAATTCGACGTCCCCTGTAAAATGCCGGCCCGGCAAATCATCCGCCGAGAGCTGGCGGGCTGGCGGGGGCTGGCGGCTGCCAATCGTGCGACACAGCATAAATTTAGGTAGGTAGGTACCTAACTAGAGGCTAGAGCCATCTGTCAGTAACCCGGCAAGGGGCACTAAAAAAATCAAGCTAGCGCCCTGCAAGGCCCGCTGAAATTTATACAACGAGTTAAACCTTTTGGAAAGACTTGTCCTGCTTCTAAATACTTATGCCAGGTCCGACGTAAGAAAATCTTGTGATCATGCTGCGATCCTGTATTTATTGAGCAGCAGAAATGCGCAGAGCACTCTGTTCCCGGTGGCTGACCCGGGCGTTTCAGACGACCGAGGCATTGTCGCCGGCTGGCCTGCCTCTCTTTCTTTGCCCTGCCGTTGACGTCGCGCGGAAGCTACCGGTTGCGCCTGTGCGAATCTCTCGCAGCATTGGTGAGCAGCGGCTGATTCATACGGATAATTCTGCACCGAAAGAGGATCTGGAAACAGCGGAGATCAACTCAGAAGAACCGCGAAAGCTTCCCGTCGCCTGTACTGGCTGCGGCGCATTCACCCAGACGACCGACTCCCAGCAGCTTGGCTACTACGATGTCGCCGCGAAGCGTGTACGCCAGTGGCTAGCTCCTCCAAAACACGAGTTACAACAGAAGAGTCTTGAAGAAAACGAAGTCATCAACAATGTCTTGAGCTCCATGGATAGCAATCAGTTGACTGCGCTTGGGTTCGATGCCAGCACATTGGTAGTTGAGGAGCCGGTGGTTGCACATTCTCTGGGTAAATTGCCCCTGTACACTCTTGATCAAGAGTAACAACTGACATATATAATGTTCTACAGATCTGAAACCACCAGTTTGCGATCGATGCCATGACTTGATACATCATAACGCCAAGTCACCCTCTGGCAGAGTGCCCATGTTCCATCCAACAGTGGAGTCGCTGCGAGAGACCATCGAGGAATCGCCACATAAATACAACCATATATATCATGTTATCGATGCCGCCGACTTCCCCATGTCGCTTATTCCGAGATTAAATGTCTTGCTGGGGGACATTCCTCTCCGAACTCGGAATAGACGTTCACGGGCGGGCAAGTTTCTTCGCGACCGACAAACTGAATTGAGCTTCATTATTACCCGAGGCGACTTGCTAGGACCTACGAAGCAATCTGTTGATGCGCTCATGCCGTATCTTCGAGAAGTATTGCGAGACGCTTTGGGTCGTCTTGGTAATAGAGTGCGTCTTGGAAATGTTCGCTGCGTGAGCGCCAGCCACGGCTGGTGGACAAGAGATGTGAGAGAAGATATATGGAATAGGGGCGGCGCTGGATGGATGGTTGGAAAGGTCAATGTCGGAAAAAGTCGTCTCTTTGAAGAAGTCTACCCAAAGGGTCGTTTGAATCATCCAGAGGCTTCGGTCGGGCCTACGGTCATCGGCCATATTGCACCCCGGCAAGAAGACACGGAGGTCGGGGACTTGCTCCCTCCCGCGCAAAGCGTTACCAACTACCCAGCTATGCCTGTCGTCTCTTCGCTTCCTGGAACAACGGCATCGCCCATTCGCATCCCGTTCGGCAACAAGAAAGGAGAGCTGATTGACTTGCCTGGATTGGCCCGCAGTGACTTGGATCTATTCGTCAAAGAGGACCACAGGCAATCTCTCATAATGAAGAAGCGCATCATTCCCGAACAAGCCACAATCAAGCCTGGCCAGTCTTTAATTTTGGGTGGCGGATTGATCCGGATTACACCCTCGTCGGAAAAAATAATATTCCTGATGTACAACTTCACACCTCTGGACGATCATGTCACGAGTAATGAGAAAGCGATCGATTATCAAGCGCAGAAAAAGTCGTTTGGGGCACAGGAAAACATCTCTCTTCCAGATACTGCAGCCACAATTAAGCATGCAGGCAGGTTTGCCCTGCAACACGATGTTACCAGGCAAAGAGCGGGACCTCTGACAAGGAAAAACGCCCTCGGTCTAAGTGTAGATCGACTGCCATTTCGCGTCCTGTCGGTAGATATCTTGATTGAAGGTGTCGGCTACGTCGAGATTGTTGCCCAAGTTCGCACCAGAAGCCTCTACCGAAAACAGGAGAACAAGGACAGCACGGAGGATACAGAGAATCCGGAGAGGGTGGCAGAAGACTTGAAAACACCGACTTTGGCGTTGGACCCTTTTGAGACGATGATGCGCCAGCGGCGAGACAATGACAAGACCGGCCGTCCGCAGGCTCCATTAAGGTCGGAAGAGGAGTCACCCCGCCAACTCGAACTCGACCTGCCCTCGGTTGATGTATATACTCCAGAGGGCCGGTTCGTTGGCACACGAAAACCGATTAATGGATGGCTCAACAATAAGCCGAGGATCTCTGCAGAGCACAAGAAGAGCCGCCCTAGGAAGAGCATGAAAGGCCACAAGAAGAAGGTCAAGTTTGAGGCTAGAGCCGCTAAAGCCGCCTCTACCAAAAGAAACGCATTGTAGCATAGAAAATGTACAACATGTAAAATAATATTAGAGGTACTCTTGAATGGACAGATATGACTTACACACCGAGATGGTACATTTATTTCCACTGCACTTACTTGAAGATCAATAATAACTTACGAGTAGTTATGCAGCAGACATGTTTGGCGTACGCCAAGTAATTTCTACTTGATAACTATCTGCATTTCGCCTCTCTGAATGCGGGGAGCAGGCTTATTAGTGTAGTTATCTAGATGATGACGATGATGCGCCCATCAAAGCCGCAAGTAGTATCAATAAAACAGGCCACAAGCCCCACCAGCGAATAGGCGAATACCTAGCGTGACTCACCGGCTGCAGCTTTTAGCGTCTATCGACGTAATCGATAGGCTTTATCTGGTATTCTCTGGTACTCACCTACGCCATAATTTGCTATTACAGCGGGGTACCTAACAGGTAAATAGGTACAGCGCCGCCAGAGCAACGCGACACGAGACTTTCCAACATCCAACACACATCCGGCATGTCGCAAGAAACTTCACAGCGCAACGCGCCGACACCGTCTGCGTCGCAAACAACAACGGTTGCGTCCACGTCACAGAACGCTCCGGATCCCGCTCCGAGGATACTGCGCCTTCGCGGACGGCACAATGCCAACGGACGGTCGGTGCAATGGGCCGAGGACGTGGTGGACAATGAGGGCCTCGGCCGGAAGAGCTCCAAAGGTATGCCCAAGTATCGGGCACTTGCCTTTTGCCGACTTGTCTAACGTGGTGGCGAATAGTATGCTGCATCTATCACAAGCCGAAAGCCGTGGACGAATCGAGCGACGAGTCCAGCTCCGACTCTTCTTCCTCTTCAGATTCTGAATCGGATTACGAAGAAAGAATGCGCCGGGGCAGAGGACGAAATGGTAGCGGGCGCCATGAGGATGGCCATCGCGAGGGATGCGATCACACTCATGACCATGGTCATGGCAAGCCGAACGACAAGCAGAAACGACCACCAAGCCCGAATGCATACGAAAAGGTACCAAAACCAAAACGCAAAGAGGAGCCAGCCGAAAAGAAGCAGTGAACATTCATGGCGGGCATGACAGTTTGTTTCGTCTAAATTATCAGAAATATTGTTTTGCATAGCGTTGGCTTGAAATCATGAAGATTGTACACCATAAACACCATTTAATGCCGGATTTTTCAGCGGACGCGTTGTTAGGGCCGCGCGCTTCTATTGCTAATATACATGGGCATCTTGCCCAAGGGTATCACAAATGTTTGTACAATGCGTCATGCCGTGAAGAATTGTGGCCGCCTCCATGACATCCTAGGGTTTCCTTGCGCTCTCGACAACGAAATATTTACCAGCCTTCTTCGATGCTGTAGATAGAGCATCCCAATTCTCTGCTTCTGATTCAACCTTCTCTTTGATTCTCTTCGGGCGCTTGTAGTGTCCTACTCGGATCTCCTTTGCGAGGACTTGCTTAAGATCGTCCAACCCAATCGTGGCTTCTCTCCGACCCTCTTCAGTCTCATCTCGTATGGCTTGGAGAGGCTCCAGTCCGGAAGTGTCGACCCGTTGGATTGCTTTGACGAAATGCAGCTGACTCTGCAGGGTCGTAATCATCGAGGCCTCTTCCTCCTCAGACTTGGGGAGCGGAAGCGCGCATAGCTTGAGAAGATGGTGTAATTGTGCGGATGAGATGGTCTCGGCCGGCGACGCATCGTTCTCGGCCAGAAGTGAGCGAACAGACCACGTTGGCCGAGCAAGAATCTTATGCGCAGTTGAAGCTTTTGTTGATAATGCGGCTTTGCGATGTTGGGATAAGAGCTGCGACGCGGGCCGGTGGATGACTGCTCTACAACGGAAGCAGAGAGAGCTGGAAAAAGCCATGGTGGCCTTGCTTCGCTACGGGCGGTCGCAAGACAAATTGCGACGGTGGCGAAGCCAGTTTGCGAAGAAAGCTATGTTGGAAACACGTTGAAGAAAAGATGAAGCTGTTACAGTGATCTAAAACAGTGGAGCAAGGCGAGACGACACAGTCGCCGGGCGGTCAGGCGTGCGGCGTCATAGGCTAAGATACAGCGGCTGTGTTGACTACCTACATACGTATCACTCCCTTCACATGCGACTAGTATCCTTCTTATAATCTGCATAATAAGAGAGGTGACGTCGCAGCTTTTCGCTTAGACCATTTTCCCGCATCGGATTCGAGATTGCAACCTCCCACCATGGCCCAAGACCCTCGTGCTCTGTTGCAAAAGGTGCGCCGAGCATGACCCCTCCCCCACTCCCCAAGCCTGTTGGCGACAGCCTCAATCTGACTGGTGCCTCGTTGCCAAAATCACAGGCCGATAAGACGCTGCAAGGTGCCGGCAGCGGCTTCAGCTTCTTTGGCGGCCGCGAGGACAAGTACCAGAATGCCGCCGACTTGTATGTCCAGGCCGCCAACGCCTTCAAGATGCAGAAGCAAGGTCAGCACAGACCAATCCGGTTCGCGCGCCCGGCGGCACTGAAACTGACGGTTGCTCCTGCGTATATAGATCTCGAAGCCGGAAAAGCCTTTGAGAAGGCTGCAGAAGTCTTCACCAAGAACCTCAACGAGCCCGACGATGCCGCCAACAGCCTGATCGATGCCTTCAAGGCCTACCGCAAGACTGACGCGCAGTCCGCAGTCCGATGCGTCAAAGTGGCGATCCAGCGCTATTGCGCCAAGGGCAACTTCAGAAGGGCTGCTGGTCAGCAGGAGGCCCTTGCTGAGGTCTACGAGCAGGAGCTCGGCGACACCAAGAGCGCTCTGGAAGCGCTCGAGTCTGCTGCTTCGTGGTACGAAGGCGACAATGCTAATGCGTAAGCTTCTGCTATGACTGTTGACATGATTTCAAAGCTCGTGGATTACTAACTGTTTCAAAGCCTCGCGAACAAGCTGTGGATCAAGGTTGCCGACATGGCCGCTTTCGAGGGAGACTACTACAAAGCTATCGAGAATTACGAAAAGGTTGCCGCTGTGTCGATTGATAACAATCTGATGAAGTACAGCGTCAAGGACTATTTTCTCAAGGCCGGCATCTGCCACCTTGCCAGTGGTGATATGGTCGCCACCCACCGGGCGCTTGACAAGTATCGCGAGATGGACCCTTCCTTTGCTACGCAGCGGGAGCACATGCTTCTTGTTGATCTCTGCGAAGCGATTGAGGAAAAGAACAAAGATCAATTCACTGACAAGCTGTACCAGTACGATCAAATGAGCAAGCTCGACAAGTGGAAGACCGGCATGCTGGTGAAGGTCAAGAACACTATTGAGGAAGCCGATGACGAGTTTGCTTAAGTTTAGACTGTCAAATATCTTGGTTATGGCGCATTATAATATCAATCTATCACTTTCACTTAATCGCATGATTCCAGTCACACCTGAGTTGCCGTGTGCGTAGAACTTGAAACAGGGCCTCGGTAGTTTCACAATCTCGATGTTACTAGTTGTCACTGTCCGCTATGACGTGCAGCGGCCACAACTACGCCATGATTATGAATGTGTTGATACTGATAGGTAAAATGCAACGTTTTTTTCTGAGAAAATAATCTTAATAGAAACTTACAAATATACGCCCTCTCAACTTGGAAAACGATTGCTTTCGGGCAACGAGAATCCGCTGAGAAGCCCCACAATTTATATTTCTGGCATCCGGACTGCTGCGCTCCGAGCACGCCGGTCATTACCAACTCATCCTCCTTTGCTGTCGGCTTCTGCTTCATTGCCTCGACCTGCGCTTCTGGTCGCATATCTTATAGTCTAACCCGCTAAATAATCGGGCATCGATCGGCCGCCACCTGACGCAGTGTCCGCTCCAACGCCGCGCAGCTGCCTCCAACCCAACAACCCGATCGCAATCGCCCAAAGACCAGTCTCCAATTGCACATCGATTAGCAACAACCAATCAGCTAGAAATACTGACTTGAGATTGCGACGACCTTGAACATAGATTCTCCATGGATCGCCCTCAGAGCTCCCCGATCCTTGCGCAATTGCGTGGCGCAAAGACCTTTCGCGAACAAACAGCTGCACTCCAGGCGCTCAAGAACGAAATCGTGGGACATGTTCAGAGAAAGGAAGAATGGGTGTCTGTGGGTGTGTTGGAGCCCATCGTGAGGTCTTTGGCTTTGACCAGAGCTCCTCTCAAGACGAATGGCAAAGATACACGACAGTTGGCCACAATGCGCCCGCTCTCGGAGGAAGATAGCGTCAAGCTTCAAGCTCTACAACTCGTGAGCAGCTTTGCTACTGGTACGTGAAGAACATCATGGGTACATATTATGAAGATGTGCTAACACTGGACTGAAGGTGGCCCTGCTTTCTTGCCGCCTCTTGACGCCGCCATGGCACTCCCCGCGATCCTGAACAACATCTCACCCGCTTCCACCCCAATACAGATCATCGCTGCTGCTCTTAAAGCCCTAACAACGATTGCTGATGCAGCCTTACTAGCATCGCCGACTTGCAGCTTCAACATCGAGGTCATTGCCGATCACGTCTTCACACCACAGCACATTGAATCGCTCAGCATCATTTCAGCTTCATCATCTGCCTCGGGATTGACTCCGCCCGTCACCACGCAAAATACTCTCGCTCTTGGAATAATATGTCGTCTGTGCCGACAAGAGCGCCACCAACAGGCCCTCGCAGCTGGCGGTGTGCTGGACTTGCTGGCTACGCAACTCGCTAGCATTGCTGTCCGTGATGGCTTCGTTGTACCTGGCGCGGAGGAGTCGGCAAGCAGAGACACAATTTCCAAGGCATTTCCTGCAGCAGCGAAGAAGAGTGCCAAGATTGGACCGGTTCTAGAGGCTATTAGTGCTATTATCGGGGACTCCAAGTATCGAGCGACTCGCCTGATCAACTCACCTTCCATTTTAGCCGTCTTCCCTTCAATAGAGGCACGTCACTTTCCTCAGGTCGGGATTGGCAGGAACCAAGATTCGGAAAATTCTGGGGAACTCTTCAGACCCAAATGGCTGACAGCCATGGAATACCTTCTTCCGGCTGTTGTCATTCCGCAGACACGAAGCGGCACATCTACGCCGTACTCCCATCCAGACTACATCGACACAAAGAGCGGTCGCAGAGGAAAATCCGGCCTTGCGCTGACAGATGCTGCTCGTTTCCATGTTCCCGGCCACAACGGATCGTATCCGACCTCAGATATTGAAAGTCCGCTCATCCCCTGGCTCATCTATCTAGTGAGATCGCTGGGTGAAGTCGAACGTCTCACGGCTCTGTCTGTTCTTGCTTCGCTCTTTAGAGCTGGTCTCTGTATGACAATTGCACGAGAGACAACCTTGGCTTTGTTGGTGGTACCGATACTCATCCACAGTATTGAGAAAAATGATAAGGAAAGCAAGGACAGTGAGGACCTGGAGGATGTTGACAATGTCAAAACTGTGACAAGACATTATGTGCTAGAGCGGGCCCCTGTCATACTTGCACGTCTCATCACCGACTGCGAGTTCTTACAGAAGGCGGCTTTCGACTGCGACGCCGTCAAAGTACTCGCGAAACTGCTCAAAAACACCTACCGGCCGCTGCCAGCCATTCAACCTCAGTACTGGTCATTGAACGCCGATGACGGTATGGAAGTAGAGGGCATATCGCCTATGTATCGACTCGGTGACAACGGCATCCATCCTGTGATGGCTCATCGCATTCGAACCCGCGAAGCCGCACTAAAAGCAATTGGGGCGATTGCCGCGTGCGAGGAGAATTACAGGAAAGCACTGGTGCTCGAGGACTTTGTACCATACGTGGTAGAGTCACTCAACGAATTTCCCGGCAAGCCTCGACAACTCAAAGATCACAAGGACAAAAACGCAGCGGAGCCGGCCCGTACTAGCCCCGATCCCGATTATGGTACCAACCCCATCGGAGTCATTGTTGCGGCATGCTTCGTGGCGAGGATGTTGTCGAGGTCTGTCCACACGTCCCGAACCGCACTGATTGACCACAACATTGCGGCGCCCATTCTCAGTGCTATGAAGCACTCGGATGTCAACTTGCAAATTGCCGCGACTGCAACTGTAGCCAATTTGGTTGTTTCTGTCAGCCCATCAAAAGAGGTATGTGCAGTGTCGATGATTGCGAATGCTCGAGCTAACATCTTGTAGTATCTTACAGAGCATGGAGTCATGAGGTTGCTCTGCGAGCATGCGCATTCCTTCAACCCTGCGCTTCGACTCAATGCTCTTTGGGCCCTAAAGCATTTCGTCGATGGAGTTTCGGCCCATCTGAGGAAGACATGCTTGGAGCTGCTAGAGCCAGGCTGGCTGATTCGGCTGATAAGCGACGAAGACCAGGACGAGGGCCTGTACACCTCGAGAATGGTAGATGACTTGGATGAGGAGATGGACAGCGAGCAGCTTGACGGCGCGCCACGCTGGCTGTACGCAGCTGAGGGGGCAATTTGTTCCGTCGATGCTTCAGAATCTTCCAGGCTTCGTCAAATCGAGGACTACTTATCCTCTATTCGGGAGTCTGAAAGCAATCCACTCCCGCGGACGCGCAACGATATCGTAGCAGTCCAGGAGCAAGGCGTCGACTTTATTCGAAACCTGATAGGCCGAGTCGATGGTGGCGTTGGAGCAGACCCGTCCGCTGCCAACCCCGAGGTTATCGACTATCTATTCAAGGCACTAGGGCAAGACCGTCTGTTCGAGATACTCGCCGCAAAACTACGCGCCAAGATCCTGCATCCATTCGCGCGAAAAGCGAGCAGTTCAGGGCGCGAGACCAAGATTGTGCACCCCAACGCGCGCATCGTCACTGTTGTCATATATATCTTGACGCACATTGCGGCAACCGGCCCGCGCTACTGCCAACTCGTCATTTCGCAGACGGAGCTGCTCAAGCTCCTAGCTCAGCAAGCTAATAACAAGGATTGCGAAGTACGCCTAGCGCTGTGCCGCCTGCTCTACAATCTGACGACGAAGGACAATGGGGCGGAATCGCAAGCCTGTGCGCAGCGGGCGGCAGAACTCAAGCGCCTCGGATTCGCTACCAAGATAGAGACTCTGATGAAGCAAGACAGAGACCTCAATGTCCGAGAGAATGCTAGGATGGCCGCTTGGTTAATCGACAATCCGGCCTCCTAGACAAAGTCTTTTACTATAGGACACGTCGACACATTTGTTATGATGAAGCAGCATGAGGATTGATATGTAACACAATTTGTTATAGCGAGCACGATATTTGCAGGTGCTGCATAGTTTTTGAAAAGTTTTATTCGACTTTTATCGGGATTGTTTTATCATTTGGTCCAGCGATGATTTACAGACAGCTTGCATCGAACAAAACAGAACTTAATATACTTACTCGATCAAAGATGTGTATACGCAGGGTGCGATCGAGATGTAGATGAAATCGTTGAAATCTGCAGGTATATCTATTAGGCGCTACTCCAGCTACGAATATTTACACGTACCACGGTTTCGACCAAGTACTGATACGTAGTGGACATATCAGCAGTAATCCGTATACGGATTACCACAGCAATTGATCTACGACTTGTTGCTATCCATAGGCGAGACACCTACACCCTTGACACAGAAACCACATGGCCAACAAGATGATCCTCATGCCGCGTGAATCTTTCAAGACTGACTCAAGATCTACATGAAGTTTATTGCCCAAGAGTATAACACGATTGGAAATGGAACAAAAGGAGAAGCCCCTAGCATACCAGCCTCCTCCTGAACCCTAATGTCATTGTCTTGCATGCCGTGTCTTGCCACACCACCACTACCTCCCCTGAGGCGTCAATTACGTGCCGAAGTACCAGGAGGGAGAGCACTCTAGCCGTTGAGTATTGTATACAATAAAAAAAAAAAACTACACCGTGTGTGTTACCCACCCGGGGTGAGTAGGAGATCGATCAACGTCCCGGAAGTATCTACATCCGTGGAGATTGCGGAGTGAGAGGCTACCAAGTACATATTCGTACACTGAGGAGGGAATGACCCGAAACAGGGAGGAGAAAGTCTTTCCTCCTGGTAAGCTTTGACCCGTCGCAGATAGAATGAAAGGTGCCAACTTTGTTCAGCGGTCAAGGGCTTGCATATCAGTATCTGGCCGGGGCCACCGGGGGTGCCTGGCAGGCATCAAATGAGACATGAGACAGGGGAGAGACGTTGAGTATGCGGCCTTGTGACTCAGAACACGACGACGTGGAAAAAAACAGGCAGATTTGAACTCGGAGGCTCGGCCGGGCACGGGGATTGGCAGAGAAGAATGCTACATTTTGACGGCAAGTACCAAATGTTGCAGGTAGCCAAAGCCAGCCAAGAAGCGCAGATTGAGGCGGAAGAACACACCCGGAAGAACCATTGGCGACAACACAAGCATCAACTAGAGAATAAGAAGTCTCTATTCAAGTTGCAGCCTTGCAGGCGCTCCTGTATGCAGGGAGAAAGCCATATGCACGAGGTTCATGGTGGCTTACCGGATGCAACTTGAAAATGCTAGGTATTTAGTTCCTGATGACCTATACGCATCTGCAATCCGCAATCTCTATTTTGATATATATGCGTCGAGCTGGCGGCTGATTCCAATTGGCCCATTGTGAATTTGCAACGCAGAAAATAGGAGCAAATGCCGACTTTTGAAGCTGATGTGAATATGTGACGTGATACAAGAGAAAATGCAGTACGGAGTTACGAGCAGGCTTGCTGTGAGACAAGCATACCTTTTTGTAACCCTGTCAAAGTGTTGAGGTGACACGGTGACACCTAGACATACTGAAGCGTAGCGTAGATAAAGCCATGTGCCTCGGGACCGCAAAAAGACTGGAGCAAGGAAGATGGACAGCCGAAGTTGTGATGCTTGCGCGATCCGCATCTGTGCATGACGAGGATGGGCTTAGATGAACCACCCAGCCGCTGGATTTGCTGCCGGGTCTTGCGGGTGTACCTGGGAAGGGGAGAGATGTTGCATTTGTTCCTCGCTAGCTACTGCGTCTCAAACAAGCTTTTTTTTTTTTGCTACGGAGTTTTTTAAAAAGTCAATATAGAGACTGACGGGTGTACTCGGTAGGCGCGCCGGCAAAAAGTAACCCATGGCCAATCTGCATACTGTACCTTGTTGATGCAAAGTATATGCTCCAGACATGAAGTGAACACTTTGTGCCTCACCGTTGTCGATTCCGTACCGGGAGATCTACTGACTATGTGACTATGTATAACTTACCAAAAGGTGAAAGAGACTGATTGCATATCTCAATCAAGCATGTCTGACTGGTACATGGCTGGCGCTGAGAGGCGACCCGCGGCCACCGCCTCTTTTGCTCAAAAGCATCTTGTCCTTGGTTTTTTTTTTTTCTTCCTATTTTTTTTAATTTATTTTTCTAGCAAGCACATGTTTTTGATCACGTTGGCCTTTTGCAAACGGAACCCACGCGGCAGGCATGTCAGGATATCACGAGCGGTCCCTGCCTAATTATGGTCCTCTCACGCAGAAAATGGGAATCTACCAGCAAGTCCTCTCTCTGTGCTCCGTACCTCGATCGTTTTTGCGCAAAAAAAAAAAAAAAAGTGATGATGGGCGGTGTGATGTGGGTGTGCTTTGCGCCAAAATGCTCAGTCTCAGAGCGCCACCAAGCCATGAAACAGAGTGAAGCAGGGTTTAAAAAAAATGAGTATTCCTGGTCAGAAAGCATGGCAAGAAGCAAAAGCAAATGGACATGCTGACATGCTCGAATTTACGTCGTGTTTGTGGAGCAGTCATTGAGTGTTTGCATCTGTTTTGCCATTTCACGTGGAGAGTTTTGGCATGTGCTTCCTGGTATATGGACGGAGCAATTTTTGAGAGGGTGAGAGGGGAGGAGACACAAACGGCAACTCGTATTGATTTATTGAATGTGAGGCTGAAAGAAAGAATTGTCGATGAGGAGATCTTGTCTCATCTGCTAGCGGCCGTTTTTTTGGACGTCTTTGAGACTCTAGGTCTCAGTGCACGTTTTTGCGAGATTCCAATCTCCAACGGTCCAATGTCGATTGACACGAGGCACTAAATAGTCTCACCGGGAACTGGAAGAGATGGACGCAGAGGAATAAGCGGGAGCTCGTGCGAAGGGTTGCCAGCGTCGCATTGAGGTCTTGTTTGGCTTTGGGCCTTTTGGCGTAGTGCACACAGCTTCCCATACTTGGGTGTTTTGGAACGCCATGTGCGACTTGTGTTTTCTTCTTCTGCTTCTTTTCACCTCACATCTGAATACGCCACAACTGCGACTTTTGAAGGCTTCGGCCGTTCTCGATTGCCATATGAGGCCGACTGGCGCCCCATCTGAGATGCAGAAATGCGACGGGACGTGTGAGTAATGCCTTTTCGCGCCTAGTTGCATCGAAACTTTTCATGTAGATTGAATTCGTAGCTAAAGCTGATTATTGACTATTGGCATCCGGATCAAGTATTGTCAAGCCTTTTCAGGCCTGTTCGAGCATGTGTCAATGTGGCTGAGCTGCGTAGGTATCCATGCACGTCTGCAAACACTTGCACTTGCAGCATAATAATGCCCCAATGATGGACAAGTCCAGACCCGGTACCTGGTGCGGGAACCGAGATGGCGAATTTCTGCCACTCATTCCACTGAAATTGAATGGATCATCTGCATGCAATTCATTTCCAATTGACATACCGGGCTGGAAGGCGTATCCCTACGTGCAGGGCGACGCGAGCAGGTGGGTATAAGGAGCTGTAAATAGAAAACGGGACGGCACATGAAAAGACCTGGGGGAACAAGGCAATACAAAAGAAAAAAAACGTCATAATAGACTGCCAGTTAAGAGGCGGAGAGTGGGTTGTGAACCAACTAGGCGAGACGATTGTATTGCTGGTGGCCGAGGGGCTTTCGATGGCCGCGGGTGGCTTGCAGATAAGAGGGACCGTGCCCTGTGTTTCCAATGCGTATTGTGTGGATTGTACGGATTACGGAGTGCGGAGTATAGAATAGGAAACATTGGGCAAAATACCAGACCCGATTTCACGGTTTGATCGTGTCGAGATGGAACAAGTTGCAACTATGTATGGCGCGGGCCCCGATCGGCTCGAGGATACCCGTGGGCGCCGCGAACTCATGAAACGACCTAGAGATGCTTCAACCTGGTCTCCGGGTATGACATGACGAAGCGTCATTTTTCTTGCCTTTTAAACATGGCAGGCCATCAAGGAGGATTGAAAAACGTGGTGTGGCGCACGAGGTGTCATTGCAGACCACATGGCAAGGTGGACACGGGAGTTGTACTTGTTAGGTTGAGACTCGAAATTTAGTCTCATATGTTTGCGTGATTTTTTTGTTCTCAGTTAATATAAAAAAGGAAAAAAAAAAAAAAAAAACAAAAAACCAGGGATAGAAGAGACGCAGCCTTGCCCATCTTATTGTGGGCGTGGCGACGGGATGTGGTGGGCTCTCTGTTCATCTCTTCTACAGTGGGAAATTAACGGAGTGGGGGAAGGATGGCGCGGTGGGTTTGGGCTACTCATCGTCACAACGGGGCGCGCTTGCAAGGACAAAGGGATTTGTGGCTAGAATCAAGGTGGAAAAGAAAGAAAGATTGCGTTATCAGAGCATTGGCATTGAAGGGAGCATGGGCTGGGAAAACAATTTTCAAAGAGAAGCAAAGGCGATAAACGAGCGATACAATGTCCGGGGCTTTTGTCGACGGGACGGCAAGTTTTAGTGCCCGCCCGGCGGGCCGCAAAACCCTCTGCTAGTGCCCGTCCTTAACGGCATTTCTTACCAGGGAGTCTTACTCGTAACAAGAGAGAATTTCGATTCCCACTAATAAGGTTCTAGGAAGAGAAGAAAAAAAAAAAGGGCCAAGGCGCGCGGGCCCGCAGGTCCGTCCAACAGCTCGGGTAGCCATGTGGGAGCAGGAGCGAGGGCAAATGGGCAAGCGAGAAGCAAAAAGAGAAGCATCTCCCTTCAAAGTTCAAGTGTTAATGGTGGCTTTGCCGAAAGAAGAAAGCAAAGTTGAAATATGACGAGAAAGATGGAGCAGCATTGGCGTGGCGGGCGCATTTGCTCAAACGGAAAGTGATGGGCTTCAACTCGGCGACTCAAACGAGCACGGCCAGACAAAAAGGACGAGGACGACGCCAC